ATGTACATGTAGTTTCCTGTGGCGATTTCAGTCCTTCATAAACATGTCCTGAAGCAATCTTATTAAAATCAGACCACAATGTTCACCACATCTACTCATAGTTCTGAGAGCATTAAGTTACAGCTCATGTCAGAACGACCCTTCATCCAACCGATCAGAACGTTGCTAATGAGATTGCTCGTAAAAGTGAAGGTCGGTAAGGGGTTTTCATATGCTGCAACCTCAAAAAGGTTCACACGACACATTTCCACCTTTATAAACTTCGCAGCTGAAGCCCCACTACTCTGGAATAGCCTCCCAATCACTATCAGAGAAATCAACTGTAAAGCCTCTTTAAAAAATGCCCTAAAAACCCATCCGTTCAGAATATCCCGCTCATAGTCTTTCAGACTTTCTTCTTCAGCGCCGTTGAGCAAACACTTTTTGGAAATAGGAACTATATAAATTCATGATCATTATCATCAAACTGCTTCTACTCACTACTGCGTTGTTCCAACTCAGTGATCTGTATTTTTATGGTGTATGACCTTATTACCAACATTCTACCACACATTCTTAAGCCTTCTCACATCAGCCATTATATTGTTCTTGTTAAGCCCAACATATAGATATAAAGGTGTACTTTCAGCCAAGTCAGCACCCCGCTGAAGACACTGGAATGGAATATAAACATTAAATATGTATCCCGCCTAACCGTCAGGAGTGCCAATTGTATGATCGTTCCAAGGTCCGGTGACTGTGCTGGGTCTCCCACTGCCCCTGTACCACTTGGCGGTGTTGTTGCTGGCCTGGGTGTAGCCGCAGGTGCTGGAGCTGTCGAAGTCACAAAAGGTCAGGTTGTAGTTCACCGCTGAAAGGAGTGAGACTAGGGTGAGTTTGGTTTAACGCTGTTTTGAAAGGTGTTCCAGATATGCGAGTACCTTTCAGCTCAATTATGGGAAAGCCCACAGATCTTACATTGGTATTCCTCTGGTGAATCCAATGGGCATGGGGTTTGGTGCTGACAACCTTAGAATCATAATCGGGGCAAACCAGTGAGTGAGTTTCGTTTTTCGCCGCTTTTAGCAATATTCCAGCAATTTTGTGGTGGGGGACACCAGAAATGAGCTTCACACATTGTACCCATGTGGGGAATCGAACCCGGGTCTTCGGCGTGACGAGCGGACGCTTTAATCATTAGGCTACCCCTTGAATTGTGCACGAGTTTGAAAGATCAAATATTCTCTCCCTGTGTTTAAATATTGCTTTACAAACAAACCAGGTTTGACAGTCGTGGTAGATGTAGTCGTCATTGGGGTACTTCGGGTACAGTCCGGACGTTTTCTGCAGGTGTCTAACTCACTCTGTAGGAGCCTAATTTCATCTGATGCTTGCTTCGTGATGTTTCTCAGTTCATCTTCCTTTTCCAACAACAATCTTTGAAGTTGTTCTACGCTTAGATCGCCATATGGAGACGTTGACCGGACTCCTTTCTGCAATATTAATGGTTTCATATTAAATATATTATCTGTGGGGATATAATGTGTCAGTTGTTTTGTGTATGTATGCCTGTGTGCGTGCGTGCGTGCGTGCGTGCGTGCGTGCGTGCGTGCGTGCGTGTGTGTGTGTGTGTGTGTGTGTGTGTGTGCTATTTCAGACTACGCTGCTATTATTACCAACGATATGGAGTATGTTTAAGCGAAGGCAAGTCACCGAATCCGAATTCTTGGTATCAAACTGTTGCTTGTATACTATACAGGCATGAGAATATATTCTCTAGACGTGAGTGTAATTGAAAACGAGTTTTCTTGGTATCAAACTGTTGCTTGTATACTATACAGGCATGAGAATATATTCTCTAGACGTGAGTGTAATTGAAAACGAGTTTTCTTGGTATCAAACTGTTGCTTGTATACTATACAGGCATGAGAATATATTCTCTAGACGTGAGTGTAATTGAAAAGGTGTAGATTAGTTATGAAGAGATTATCTTCCTCTATGTACTTGGTAATTGGGCCAACGCATCGAATTGAATACCAACAGTACGTGTCTGTACATTGTCGATGCCTGAAATATGTCCCATCACAACATTGTTCATGTAATATGCATACATTTTGTGTGTTGTATATAAATATCTGTATACTTAATTCAACAATTTCTGTAGGCAGAGAGACAAATAAGTGAGCTGCCTTTCCTCCACAGTTTTATACTTTTGACTGACTGAATTTGGTTTTACGCCGCTTTTAGCAATATTCCAGCAACATCACGGCGGGGGACACCAGAAATGGGCTTCACACATTGTACCCATGTGGGAATTCGAACCCGGATCTTCGGCGTGACGAGCCAACGCTTTAACCACTAGGCTACCCCACCGCCCCCTTATACTTTGGAGACAATAGGAGAATAAGATATGTTTCAACCATGTAATGGTCAGTAGTTAAATACCATGGCTTGATATAATATAACCTACGTATTCTAAGTATCCTTAAATAACATAATGTACCGTACTCAGAGCGTATGCAATCCGTACATTACGCAGTTACCGTGTTCTGAACCTGTGCACCGTACGTCACAGACGTAGCCGTGTACGGAAGTCTTGCAACCGTACGTCATGGATTGTCATATAATATCACCTACCGTATTCTGAAGCTCTTCAATCTTCTTCGTCATCAATGCCATGGACGCCTTCATCAACGTGACGTCATTTTGTACAGCGGCGCAGCAGGAAGCGCCGGCGGGGGTGGCGACAGTGGTGTGAGTGTCGCACTGACCTTCGTGACCGAGTTTGACACTGTACTGACACTGGCCATTCATGAAGCTACATCCAGGGTCAAATGTGTCCCCGGGCCCATATTGGAGCAGGGACAACAGAAGTAACAGCACAAACATGGCAGCTGTGTAAAGGGCGTCCTGTATAATAACTCTGTAATCAGTGTGCCAGTGATAAGGTGAGTGTCAGTTTTCCACCTGCCAAGTCTCAATACGTGTACAACTAAGTTCCATGTGAACCACGTTCACAACTATGGTTCTTAGGATACCTTCTTGATCAGGAAATATTGAAAAAATACGCGGGACGTTTTTACGGTAATATCAGTAGTGCCTCATAATTTATCCCATTTGCGGAGATCGATGCTCATGCTGTTGATCACTGGATTGTCTGGTCGAGACTCGATTATTTACAGACCGCCGCCATATAAGCTATATTATTGTTGATTGCGGCAAACCAACCAACCAAGACTCATAACCAATGTTTTCCTAAGTCACACGACTTACCTGGCAGAATGTCACTATTTTCAACAGGAACAACTGGATAACCAATTTGATTCAAATTGGCGTTGGGTTAGTCTTATGGTTAAAGTGTTCGCTCGTCACGCCGAAGACCCGGGTTCGATTCCCCACATGGGTGCAATGTATGAAGCCCATATCTGGTGTCTCCGGGTGTGATATTGTTGGAATATTGCTAAAAGCTGCGTAAACACCTACTCACTCGCTCCATTGATTAAAGTCATGAGGGTCAGTGTGACTCTCAAATGACCCATGACCGATTATGTACTTGTTGACAGTCACGTAATCATATGTCTGAAACATTGCTGAAAGTGTGAAAGTCAAAACTCACTGACCAATAGCGGTAGTGGGTTAGTTTATTCTTGAAACGTTTGCTTGTCTAACTATGAATGTCGAATTCCACACAGGAAATTGTTTATTGCATTCCCGTCCAGATGTGGCTGAAATACCGTTTAGACATAATATATATAATATACATATATTTCATTTCAATACCGAATGTTCTCGTCACGATATGGCTGAAATATTGCCGATGTGACGTTAAATATTAACTCACTCACTCACTCACTCATCATCTGTTGGCAGAGAAATGGCATGCGTCCTGACTTGTTCAAACAAGCACAAACACACAAACAGACACACGCACGCACGCACGCACGCAATCACGCACACTTACCCACTTGCGGCACCTCTGGCTTTCCTTCCATAGCATGACAGCAATGATATCCTTGATCAAAGGCTAGATACCGAGAATGACAACAATCCAAAACCGTCTGTAAATACGTCTATTCTGTCTTATATAGAACAGTGCAATATCGTAGCTCGAAATCAAATAAAGTCGACATCGAATTAGCATCTACTTTTAGTAAAGATGATTATCGAAATACGAAATAAATTTTGTCACATGACACTGTAACTTATGCAGTGAAATATGAAACTATTAGTCAAATGCACAGCAACAATAACTGACAAAAAGTAGTTACATTCCTACCACGAAACATGCGACAATAACGGGTTAAACATTCTCAATGGTTTTTATTTACATACATATCAATATTGGAGAATGCAACAAACGTGCTTTCCACACAACATTCAAGGCCTCAGTAAAGCTTTTAGAGGTTTAATGGTAGACATGTCGAGGAAATTTCCAAATTTGATGCATCAGTGACAAAAATAGTGTCCGATGCAATTCCCTATTTTGACTTATACCATACGTTCCCGAATTATTTCAGGTGAACTAGACTTTGCATATGTTTGTGACAGTTGCTACCGGTGGGGCAGGATCCGCTCACCTTTTCGCGAACACCTGGTATCATCACTATTTGATAGTGATTCATAATCACATGCTCTGTCATCGTATCGCATGGTGACAATCACTGGATTGTCTTGTTCAGACCCGATTTGTTTACAAACAACATCCATACAGCTGTAATACTGCTGAAACAAATATCTGCCCATGATATAGTCACAACTGTACAATCGACCCTGCTTTTCGCAGAGATTTCTTATGAAAGTGGAAAGGGTTTTGCCGCGTCTATTTACACATCAACAGCGTTTGTATTCTGTTGTTTGCCATATCACGATTGGTATGACTTCACGGTGAAACAAATATCTAATTACGTCTAGATCTATTGTGGGATACGATTACGGAAACACCTAAAAGTGTTCCTTGATCCTTTTTACATGATTCTTCTCATGTGTTGTATTGGTCTGTGAGTACAACTCTGAGGGTGTTGTATTGGTCTGTGAGTACAACTCTGAGGATACTTAAAGGAAAACCACGATAAAGACTCACACACACAAGTCAACTCCCAGGTGACATTAGTGTTTGTTTTTAAGTCCGAATCTAATTTCGATGAATGAATCTGAAAATGCGTAATGACCATACATGTAGACTTAGAAAAGGCACCTAATGTAAAACTCTACCGACTGTTGGTATTATTAGTCATTGACTTTAAATGTCACATTACTCTAAAACTATTAAATATTATATACCTATGACAGTTGATGTTCGAATTCCACGTATGTACTGCAAAAATGAGTGAGTGACCGAGTTTAGTTTTATGCCGCACTCAGCAATATTCCAGCTATATGGCGGCGGTCTGGAAATAATCGAGTCTGGACCAATCCAATGATCAACAGCATCAGCATCGATCTAGGCACTTGGGATACGATGACATATGGCTACCAAATCAGCGAGTCTGACGACCCGATCCCGTTACTCGCCTCTTACAACAAGCATGGGTTACTGAAGATCACTTCTAACACGGATCTTCACGGATTGTACTGCAAAACAGTGTGCATGTGTAAGGTCACCTATATGACAGTCTAACTATCAAGAGCCGTGGACACATTTGCCCAGAACAGTTCCTGGTCGCTGGGGTCTTTTGGGTAGTCTACAAAACGGCTGTTCTGTACATCGTAAAGTATCACGGGTGGAATGTCCCGGTACGGAATGTCCTCCAACATGATGATGACCATGACAGATCGGCCAGTGGACACAGTCTCCATGTTGGCCATGTGTAACTCGTACCTACACCACTTCTTCTTCAGGAACGCCTGGGACAACAACAGCACAGTTTTCTTGCTGCTTCTGATCCCGTCGATGATGTTCTCAGCAATAGGAGCTCCTGGAAGAGAGTCTCGATCCCGGATGTAAAGTCTCTTCCCCTTCTGGTGTTCCAGCTTCTGAATCATGTCCTCGCGGACAAAATGAAGGTCATGGTCGGCGTAAGAGACGTAAACGTCAAAATCGTAAATGCGTTCATATTCAGTTTTGTTTTTTCTTAGTTTCAGTTTGAACACATAAAAAATGTAGATAATTTTCCAACGATATCGATAGCAGATAGTTGCTGCTATCAGGGAACAGATGAGGACGAATGTTGCAAGTAGTCCCATAGATAGAGCTATGAAATCAGAGCAAGAATCTCTCAGATTCTTTAGTACATCATGATCTTTAAAATGTATTACTTCCCCATTAATGTCAACGCAATGATACAGGTCTCTGTTTGCTGCATGAATGTTGGAGTTTAGCAACCATTCAAGAAATTCTATATTTTGACATGTACAGCGGAGGTCGTTTTTAGACAGGTCTATGGTAAAGTTGTGCAACGCGGCTATCCTGTCCATCTGGGATCTCAACCGTGGCGATATATATTTGATGTCGTTGTGTGAACAATTTATACTTGTAAGATTTAAGTTATGGTCCAAATCTACAAATAAACTGTCCATGTAGTTAAAAGAAAGATTCAATGTTGTCAGTGATTTCAATCCAGTAAGGAAATCCCGATGCAAGAACAATATTTTGTTGCTAGACAAATCTAAAACTTCTACTTTACTTTGATTCCGAAAATATTCCCCATTTTTAGACATTGTGAGTGCATTGTGGGATACATTTAGGTGCGTTAATGATGGAAAGGTTGCAAAAAAATATGGGTTAACTTTCGTGGCAAGATTTCCTGAGAGGTCAAGATGTGTGACATTTTCCAAGCCATATATAGGACCGAACCAATTAGCAAATATATTATAAGACAGATCAACACGTCTAAGGCTATTATCAGCAAAATGCAACTTTGACAAATCATATGCTAACTTACAATCTGTGTATTTTAGTGTTTTTAGATTTGGAGGAATGCCATAGGGTGTGATCGTATGCGCATTTTCCGGTATTTTTTCGTGTGGAGAATCCTCCAAATATTTCTCTGCTCTTGGTGTTGTGAAACATTTTTCAGTTTGATCGTGACTCGGTAAGGTATATCTGGTTTGGTTTTCCGGTTCCGCAAATGGTAACGTGTGGAGTCCCCTCGTTGTGCTTAAATCCAGAGTCTCCAGTCCTGTCAGGTTCTGTAGGTACCAGATGTATGAACCGTAGGTGAGACGGTTGTTCCTGACGCTGACTGTCTTCAGTGTATTCGGCAACAACCTGAACACATCTTCGTGAATCAATTCGATCCGGTTGTCGTTGGCCTCTAGCATTTCCAGGGACGTATTTTGAAGATTTAAACCAATCGACTTTGGTACCCAAACACATATAGTATGTTCTCCCACCATCTTGTTGATAAACAGTTGTCTTAGTCTCGAATTATTTAATCCCCTTGTAGCATTCGCGACTCCGTTTAATTTTAAGAAGGTGTTACCTGATATATCAAGAGTGTCAAGGTTCCGCAAGAAGGCAAGAGCTCCAGGCTCTACTTTAAAGATATTGCAATAAGAAACATTCAGATAGTGTAGCATCGGGACGTTTTGTAGGAAGTCCTTGGACAAATAATCAATTTTACAACGCCCATTTAATCCAGATAGTGAGAGGTATGTAAGATTGTACATCACTTCACACCCACTACCAACAGGACTTCGAAAAACACCATCCATAGTGAGACTCTCGAGAGACATCAGTGGACAGAGCAACGACGTGGGTATCTCGGCATATATATTGTTGCTCAAGCTCAAATATTTGAGTTTTTCCAAGGACGAAAATATTTGTGTAGACATGAGAATATACTTTAGTCTGTTAGTGGACAGATCAAGGAGGGCCAGTTCCCCAACACCACTAAAAGAGTCATTGTGAATTTCAGATAGATCATTAGAGGAGAGATCCAGGGAGGTCAGCAAGGAGTAGTTGCTTAAGTCAGAGTTCCCAAGGATAGTTATGAAGTTTCCATGAAGATTCAGATGACAAATATCGTGGTATGGTGACAGCGGAATTGTCGTCAAATTACGGTTTGAACAGTCTGCATGGTAACAGTCTCTTTGCATGGGTTTTGTACATATACATCGCGAACACAGGTCTGTTTCCTTGGGATCACTTCGTCCTTGGGATATCATTATGAGAAGTAGCAAACAAACACAGTCTTTGGGAGCCATTTGGGGAGACCCTGCAATACAAATACAAAATAGTCATAATTGAGAAAACAGTGACGTCTTCTATCTATGCGTCATCCTATAATCAGGACGGGGATAATATCTGATCACGAAAGAGTCAATGTATTCATAGAGTCAATGTTCCCTTTTTCCTTTCAGCTCGAAGTGTTGGTTTAACCAATGGCATATATATCTATGTAAGTACCCATACATCACCCACACTTTGTAATTAGGGGCGGTGAGGTAGCCTAGTGGTTAAAGCGTTCGATTCCCCACATGGGTACAATGTGTGAAGCCCATTTCTGGTGTCCCCCGCCGTGATATTGTTTGAATATTGCTGAAAGCGGCGTAAAACTAAACTCGTTCACTCACTATAACCAGGGCAATAAACATTAGAATCGGTAACCGTTATCATTTCCATAGTGTGTGACAATCAATTTTAATATTTTACATTTTACACAACTAGACATCTATATATCTATACATCTATGAATAACAGTTTTCACACAGGCAGGCACGGTATGACAAAATACCCAAAGAAGATGAAACTGCAATTTTTATTTTTTGTTATTTAATTATTATTATTATTATTTATTTATTTATTATTTATTTATTTAATTTTTTTTCATTTATTTATTTATTTTATTTTATTTTATTAATTTTTTGGGGAGGGGAGGCGACCACAGCGAAGAGGTGGGTCGATTTGTGCTGGACCCTGGCACCTTTTGCCCACATCACCATGGAAGGAGCGTGTATTGTGTTTAGTAAAACGTTACATGTAGAGATCTTAGTTCAACATTGATTACTTAGATCCGATGACTGGCATTACAGAGGGACGTCCATGTCCGTTACTTCTGCGCAATGTGCACACATGTCACTTTTCAGACATTTGACTGGCTAATTCTGAACCCTGACCCGCACTACTTTCGATATTCATTTTTACGTATTTGGAGCGTCTACATATATGTTAACCTTTGAATTGTCGCCCGTGAAGATCCGGGTTAGAATTGATCTTCAGTAATCCATGCTTGTCGTAAGAGGCGACTAACGGGATCGGGTGGTCAGGCTCGCTGACTTGGTTGACACATGTCATCGTATCCCAATTGCGTAGATCGATGCTGATGCTGTTGATCACTGGATTATCTGGTCCAGATGCTATTATTTCCAGACCGCCACCATATAGCTGGAATATAGCTGAGTGAGACGTAAAACTAAACTTACGCACTCTTACTATGAAACAGGTGAGGTGGCCTCACTGGTCCTCTTTATCTCAAGGTCGTAAATCACTAGAGGGCATTTATATTTATGATTCATATGCAGTATGCAGATACATATATCTGCGTAAGAAGGCGACTGTCGGGATCGGGTGGTCATGTTCGCTGACACATGTCACCGTAACCCAGTAGCGTAGATCGATGCTCATGCTGTTTATCACTGGGCTGTCTGGTTCAGACTCGATTACTGACAGACCGCCACCATACAACTGGGCTGTTGCAGAGTGCGGCGTTCAAAAACAAACCAATCAACAAATCTATTCTCATAATTACCGTGGCGTAGTAATACACGACGCAACTGTCATTTGTGACGTCATCCGGCCAACTGCTTACTATTTATACCTAATGTGACTCTTCCAACAACCCATGCGTCCCAAAGAGGGACATTCCATGCATCCCTAGGCGGGATAAGTCCAATACAACCCTCACACTGACCATAAGACATTACCTGGTCATATCACATGCATACCAAGGAGGAACAACCCATGCGTCCCAAAGAGAACACTCCAAGCATCCCTAGGCGGGATAGGTCCAAGGAGACCTTAAAAACCCACCAAAAACCAAAAAGAAACATGCGTCCCAAGGAGGGTCACCTCCCACTATGAATCCCAAGGTGGGACACGTCCATCAAGAGACATCACCTACCCACGACCCCACACTATGCCAACCGGCTAAGGCGACCTCAATAGCATCTACCTGGGGGCTGGCAGACGAAGATGATAGTGAAAACTCGACAACACCTAAACTACACAGTCTTTGACTCTCTGAAGTTTCGACACAGAGGTAAGTGAGATTGACGGATGTGCTGGAAACATTAAAGCACAAATGGGATACAAAATGCCATAGTAATTATAAATAGTGGCGTTACCACTGATTTGTGTGTGAGTGATATTGATGTGAGTGATGTTCGCGTGCTTCCTCGTATGAAACACAATGTTTTTCTCAGTATTCCTTTTCAGTAAAGCTTAGTTGTCGCAAACCTCAAGCGGAAAAAGAAAACTACGAGTACTTTCTACAAGTCATTTTTGAAAATCATTGTTTTCCGAAAATCCATATTCATCATATGTGTAAATTCACTAAAAAGTAAATTAAGGCAACCTTCATTAGAAATATAAGGAACATATTTGTGATGGTAAACGTGCTGGGTACCAAGGGCCATATATTACTGATAAGAAAGTCAGTGATACTGACTATGTTGTGCTAACATCGTCGTAAAAAGACACAGTTTTGTCATGTCAGTATGATTAAACACGGATGTAATATGTTACTACCTTATTTGCGTATACTTTTTAACTGATTTTTTAACTCTGGAGAGTTTCCTTCTGTTTGGTCACAAGAGCATTTATTTATCTTCCCTCTTCACAAAAAGGGAAATAAGAACTATGCTAATAACAATAGAGGTATTTCCTTGATGGACATATGCGGAAATATATTCACTTATACACAGATACGGAAGATTAATATTTTATCCCAATTTTGCACAAAATGGGGCTTAAAGGTTAATTTTACAAAAACAGAGATAATTGTTTTTCGCAATGTAGGTATATTTAAGAAGACCGAAAAATGGATGTTTAACCATGTGAAGTTGAAAACTAGAAGCTATTACAGCTATTTGGGTATTTTGTTTTCCAGCAGACTATCGTGGTCAAAAGCAGTCCAGACTCTTGTACATAAAGCTAATAAAGCCCTTCTTCCAATTAAACAGCTTCATCATAAATAAAAATCTTTCTCGCACTGTCTTATTTCAAATGTTTAATACACAAATTAAGCCTATCTTATTCTATTGCTCAGAAATATTTTCATGAGTGGATAATGCTAGAAAGATTTCATATAAAATACTGTAAATATGTTCTTGGTGTTGGTATTACCACAACAAATGCAGCTGTTTTATCTGAATGCGGTCGTCATCATATATGTTGTGATTCTATAATAAGATGTGTTAAGTATTGGTGTAAGTGATTAATCATGGAAGAGACTAGATATCCAAAACAAAGTTTAACCTATATTATGTTAAAAAGAATGGACGATAATAACCGGAAGTCATGGATTACTGAACTGTGGGTTTTAGCCATGCATGGGATTTTCAAAATATTGTTAACACTCATTTATTTGTTAAGCAGTTTTCTCAACGAGTTAAAGATTGTAATATCCAGTGCAAATTTCTATGTTAAATGAACATTCTAATTTAGAGTTCTATTCATGTGTCAAAAGTGCATTTAATGCGGAATCATATTTGTCGACTTTATATAACAAAGATTTAAGAAGATTTGTATCACTATTAAGATTAAATAATTAAATATCATGAAGCATGCAGGAAGAAGAAATAATGTCCCAAGGGAATTAAGATTTTGTCCATTTCATAAGAACCTTTAGAAGATGAGGTTCATTTTATGTTTATTTGCCCACAATATGATGATTTAGGAACAAGATATATGTTAACATTGACTGTAAAGATAGAAATCTCTCATTCGCCTTCTTCAAAATGAAAATACTAATTATTTATATATGTATGCAAAATATATTAAGGAAGCGTTTATTTGCCCACAATATGATGATTTAGGAACAAGATATATGTTAAACATTGACTGTAAAGATATGAAATCTCTCATTCGCCTTCTTCAAAATGAAAATACTAATTATTTATATATGTATGCAAAATATATTACGGAAGCGTGTATGCGACGTAGCGCATTACTATTGTAAACATATACAGTGGAAACCGCCTAAGGAAAGACCGCTTAACTAAACAGACCTGATAAGTAAACACTATTCCTTGGTCCCGGCACATCTCTTCATTAATTATCATTATTAGAGTCCGGTTAACTAAACTCTGATAAGTAAACAATACCGATTAACTAAAGGTTTTTTCACGATCCCTGGAAGTAAATTACTTAACAAAACAGACCGGATAACTAAATTAGCGATCACCACATAATCCGACATGAGGGGCTCGTGTCAGTCTCCAGCTAAACAAACATCCTACTTACAGCTCGCTGGCGTCATGCAGTTAACAATACACTGACAACTGGAAGCCAGCCCTGATAAGTTGTTCATTGATTTATGTAGCTTGCGAGTATCAGTGATTACACCAATCAGCAATGACAGTGAGTTTATCCCCTCGTCTACCACCTACTCTTGTGATGATGCCACAACAGCAGCCCTAGAAATCGTCAGGCGTTATGTGTAAATATGTTCTAGTTATTGTGCATATAATTTCTTTTGTATTATATTGTATTATACATTGTGCATGGGCCTGTGGCCTTTCTACTGAATAAAGTTGTATATAATATAAGAAACATATTAGTGTTTTTGCCTGGTCAACAATTACGTGCTGGGTATCATGGGCCATATATTACTGATAAGAAAGTCAGTGATACTATATATGTTGTGCTAACATCGTCGTAAAAAGACACAATTTTGTCATGTCAGTATGATTAAATCCACCATGAAAGAAATGTCAATGTACCTACTCAGTATGTTGCCACTATTGCTCCTGCAGATAATATAACAGACTGTGATGCTGACGAGAGGACCCGTGAAGGTCCGGGTTAGAATATTGGCCTTCAGTAACCCATGCTTGTCGTAAGAGGTGACTAACGGGATCAGGTGGTCAGGCTCGCTGACTTAGTTGACACGTCATCACGTCGTTTACAGACCGCCGCCATATAGCTGGAATATTGCTGAGTGCGGCGTTAAAAAAGAAACCAACCAACCAACCAACCAATCTACCAACCAACCAACCAATCTACCAACCAACCAACCAACCAACCATCTACCAACCAACCAACCAACCAATCTACCAACCAACCAACTAATCTACCAAGTTTGAGTATAGCATTCCAGCGTGTATGATAGTTGAAGGATGTGATGAGAATAGATTCACACGTCACATCCACAACTTCGAGTTGACAATATAGGCGATGTTGTGAAATAATATGAGTATTTGATCCAACGTTCTCGAGGACAAAAATTACATAAACTTCCCGAATCCCGAAACACACATCGCACGCTAACCTAACGGAACATACAGAATGACTCACTTCCTAAAACTTGCCTTATGTCCTATATATTGCAACAGTATGTTTATATACTGGACACGAAATTATGACAGTAAATATTGTATTACCCGCGCCCTCTCGATGCTACCAACTGGACGAGGACATAAAGGTTCTGCGGACTTGAAAGGTTCTAAAGTCGAAAGTTTAAGTACACGAATTTGAAGGCAAACTCTCATGAAGCAACTCGTAGAGCAACTTTTGTGGGATTACGATTCATGCACAGTACGACATGATTTTTGTTCTATCCCAAAACTTCCACATCCCAAAACATCCACATCCCAATAATACCACACATTGTTAAAACAACAACTCCTCATCTCCCCTTATTAGGTAATAGGATAGCTCAGGAAGTGCACTGAACTGATACAACAGATAATGATCCTGATTTTATTCAGAGAGTCCATGTACCCTTTTTCCTTTCAGCTCTAAGTGTTGATTTAACCTGACTGTTTTTCTTGTAATGTACTTTATAGGTGTAATTGAACAGTCCAGGAACTTTGGAGGAAGTGCACTTTCTTTCGATGCCCTAAACAGGGAACAGAGGAGTAGTAGAGACTTAGCAGAGTAGAGATTTCGTTGAGAATAGAGCAGTTAGGTAATAAATTTTAAACATATATATAGATTATTTCGCCTGCGAGAACAACTGAGACAAGGACAAAAGACACCACTCCAATTTCTCGATGCTGTTGGACATTATTTAGGGTTTGACTCTCAAATGTGCTCGTGAAATCTTGGATATTATAGGACAGAAGTTCTATATAAATATGTAGTTCTCTCTCTCTCTCTCTCTCTCTCTCTCTCTCTCTCTCTCTCTCTCTCTCTCTCTCTCTCTCTCTCTCTCTCTCTCTCTCTCTCTATCTCTATATATATATATATATAAAAATGTTCTACATAGACTGTTATTTTAATGTATTCCTTAATAAAATATACAATCTATTACTAAGTGATTGTTTGTATTCATTACTGGTTAATGGGCTAAACCATTACAGACAGAGGTAATCAGTAGGCCAAAGCGTGTTCAGTCAACCAGAAATGTTGTTGTTATAAGCTGTGGAAGTTTGGGGATGTTGAAGTTTTGGGAGGATACCCATGATTGTAAGTACGGTTCCGGCAAATCCGGAATATATTTGGAAACAATGTGAACACTAAAAGGCAATATCAAAGTGAGCAACGGGGACAGTTCTATGGATATACAACAGTTACTTCTTTTTCATTAATGTTAGCGACTTTTGGTGTAGATGCTAATACTGTTATAGAGGAAGTGATCATAACGGTGTTACAATCTACACCGAAACGTCGCTTACATTAATAATAAAAGAAGTTGTATATTCATAGAACGTTCCCTGTTGTTCATCACACAAACTTCTAAATGCCACTCAAAGAAGTTAATATCAAAGCGTTTACAATTGAGAAGCACAGCTCACCTGGCTTCCTTGCAACACCATGTTGTGACAGACCTACACAGGGTTTAGTCCAGTTGACTTAAAAGGTTACAAATAAAAAGTAAGCAAATACAACACAACCACTCACCTTTCTTCCTTCTCTTGCTGTCTGTTTACCCGGGTGGCCATGTGATGGATCGGGGGTAACGAGGAAGTTTGTTTGTGCTGGATGAGCCACAGCGCGAAAGACAAGGAAACACATGATTCGTCTATGATCACATGACATGACTTTAGGCACGATACTGTGCATTTCAAACTGCCGTGAATAGCCTTGCGGAAGTACTATAACCGATATCTACTTCCTGATACAACACAGTTGAGTTTGTATATGTGTATTTAATCTCTCAAGTATGCATATCGTGTTCGCTATTGAGCTGTTGTAACTTTGAAGGAAACACTAACTAGCATAGTGATATGAATGTAACTAATATGTTATAAACATGTTGTAGTGATCAAAGGGACATGACCTTCACTCCCCAAACTCTTCCACAAACACATTCTATTCATACACATAAAATTATTGCATCCTCAACTTGCTTGCTTGCTTGCTTTCTCGCTCGCTCGCTCACTCACTCACTCACTCACTCACTCACTCACTCACTCACTCACTCACTCACTCACTCCTCACTCACTCACTCACTCACTCACTCACTCACTCACTCACCTCACTCACTCACTCACTCACTCACTCACTCACTCACTCACTCACTCACTCACTCACTTATTTGCTTACTTAATGTGTTAGCTCGGAAATATTTTTCAGATCAAATTTAACGTTGTTATAACCAAGTTGTTATCGGATAAATTCAGCTCACGAATTTATTTTAATCCAGGCAGACATTGTCATCCAAGTTTGCTATATTATTAGCAGATATATTCAGTTCCACTAATGTGTGCAGATTCCCAAAATATTCATGTGAAAATCTGTCTCGAAAAGAATATCGAAAGAATTATAGGATGTGTTAAGGTATTTCAGTGACTTGAAAGGTCGAGGTGTGTCAGATTGTCTCACCGAGTACTGGGCCATTCCAAACGTTGAAAATATGTAAATACTTTAAAATGATTAAGATTTTTTTCTTTCAAAATGTAGTTCTGACAAATTGAAAGCTGATAAGGAAAATGTTGCATGGTATATTGGGAATAAACATTGCAATTAGCACGCCTAAACGAGAGCCTGAAAGGATCCTTAACGTTGCAAGTGATATTCGCCCCGGTGTCCAATTCTGCAGTTGCTCAGGGTTAAATCTTGCGTGATAAACTCGATATATATGTAATGGTTCCTTGGATCTCAAGTTAAAGAGAGACGGTGGGGTAGCCTAGTGGTTAAAGCGTTCGTTCGTCACGCCGAACACCCGGGTTCGATTGCCCACATGGGCACAATGTGTGAAGCCTTTTTCTGGTGTCCATCACATGATATGGCTTGAAAATTGCTGAGTGAATTTCCTAAAGAATAAAATGTCTGCGATCTATGAGTTTAATGAATTGCAATATCTGAAACAGGACCTGCATTGTAAACTATTTGCACCCAATCTCAGTGTATATACATACAGGGCACGGTAAGACTGCACGGTATTACCGGTATATCGCAATACACTTTTCAAGTGATATGAATTGCAATATCTTTTTCTGAGAACTGGTATATTGGTGAGAGTAAAATGTCAGTATCTGGAGTCACCACCATGAGCATCGATAACAGCTTGGCAGCGGTGACCCACAGAAGAAAGGAGATGCCGAATGCTTGAGGAATGTTTTGATACTCTTGCTAAAGTGCTGCGTGCAGTTCTTGTAGTGTCTGAGGTGGCGTCGATCAAGAATATCCCATAGATGTTCAAGGGGGGACAAATCGGGTGATCGAGAAGGCCAAGGTAACATCTGAACATTGTTTTGCTGGAGGAAGTCCTGTCAAACACGTGCAATGTGAGGTCGAGCATTGTCATGCTTGAAGGAGGGAACGACGCAACGTTGAACTGGTCTTCTGGCAAAAAGTCTGACTTCCCATAGCCAATTGCGCACTGTCTGGTCGGAGATTCGGCGCAGTCCAGGGATTTGGATTGTTGTGGATGATGCAGCCGTAGTGTTTGAGCGAAGATGTCTCAACCGGATGTAGCGATCCTGGGCGGCGGTGGTAACTCTAGGTCGACCTGACCGTCTGTCATTAACACTCCCAGTATTGTTGTATCGGGTTCATAGGTTTGAGATGGTCTATCTGGACACGCGGAAGTGCCTTGCCACCTCTCGATGCGATGCCCGTCCTTGTAAACGGCCGATGGCGTTGTGCCGTTGAGCTTTTGTCAGTCTTATCATTTTCTTGTCGTCTAGTGGCTTAAAGCAATGCATGTGGAGTACCATTGATGTGGCTTTTTAAAGCCTACAGTCATAGGCTTCAGCTCAGGGTGATACACAATTTCAGGATGCACGTGCATGTCATGTAGGTGCCAGTGGGAACAGGGAGTCAGGGTCGGTAAGTTGATTATTAGTTGATCATCATTAGGCGTTCATCATACTGACCACTGGTTTGTCAGCCAGTGAATGAGTGCAGCAAAAAACAACAACCAAGCAAACAGCCCAAAAATAAGCACCTGCAAGTTCGTATTTTAATTCTTTTTCTTTATGCATCATTTTAGTATAAAACAAACAAAATATATGAGTATATTCAAGAAACTGAAATGACTGCAAGTGAGAATTTGCTTAAACTGAGACTGGGATTAAATATTATTTTTACGCTAACGATGTTTACATATACAAAAATCAGAAACTGCCATCCAGTTGCAAGTCTATCCTTCAATAGCAGCAGTTACATTCGCCCAAAACAGTTCCAAGTCGCTACTTGCTTTAGGGTATTCAAGAAACCGACTTCTTTGAAAATCATACAGAATCTCAAGCGGAATGTCGTTCTTAGGAATGTCCTCAAGCATGATGATGACCATGACAGATCGGCCAGTGGACACAGCCTCCATGTTGGCCATATGTAGCTCGTACCTACACCACTTCTGCTTCAGGAATGCCTGAGACAACAAAAGCATCGTTTTTCTGCTCCTTCTGATCCCGTCGATGATGTTCTCTGATATGGGAGCACCTGGAAGAGAGTCTCGATCCCGAATATACAAGCGAGCTCCACGGAGGTGCTCAAGAATCTGTATCATGTCATTGCGGACAAAGCCAAGGTCAAGGTCGGCGTAGGATACGTACACGTCGAAGTCAAACAGACGGACGTATTCTTTTCTGTTATTTCTTAGTTTCAACTTGATGACGTAATACCAGTATATGCTTTTCCATCGATGTCGGTAACATACCACAGACGACATAAGGAAAAGTAGGAATACAAGTGACGTCAGAACTCCCAAGGTCATTCCTAAGAAACTGTTACATGATGCTTTAAGGTTCGTTAGTACAGCATCACCATGATCTTTAAAAGGCAATATGTTCCTGTCTTTGTCAACGCAATAAAACCCTGTACATTACTAGCAATCTTGGAACTTAATAACCAATCAAGGAAGTCAATATTCTCACAAGTGCACAGTAAACCATTGTGAGATAAATCTAATTTCAGATCTGGTAGCAATTTCATTTGAGATCTGCCATGTGGCTTTATCGATTTTATATTGTTGTAAGCACAATTAAGATCTTGTAGGTGAATATTATGTTCAAAATTAAAAGAAAGGTTGAAAATCGAATTATAAGACAAATCTAGAATTTTAAGAGATTTTAAACCAGTAAGGAAATCTCGATGTAAGAGAAAAATACTATTATGAGACAAATTTAAATATTCTAATTTGCGTTGATTGTAAAAGTAACGCTTATCTTTACAACGATTGTTCGGAAATCCAAATGAGTTCCGCGACAGGTCCAGATGTATGAGAGATTTGAAACTGCTGAAAAAGTATGGCGATATGTGTTGAGCAGAGTTGCCTGAGAGATTTAATTTGCTGACATTTTCTAAGCCCAATATTGGACCAGTCCAAAGCGTAAATGCATTATTTGATAAATCAATGTGTCTCAGTCTGTTATCCTTAAAACACATTTTTGACAATGCAAACGATAATCTGTGATTGGTGAGTGTAAACGTTGTAAGATTAGGAGGAATTCCTAGACATAAAATATCTTTTTTATCTTTAATGCTCTCCTCGAAAAGCAAAATATCTTCTGGACCATTTTGTTGAACCTCATCATTTTGTTCATGTATACAGTGTTCACCATCACAAATATTACTCCACTCAAAGAATATGGATTGGGCATAGTCTATAACGCGTAGTTGATGCCCTATCGACTTTTCACTCAGATCCAGATATCTTAAGCCTGAAAGGTTCTGAAGATTATGGACGTACTGCCCATAAGTAAAGCGGCTACTCTGGATAGTAACACTCTGCAGAGTCTCTGGTAACAGACTGAAAACATCCTCGTGGAATATTTCAATGCGGTTTGCATTGGCTTCTAACATGTATAAAGGAGTGTTCTGGAGATTCAAAGCAAGGGTCTTTGGAAAAGTTATGCAGATGCTGTGCTCTTGGACGATTTGGTTCATTATCAAATTTCTGAGTTTCGAATTGTGAAGTCCCGTTGTTATGTTTTGAATACCATTGAACCCTAAATCCCGGTTTCCGGACACATCCAGAGTCCGGAGGTTGTTAAGTGAAGACAGGGCGCCAGGTTCTACGGTCTTCAGCTTACAAAATGACATATTTAAAAATTCTAACTGCAGGAAGTTATCGAGTATCTCCTTTGACAGGTTATCAATATGCGAACCTGATAAAGACAGATATTTCACGGGTAGCCCTTCACTGAAGGTTTGATTCACAACCATATGTCCAGAAGTATGTCTCGAAGCGCCAGTATTTCCATCTATGGCAATTTCCATCACACTTATATTCAGCTGTTGTAAAGATGTTAACGGAATCAATGTATCTGGAATGATAAACGATGATAAAATATTTCCAGCTAAATCCAAAGAGATAAGTTTTTCCAGACCAACAAAGGCAGCATTTTCAATGTAGGATATTAGGTTAAAGGAAAGATCAAGGAAGGTCAAATTCGTGTACCACAGGAAATCGTCTTCCTTTAGTGCGTGAATCTTGTTGCTGCTCAGATTCAGATCACAGATGCGAGTATTGTTGGATGGTTTCTTTGGTATTTCAACAAGCCCCCGACTGTGGCAATCCGCCGATATACAACCTTCTGTCTCTGTACAGTGACACGCTGTAAGGCTGGCGACACAACATGAACAGAACATGATCTGTGCCAGACACAACAGAAGACACTGACGATCCATCGTTGAAGAACCTGTAATGAAAGGATATTGGTAAAGAAAGTTATAAAGTGTACGAGACGCGTTGTAAGCTTTAGAAATTACCCCCTTGAGCTCATCATGGGTAATTGGTGAATTTAAATATGAAGAAACATCAGCCGAGCCAATGGTATAAACTCGGCTTCGTGGGATTCCTTAACTTGAAGTGTTTGAAGGAGGTTTTCAGAACTGTCTAAATTGTCTACCAACATGCTGCCATGTTATCTGATATGCCCACAGCCCAATGGTTCTGAAACACACCAGCACCACGTTTGATTCAAACGCCCAAACACAACAGCCTATTGCATGTGGAAGACAGACTTCCCATGCAGCTTGTGGCAACTAGGCACTGACATACAGACAGACAGAATAGTTTATTTACATCTCACTCGCACAAATATAATACATATAAGTGATACAAGATATAAAAGCAATTTATGAGAGATGTTATAACACATAAGAAGATAATCCTTTGTACAATGTAAACACACGTAAGTATATATATATATATATATAAAATGAAACACACCACAAAGTTATTTGTACAGTAAAAAGCGTCTATGCTCTAAAATATCACAGCAGGTTTTGGCTAAACTAAAAATAAACTCTTCAAACGTAAGGGCAGGTTACTGAGGCGCTGTAAAATCAGTAAAAAAAGGGAAATTTAACACAGCAAAGCTATAGAAGATCGCTTGTAAATATGTTTTCTACAGGGATGTTGTCATATCGGCCAGTCTCTATTCTCAAAGGGGCGACACCATATCTAAACTTGGATAGCGCACTTCGATGTTTCCTTGGCATGTTGACATTAACATATTTTTCACATCCATTTTCGTGTTTAAAAGTCTTATACGTCCTCAGTATGCTATTAGTATCTCCATTTATAGTATCCTTCCAGGTCGCCTTGAAACTTGTAAGCATAGCTTGTTCCACTGTGCTAACTAAGAGTTTCTTCTCTGTCCTCAAATCTATGTTGAATAAGTGCTGTAAGTTGATTTTCTTAAAATGTTCAGGGAGTCTAAAATTCCGATTTCGTTTCCTTTTCAAAACTGCCATTTGATCTGCCCATACTAATATATACTTTTATTCAGCCGTCTTTCTGTCGTGTTAATCATTCGGTCCCACTGGCAGTTGTAAATCGGTTCCGAAGGGCTTAGAGCACAACATCGGTCATCTGCCCTTGATGGTTTTTCTGGATCTTCCAGAGCGAGGTATGTCCTGTTTTCTACCAGTGGCCCCGAACACGTCCCTCAGTCTGTGAATGACCGAGGGAAACACCTGAAGACTGCGAGCAACACTTCTGTCGTGGGCGCGTACCGTTCTGCGCTGTGGCATGGTGAAGAAGTTGTAAGGCACTAGTCTGTTGTGTTTGGACGTTTGAATCAAACATGGTGCTGGTGTGTTTCAGAACCCTTGTTTTACGCTGTTTGACAATGTTTCATTTCACTCAAATTCAACGAATATTGAATCAGTTGCTTCTCTGCATGTTCCAACATGTCGTTTAAATTGACCATTAAGCACACAAAAAGTTGCTTTTACCTTAGGGTATAAATGACCTCACCACGTTTCAGTTTATATATAACTATCAAATTTTAGGGTGTTCCCATACTTTTTGTTTGTAGTATATTACTAGAAAGTTACATCTATTACAATTGTGGTCATTTCAACCTATTTCAAGGGAGCGACATTTATTATCATGGTCTTGATGAATTCGTAAATTCATCTAAATGTTTCCGCAATGATTCATGACATTTGGTATTTGTATAGAAGAAGTAACGCGACTTAAACACGTGGTATGTCACGAGGCTAACACTGGAAGAGGAGATAGATTACAGATTAATCTCACATATCATCATGACCAACTCATTAATGCTCTTGACCTTCGATGACCACGGGTATTTCAAACTGAGACGCCTGATTCTGTTCTCATCAGTAGTGATTCGTGAAGCATGCAACTTTATGGATGAAAACTTCTTGTTTATTGCATGTAGATTCTTACACGTTATCAAGCTAAAGGTGTATCGGTGTAAGAATCTACATCGAAACGTCGCTCTATGCAATAAACAAGAAGTTGTCATCCATAAATTTGTATGCTTTATTTTTTGACCCACCAACTTCTAGAATGCCGATCAAACAATTAGTAACTCCTCAGTAACGTTCGATTATTTATTATAAGTCGTTTCCAATGTATTTCTCAACGGGGCGGTACCGGTGTACCGCTAGTCTTCCCTCCAAAGTCAGACCTACAAGCCGTGTGGTGACAACAGTTCAAACCCAAATCTCTTACTATACATTCTGAAGACTTAAACAGGTGGGACAGGCGAACTGTAAACAAAGTTCAAATACTTACCTTTTGAGATGAGACCTGACTAACTGTTACGTATTCTGTCTGGCTACCCAAATTGTCCTAAAACACAAGCTCGATTCTTGAAAACTGATGGTGCAGGAAAAAGAAACTTTTCCCCAATTAAATATGACATCGTAAATAGTCCACGTGAGCTGGAGGGGTTTCGGTGTGAGACACACCTCGTACTAGATCTACACTTCCGTACGCACGGGACACTCCAGATACCTTACTAACTGGGTCTATCCGTAGATTCATTTGCCCATGTGATCACACTCCAACTCAGAGTTCCATGGGGCCACGTCAAGCCGAAGACCCGGGTTCGATTCCTCACATGGGCACAGTGTTTGAAACCCATTTCAGGTGTCCACCGCCGTCATGTTGCTTGAATATTGCTATACGCGGCGTAAAACCATACTCATTCGGTGCATGGGGCCAGCATGGGCAGCCGCCATCCGTCACATCTTACGCAGTCTATTCTAGATATTGTTGATGTTTTTTATCTGTTACAGTTTTGACCGGTCTACATAAATACATAATCATATTATATGGTATAGACTAGTTAACTGCCATGGAGAAAATATCCTAAACGGTGATGAACTATATCCACTTGCGTAGTAATCTTTGTTTACAATCGTTGTACAGCTCCACGTGCTGTAATCCAGAGTGATAGAGTTGCCGAAAGGAAGTTCAAATACTTTTGACCTTTTGAGATGAGCCTGACTAATTGTTACGTAGTCTGTCTCGCTACCCAAATTGTCCTAACACACAACAAGCTCGATTCTTGAAAACTGATGGTGCAGGAAAAAGAAACTTTTCCCCAATTAAATATGACATCGTAAATAGTCCACGTGAGCTGGAGGGGTTTCGGTGTGAGACACACCTCGTACTAGATCTACACTTCCGTACGCACGCGACACTCCAGATACCTTACTAACTGGGTCTATCCGTAGATTCATTTGCCCATATGATCACACTCCAACACAGAGTTCCATGGGGCCACGTCACGCCGAAGATGGGCACAGTGTTTGAAACCCATTTCAGGTGTCCTCCGCCGTCATATTGCTTGAATATTGCTACACGCGGCGTAAAACCATACTCATTCGGTGCATGGGGCCAGCATGAGCAGCCGCCATTCGTCACATCTTACGCAGTCTATTCTAGATATTGTTGATGTTTTTCATCTGTTACAGTTTTGACCGGTCTACATAAATGCATAATCATATGATATGGGATAGACTAGTTAACTGCCATGGAGAAAATATCCTAAACGTGATGAACTATATCCACCTGCGTAGTAATCTTTGTTTACAATCGTTGTGCAGCTCCACGTGCTGTAATCCAGAGTGATAAAGTTGCCGAAAGGTTTGTATTAGATCAGTTTTGCTCATTTTGTTCTGATTATCGAAGAGACACACACAAGACAATCCCGGTCACGTGACATGCAAAAGACCTCGTGGCAGTGATGTTATGACGGTGTCCTCTCACTTAACCAGGTTCTGTCAAAACAGGTCTCTCACATAGCCAGAGTGGGATTTGGCTGACTAGGGTTAGTGTTTTGATTACACTTAGTCCAGATGAGCCATAATTCGTTTCAACAAAATGCTCATTTAGTGAGATTAGTGAAATTTGTATTAAAGTGAGATACATGTACATTGATATGGTATTATTTGAATTTTTATTTAGGATTTGAGGAAATGCTCAGCTGGTGACATTAGTGACATTTGTATTTAAGTGAGATACATTGATATTGTATAATTTGAATTCTCTTGGGGGATTTCAGGAAATGCTCAATTAGTGATATTTGTAAAATGATTTTAACTAGTCCAAGATTATTTATGCAAAAATAATTAATATTCCGAGCACAAACATTTAAGCCTCTGGTTTTAAAAAGACGCAAATTGGACTGCACAGATAAATTCTGTACTTGTTAAAGTTTCACCAATGATAAATTGTTTAAGGAGTTACAAATACCGGTTATCAAGAAAAACACTATTCGTGATGTATAAATCCTTTATTCTGACATTATTTGTGCGCATGAGGGCGAATCAGCTCTCGAACCATTGCTGAACAAATGTAGCTTAAGTGCAAGTTTCAGGACAATATCCATTAGCCCTTTCTGGTGTGTGTGTGTGTGTGTGTGTGTGCGTGCGTGTGTGTGCAAAAAATGCAAAAATGCGAAAGCAATAATATATATATTCATTCCTGATAAATGATTATCCTGTCCTCTTTAAATACACGAGAATGGGGTACAAGCCCCTGCAACCGCCCATCACTTTCTTTCTCGTCGTTATCATTACAAAATCGGGGTCTAAAGAACTAACTGATTTTTTGCAAAAGATGTCCTCTGCTATATGTGACGGTAGATGTCGGTGTTTGTGTGCAGCTTCGATAAATACACTCAGTAAACTCAATCCTGAGTAATGATACAAGTAACTAAATGATAAGATATACGTATATAAATTCCCATTTATAATTCATTTAGTCCCATAAATTAAGTTAAAGTGAAACATAAAACATTCCCACATTACAAATTATATGTGTTTTCATAAATGGTGCTTACTGTATAAATCAGGATTCAAATCCACAATTATAGGTTTCTGGCGTACCCAATGGACGAAACTCTGTAAGCAGATCGCATCGCTTTCGACGACTGGATCTCCCGTTTACAGACTGGTTCCCAGATGTCTTTGAGCGGCGACATTTTTATGATGCATATTTTTTTCACGATCTGTTCCTATAACTAATTATGATCTCAGACGGAATAATACGTTATAGTCTCGGACTTAACAAAACATGTACAATGACACGTTTAAGGAGAAGTATTTTAAGAAGTTCAACTTTAGAGAATTAATGCACACGGAGTAGTTACATATTCTGAACATCAGGTGAATTGTTTGTATCTCAAACTATGAAACTGTTGTACAGTACTTAAATATGCATACTATGTTAAACGAATATCACCTACTTGTGTCCTACACTGTATATCATCACAGTTTTCATATTTCTTATACAAAATAATATATGTGTCGCATGTTTCACTGATTTGTGATCTGAGCTCAATATGATCTGGATGATGATGGATTTTATACTGTACTGCGTCCAACATCTTCGGGGCACGATATGAGACGCGGTTTTGAAACCTGACCACCCTATTTGATCACACTTCCGCATTCTGCACAGTGCAATCTTGTTCAGACTAAGATATGATAAAACTGTAAGATTATTTATAAATATAAGATGTGCACTGTACGTAAGAATATTAACACCAGTTAACCAACACGGACTAATTTATATTATCATTAGTTCCATGTCAATTTATTGAAATATCATGTTAGTAATTGTGTCAGAGTGAATGTTTTGTCTAAGTTGTTGTATAATTCAATAAGTTGACTGATAACATTTGGTCTATAATTTTCAGGTTGTTTTCCCTTTCGTATGTGAGGTTGGGTGAAATTGGGTTAACGTCGTGCTTGAGAATATTTTGCTCATATGACGACGTGCATGCGTGTGTATGTGTATGTGCGGCTGCTTGTACTAGCCCAGACTTAAACTGGTTTTATAGTGCTAGCCCACTGAGATACCATGCCGCAGTGAAGCATGAATACCCCACTCAGACACATTATACTGACTCCGAGCCGACCAGTCCTTGTTGTACCCATTAATGCCGAGCGCCAGGCAGGGACCAACAAGTACCATATTTTAACGTCTTTTGGTATGACGCGGTCGGGTATTGATTTCAGAACTAACTCCCCAACACTACCACCTTTGTACATTAATGATGAACCATTTGAGACAGTCACTGAATACAAGTACAAAAGACATCAAGCATTCACTTCAATATTTGTGTGTTTATGGAGGCATAACTTTTGAGTGTGGAGTTTCCATTGGATGTGACATCCATCCAATGACCATGAAACTGACATTTGCAAGTGTAAGAGCAACACGAAACTGACGTTCGTAAATATGTGAACAACGTGAAACTGATGTTCGTAAATGTACCAACACAGATGCCTTGTATAGTAAATGTCAACAACGCCTCCATCTAATGCGCAAACTGCGATCTTTTAACGTTTCCCAATCTTATGATGTTGTTTTATACCACTTTTATTCAGAGTATACTCACTTTTTCTTCTCAGTGCTGGTTCGAGTCTCTTTCAGTCAAAAACAAATCAAAACTTAACAAAATTGTAAATACAGCTAGTGAAGGAGCCGGGGTCACTATCGATAATCTTTCACTTCTCTATGAGCGGCAAGTACTTTCAACGTCTGAATAATCATTAATGACACAACAAGCTTCTTAAATCTAGAGTATAAACTTTTACCTTCGGGCCGCCGCTACACAGTGCCAATCACCAAGACAACACGAGCTCGATCGTCTTTTGTACATCAAAGTATTGTAATTTTAAACAAATGTTGAATGTCCAGTTATCATCTTATTCATTTAATTATCTTTAATCACATATTTATCTCTTTTAATGTTTTTAGCAATTTCATATTTATGTTGTTATTCATTTGCATTTTTGTCAAGCTCTGTGATCCAAAACGAATTCCTTTTAAGGTAATAAAGTATTGTCTATTGTCTAATCGAACCCGCGACCTTCCACTCTCCGGGCGGACGCTCTAACCAGTACACCACGGAGGCGGTTCTTTTGTAAGTGATCCAATAATAGTGAAAGCTTTTCATTTGATCACACCAAGGAACATGTCTATATACACTGGAATTCGATCTGTACACAAGTAAACGCATTTCTTCGATGGTCCATATGTATCGTAACCGTGAGTATAGATCTAGCATGTATTACATTATGTGTATGCTAATTTCACCCTCTTCTCCTCTGTTCCTAACTTACATATACAATATACAATACTACTATTTGTTTCAAACTTTATCTTAAAAAGAAATACATAAAGTGTGTCAGAAATAACATAAGTGTGGTGTCACCTAAGATAATTCTATGTCAAACATGTAGTAATTAAAAACAGCAGACTGAAAATGTTAGGGTGTGTAACGCTTGTGGTCAAGGGGGGTAACTCTAACAATGTTTTGATTGGAGCTGTTGCTTCCGGGTTACCCAACGCGGGATGTGAAAACACGTTGTGATCACTGCATGACTGAGCAGACTCTCTTATGTCAATAAACACAAAACAAATTCCACGATGTGCTATTTCAAGTAACGTGACGTGCAAAAACTGAGCTTACAGTTACAGGATCGTTTGCAGGATGGGGCTTATCATATCGTTCTGTCAATTGATCTTTGAAAAATTGTTCAAGAAAAGCGAATCAAGGTGGGTGTTGAATGTGTTCGAGAATATTCTTTTCAGTTTTCTACACGAGTAGAGTAGCATTGAAATACACTGTCCTGTCACTCTAAATAAAATACAAGTCATGTACGCAAATAAACTACAATTTAAGAATCCCAAATTCTTTTCAAAGTGTAAAGGTAACGGTATATTGTAAATACTACTTATTTGAAACAGGTGTTGTGTAACCAGTTGAACGTTATCCAATGAGTGATGTGTAAACAAACTAGATCTAGGTTATTCAACGATATGTCATAATGCCGAATTTTCTAGCCACCTTGATATTTTAAATTAACATTATAAATCCATTCAAGCATTTTTTACCAAAAATGTCACTCAAACTGGTAATTAGTATTATTTTTCAGCTAAATATTTTTAATTGTTTATTTTCATCTATAAAGTAGTCGTGACAGAGTTATCTCCCTTTCGTCTGCTTTTTTGCCATCATGAATCACACTGTTTTCCCGTCCTGTGTGTAATAATAGATAACAAAACTCGTGGATGTTGAATATGGAAAATATTCCAACTCAATAGTTTTAAGTGTTTTGATTTATTTTCCATGTTCAACACGCACTCATTTTGTAATCTCTACCTGTTGATACATGTATTTTGTGTGAAGTATTTCTAATCCATGAATGGTCTTAAAAAAATATCTACAAAAATATAACCATTTGCAAAAATGAATCATTTTTGAATGTTGCTTTTTATTTGTTTCTGAACTGAAGAAACAAATTTGAAATTGAGGATGGCATCACCTTGTTTGGCAACGAACAAAGCCCAGCTGCAAGGAGAGTCCGTATTGCTCTTCATGAAAAGAAGATTCCATATAAACAGGTAAAATGCAGTCATTAAGATGGCATTTATATTCATGCTATCAGTCACTGTGTTATCTGACCCAGGCCCCAGGCTTATTTATAAGGAGGTCATTTTGAATCACTTCGAATATACTGTTGACTTCCCAGTATCAATGACAATATCATTAACTCACTAAAAATTTCACTTTTTTCACTCCGTAGCAGATGGAGATGGGAAATGAATGTTTTTTTGAAAGATTTATATAGTCAGTTTGCAGAGTTACGTCCCTTTTGACAATCCAGGATATGCCGATTTTGGGTTAACAGATTATGGTCCTTGCTTTGTCAGCAGTCACCATACATACTGGTTTCATTTGTATCACACTTTGTTTTGTTCTTTCAACATTTAGTTAACAGGTCATGAGGTCAAAAAAGCACTGTTTAAGCCAAACTCGCTCATTCTTTGGGGGGGTGGGGTAGCCTAGTATTAAAGTGTTCGCTCATCAAGCTGAAAACCCGGGTTCGATTCCCTACATGGGTACAATGTGTGATTTCTGGTGTCCCCCGCCATGATATTGCTGGAATATTTCTAAAAGCGGCGTAAAACCATACTCACTCACTCACTCTATCTTCTGTGTGTTTGTATGCGTCAGGTTGAAGTGGATCTGCTCACAGGTGAGAATCACCACCCAGACTTTGTGAAGATCAGTCCCAACAGAAAAATACCAGCGATTGCCTTTAAGAATGTGCAGGTAATAGAATTAACTGGTTTTACCACAAAATGTGTATTTTGTACTGTGTTCAAGTGTTTGTAAACCAAACCCTCCTTGATTTAAGGTTAGAATAAGACTAGAAATACTTCCATTTTATTCTAATACTGTAATAGTTAGGTGATTTTGTAAAATGGTGTCATCATATTGCATTCTAGAGCAACAATGTGACCTGTGAAAATACGGGTTAGAACTGATGTTCAGCAACCTATGCTTGTCGTAAGAGGCGACTAACGGGATCGGGTGGTCAGGCTCACTGACTTGGTTGACACATGTCATCGTATCCCAATTGTGTAAATCGATGCTCATGCTGTTGATCACTGGATTGTCTTGTCCAGATTCAATTATTTTACAGACTGCAACCATATAGCTGGAACATTGCTGAGTGCGGCGTAAAACAACAATCAAACAAAAAGTAACAGTGTGTCTACCTCACAAGTGTGAGGGTTGATGCAGAGAGAATGTGCTACAGAATCTGGCTGATGACTTTTGTATTCTATAGTGTTGATGAGCAAAAGGTATTTTCAGTGTTTTGAGTGTTATTTAGTAGTTCATTTCAAATATCACAATTTCCGTGAACACCTGCTAACTTGAAACACAAAATGTTTATTCCCATAAAAGCAAGTTGCTCCTCCTGATGCACCTTGGATGTGTGTGGTGCAGTGTTTGCTCATCACGCCAAAGTCCCAGGTGTGATTCATAACCCCCACATGGATACAATCTTTGAATCTCTGACTGTGACATTGATGAAATATTGTTAGACTGGCATAAACCATACTCATGTCTATATATTTGTGTTGTTCCATACTCGCGTATATATTTGTGTTGTTCCATACTCGCGTATATATTTGTGTTGTTCCATACTCGCGTATATATTTGTGTTGTTCCATACTCGCGTTGTTCCATATTTGTGTTGTTCCATTCCATACTCGTATATTTGTGTTGTTCCATACTCGCGTGTATATTTGTGTTGTTCCATACTCGCGTATATATTTGTGTTGTTCCATACTCGCGTATATATTTGTGTTGTTCCATACTCGCGTATATATTTGTGTTGTTCCATACTCGCGTATATATTTGTGTTGTTCCATACTCTCGTATATATTTGTGTTGTTCCATACTCGCGTATATATTTGTGTTGTTCCATACTCGCGTATATATTTGTGTTGTTCCATACTCGCGTGTATATTTGTGTTGTTCCATACTCGCGTATATATTTGTGTTGTTCCATACTCGTGTATATATTTGTGTTGTTCCATACTAATGTCTATATTTGTGTTGTTCCAAGGGCGTCCAAGATTGTGTGATGTTCGAGTCCAGCGTGATCATTGAGTACTTGGACACTGTATTCCCAGGAAGCAAGCTCTACCCCGTCGATCCCTGGGAAAGGGCACAGGTCAAGATGTGGATGGATTGGGAACTTGGTCTTGTTGATGTAAGCAAAAATAATGTCAGCGTTAAACTTTGAGTGATGCTCTCAAGCATGTGTGGCAGCCATGTTTGTGTACAGAATCGGCCACACATTTCAACCCTTTACACACGTATGGGGACCATCTGTCAACAGTTTATAGCAAACAGGTTCAAGATTTGGTTATGCAGCTTGAAAGTAGATCCTGGTAGGTGACCTTAGATCTGGGTTTGGCAGCCATGTTTGTCTACAGAATCGGCCACACATTTCAAAAATATTACACACTTATTAGGACGATTAGTTAACAGGTTATAGCAAACAGGTTCATGGGTTGATGTATGCAACTTGAAAGTAGTATCTCCAAGGTGACTTTAGACATAATGTTCGTCATCCATGTTTGTCTACAGAATCAGTACATTTTGAACACCTATAATTGGAACCACCCAGCTCTGAATGGGTACCTCAAAAGGATGGGAAAGTCACATTAACTCGGTGCGCTTTGTGGCTGCAAGAGTTGTAGCTCCCCAGCTAGTTGAGACTGAGAATATGATGTGCCGCTGAGACTGACATCCAATGATCGAGGGAAAAACAAGGAAGCACTTTGAGCATGCATGTGGGATAGTGGTGGTCCGATTAATTGAAATAATCGAAGATTGCTAGCAATGACAAAACGACCAAGCAATCGATCATGTTTTCATGTTCCTAACATGCTAGTCATCCTTTAAAGATGTGAAATTTGCAAATGCATTTTGTGCAATTTGCAAAGAAAACGAAAGAACTACATGTTTTTTTCTTTATCTTTTGGGCATTAACAAACATAACCAGGAAAATTTGATAAATGACGCTAACCAATTATTTTCGATGATTGATCGGTTGTAATGAACCAATCATCAATTATGATATTTAAACCAATTCCCAACACTAATGTGGGATGGACTCTAGCACTATGTAAATACCAAATACCCATATAATAACCATTAGACAACAGTATAAAGCCAGTAACTTCTGGGGGTTGATGTATTGAGTGTAAAAGTAGTTCCTCCATGGTGACCTTGTTAGCATGTGTATTGCATCGTGATAACAAATTTATCAGATTGGTATATTGGAAAAGCAGCACCTTGGCGTTTACCATGTATGACCATAACTGCAAATGAAATCAATTTGTATTGTGATGTATACAAGCCTTGAAATGTGAGGTGTCACTACTATGATGTGTGTTGGTTCAGGACCATGTACCACTGGTGTATCAGAATGTCCTCCCATTCATCCTGAGACTCACACAGCCGTCAAAGGAAGCCTACCTCAAGGCCATCAACCCAAACATGCCCAAGGCGAAAACTGACATGTTTTGTAGGTAAGTGAATATGGGGCTGAAGACCTCATAATATTATGGGGTGGGTATTGCAGAGAATTTTCATATTGCGATATATTGCGATGCAAAAGCATGTATTGCGATATGTATTGCAATATATTGCGTGAAGTAAAAACTACTTACCAGTATAATCAAGGTAATGCTTGATTTATAGAGCATATACACAGCAAAATCACTATGCTTGATTAAGCTTTAATAACAACTTTTATTCATGATTAAAATTAAAAATGTGAATAATATTTGGCACAAATGAAAAAAAGGAAATATCCGAAGATTTCCGAGTGTTATGAAGTTTTCCGAATGCAAGTCAAAATACCGGTTTTCGATCAGCGTATCGCAATATGTATCATCTTCATGTCTTAACCGGTAAATACCGGTAAACCGGTTATATTGCGCAGCCCTACATAATATGTGTGGAAATATCAAATCTTAAAGCCAACAATATAATGATAGCCCCGCCTCTTCATTTTCTTTTTGGAGCCATCCATTAATGTTGCCTTATTGTTTAAATACAGGAATACAATATGGAGCTCTGAATTCTTCACTTGTATGTACTGTGAATTTAGATGTGAGGTGAGATGAAATTGGGTTTAACGTCATACTTAAGAATATTTCGCTCATGTATGTGTGGCTGCTTGTACTAGCCCAGACTTAAGCTGGTTTTATAGTGCTAGCTCACTGCGTACCATGCCGCAGTTAAGCAAGAATACCCCACTCAGACACTCCAAGCCGACCAGTCCTTGTACCCATTAATGCTAAGCGCCAGGCAGGGACCAACAAGTACCATATTTCAACGACTTTTGCTATGACGTGAACGGGGATCTAACATGCGACCATCTGCTCTCCGGGTGGATGCTCTAACCACTACACCACTGAGGCGGTTTTGTCAGTTTTGAAGAGCGTTTGTCAGATCTGGAAACAGAAACACCATTTTGGAGTCATAGATCAGATACAACAGGGTTGTGAGTTCGGACATATTCAAAATTTGTTGATTTCTGTATCTGAAGACAAAGAATGTGTTTTCGTTTCTTCCCTGAAGTTTTGGTCATTGCATGGGCTACCCTCGGTCCAACTACGTTAAAGTCAAAAGGATTCTTGGCAGTACTTTGGAGGGAACCAAGGCATGGATATCTCAGGCTGGTCACCTGTGACAGGCTTCACTTGATTCCCAAGATTTTACATATGTCAGGCTTCACAGAAGCCCTGAGTCAAAAGGAAGAAAATTGTGATGTCAGATTGAAGAGAGTCACCATTCATTATGCAGAATATATGGGGTAGCCTCGTGGTTAAAGTGTTCGCTCACCACGCCGAAGACCTGTGTTCGATTCCCCACATGGGTACAATGTGTAAAAGCTGTGTAAAACTAAACTTCCTCGCTCTGAGAAAATTTCTGAAAAAAATATAATGTCTGTGATGTATGAGTTTAATGAAATCCAATAACGGAAACAGGTCCTGTGTTGTAAAGTTTTTGCATCCAGTGTATGTACATACAGGACACGTTATTTTGCATCTGCTGATACCCTGTTGTAGGGTATATGATGGGACCCACAGGAGCCAGGAGGAACTAGAGAAACATGCCCTTGCTTGCTACCAGAATCTGGTCGTCCTGGAGATGGCGCTCCAAGACAAAGAGTACCTGGTTAGAATCTGTGTCTTCAGTTTAATATATACTATTCAAAACAAGTTAAGAAAATCCAGTATTGGATGTCTGTGAATTGTTGATGTGTTGTAGAATTATCAGGTATATAACATATGTTATATTTGGGATTACACTTTCTGAGTAAAGTATAAATTCTAGTACTTTTATTGGGTTGAGTCCTATCTGGGATTTGAACCCACACCCGCAGAGTCAGGCACCTAATCGCAAGCACACAAAGTTAGTCGCCTAACCCGCTCAGCCACCGCGGCTTCCACAAAAGCACCTATCAGAGGGGTACACAAAGTCCGCAGTCTAGACTAATAGTTGTCCAACTTCCATTTTTGTGGAAGCTGCGGTGGCTGAGCGGTCTAGGCATCTGACTTTGTGTGCTGGCGATTAGGTGCCTGACTCTGAGGGTGTGGATTCGAATCCCAGATGGGACTCAACCCAACAAAAGTACTAGAACCTGTACTTTACTAAGAAATCCCAAATATAACATATGTTACATTTGACCACTTTCTAAAAGGCATTGTGTAATAATATCAGGTATACCGGGTATATTCCAGCATGATCAACATTTTGTTGATGTGTTTAGGTTGGAGACAGATTCACGGTTGCCGATTTGACAGTTTTACCCCGAGTTCAGATGTTCTTGACCAGTGGGCTGCCATTCACAGACAAGCACTTCCCAAATATTGTCCGATATCTTAAGAACTTGGATGGTAGACCCTCATTCAAGGCAAGTGAGAGAACTTTGGTACGTGTCTCCAACACTGTGATGACCAAAGCTCCATGGCTGCTCGTGGGCCTGAGTAACTTCAAGAGTGGCACGAAACACAAGCGTTTTGATGGAAGTCAATTCATCGACAGGTAGGGATGGTGAATGCTCTGGATTATTGTTCAAACAATATCTCACTATTATCTCCCCTTTCTGAGAGACAAAACATATTGTGTTGTGGCATGTTTGTCAGACGCCGCAACAAGAACCACTCGACCAATGAAGATGAAATTTCACATCCTTCTTCTCACAAATGCTTACATCCTTTTTGTTCCAGAAGTTCTCATTCAAAGCTCAATCTAACCTACAAGAAATTGATTTATTGATAATCTGTTTTATTGGCATTTTTAAGAGGTTGATGAACTGAGTTTTTCAGGACCTTCAAGAGAGTGATATTCTGCTCCAAATATGCAATAAATATCAGTACAAATTCATAAATTTGTATAAAATATGTGTCCATAGTTGTAACTAATGTTCTGGCTTTGCAGGAGGAGCATGTTTTTCATTTAGTCCTGACATCCCAACCTCCGCACTTTGTTTGAAATCCTACATGAACCCCAATAAAACAGTTTCTATCTGTCTCAGTACTATTACATTTGTCAGGGTTAGAACTTAACTTTTTAAAGCGCAAGCAAAAGACTGCTTGTGACTTTTTACGCTGCAAGCTAAATGATATTTCAATAAGCAAAAACAAAAATAATTCCTTATCCCTATCCCTCACCACTTTCCCCTTCACACTTCAGTTTTAAGTAGTTTGTTATCATATCCTTTGTAATAATGGTCAATCATAAATTCCAAATTTGACAAATGCACGCGGTTTCTAGGGTCTGCTATCTTTGAATCGAATATCTAGATGTTATACTAAGCATGTGATCAGCTATAACTTCCGTGGATTTTATATTCAGAATACTTCGCTAATTGTCATCAATAAATATTGGGAATTAACTCCAAACTGAGTATGATGATGTTTTATACAACGATTTTCACACTTTTTCTGATTTAAATCAACAAAAACAAAGTGAGCCTTTATAAAAATAGTGAACGCTATTATGAATTTTAAACACATTTAGCATAGTAGCGTCCATTAATTTCGACCCTTGGTTGTCAGTATGATGGTCTTCCACTGTTCTGTAATGCCAGGGCTCTAGGAGAGACGAAGGCAAGCACCGAGTCCCTGATCCAGACCAAGCTCCCCTATGTACACGAGGACGACATCACCATCTACTACTATCCCACCTCCACCGAGGTTTGGCAGGTGAAGATCCTCCTCAGAGAAAAGGTAAAGTGTTGCGTCAGCACTGTTGACGTATGTTAAAGTTCATGAATTATCAAAACATGATAAATTTATTATTCAATGAAAGCATTTATCCATGACATGTGCTTGTGACATAAAAGCATCTATCATTTAACTGAAGCATTTATCTGTGACATAAGGTTATGACATAGAAGCATGTATCATTTAAAGGTCACATGCAACGTAAAACACAACTTTGCAGATTCTGATACCTTTCGGTATGGACTTACCGAACAAATCATCAAAAATGCAAATTCAACTTATAAAGTTGAAAAATAATGCGATGAAAAAAAACGCGCGAAATCGGAGTTCAAACGATTCACTAATTTTCACTAATTGGAAGCGGGTTGTCCGGTGAATACTCGGTGAAGGCTTTGGTGTGAGCTATTTTTCTAATGTTTTGTTGATATTTCACAGGCGCGAGCTTTTTATATGTTATGATGGTGACCGGACAAAATCCAACTGGACAAAATCCACCCCAAAATTGCCACCCCGGACAAAATCCACCTCTTCTTAACAAAAAAAATGGACAAAATCCACCCTTCTCAAATTGCTATTGTTAAAAGTTTTAGTGTGTCCTGATCTTTGATCAAGTTGTTTTTCTCAAGATAATTGATAATCGGGTGGATTTTGTCCGGGTGGATTTTGTCCTAGGTTGCAATTTTGGGGTGGATTTTGTCCGGGTGGATTTTGTCCTGGATTCGTTATGACAGTAGATTACTGAATTAACTGTTTATATAACTTCATTTGTCTATTTCACCACACGTTCTTCTTACCGAGTCACTTTCTCAGTTCGATACTTAAAAGCAATGTCATTATTTAGCATTGACAGAATTTCTAACTGTGATATAGATATGTCGTTGTCACAGACAAAACTCAATGTCTATTTTATTGACACCTATGTTTCTGCCTGCCTGTCTGCTAATGACAATATTCAATACACAACTTCAATCACTGACCACATGCAATTTGAACTTAACACCTGCCAGGCTATACACCATAAACAAAACGCATTGATTTATGGCCCGAGTTCGGTCTCTGTCACATTATGTAATTACACAGACAGGCAGGTGTGATACTTGTACACATGACATGTTATGATGTCTGTTGATCGCAAAATGTTATACACAAAAAATGAGCATGTATTTACAAAACCCAACATCTCTATATATACACACACAATGAGCCGTGAGGGCATCTGCAAATGAACCAGCCATTACACTTGAGTGCACACCCACCCGCTCTGACTGGGTTCGGTATCCCGGCTGCTTCGTTTCTTGGGAAGTAAACCCAAGTACAAAATATTGCACTTTTGATTTGCGATTGTACGCTTATAATATTGTTTATATGTTTTTTCATAATCAACAAGGTATATTATATGTCATGAATAAGTGATCATTGTGTTTTAATTATGTTTGATTTTTTGGTTGCATGTGACCTTTAACTGAAGCATTTATCTGTGACATAAGGTTATGACATAGAAGCATGTATCATTTAACTGAAGCATTTATCTGTGACATAAGGTTATGACATAGAAGCATGTATCATTTAACTGAAGCATTTATCTGTGACATAAGGTTATGACATAGAAGCATGTATCATTTAACTGAAGCATTTATCTGTGACATAAGGGTATGACATAGAAGCATGTATCATTTAACTGAAGCATTTATCTGTGACATAAGGTTATGACATAGAAGCATGTATCATTTAACTGAAGCATTTATCTGTGACATAAGGTTATGACATAGAAGCATGTATCACTTAACTGAAGCATTTATCTGTGACATAAGGTTATGACATAGAAGCATGTATCATTTAACAGAAGCATTTATCTGTGATCTGTGACATAAGGTTATGACATAGAAGCATGTATCATTTAACTGAAGCATTTATCTGTGACATAAGGTTATGACATAGAAGCATGTATCATTTAACTGAAGCATTTATCTGTGACATAAGGTTATGACATAGAAGCATGTATCATTTAACTGAAGCATTTATCTGTGACATAAAGTTATGACATAGAAGCATGTATCATTTAACTGAAGCATTTATCTGTGACATAAGGTTATGACATAGAAGCATGTATCATTTAACTGAAGCATTTATCTGTGACATAAGGTTATGACATAGAAGCATGTATCATTTAACTGAAGCATTTATCTGCGACATAAGGTTATGACATAGAAGCATGTATCATTTGACTGAAGCATTTATCTGTGACATAAGGTTATGATGTATCATTTAACAGAAGCATTTATCTGCGACATAAGGTTATGACATAGAAGCATGTATCATTTAACTGAAGCATTTATCTGTGACATAAGGTTATGACATAGAAGCATGTATATCATACTCCAGAGATGTACGTATGCAAATCAAATATGCAAATTAGATAACCGGATTGACAGACACTATTTTCTCAGGAAATGAATATTCCAAAAATGATTTGTAGATTTTGGTTCACATGGCAATGGGAATCATGTGTCACTACTCATATGTAAGATATTGACATATTTCTGATGTTAATTTTGATGCATTTATTTCATAAAAAGAAAACAGTAATATGAAAATGATAAACAGAATTCATCACTTTGTTTTTTAATGTAAAAAAATATTAACCTTGTCCCGTTAATTGGCATTAAAAAGTACTTAGGATTAATCCTCTGATTAACATGTTCAGCTCCTTATAGAATTTAGACATTGGTTTAGAAATATATTTTGTTTTCACGAGTCAGCAGTATGGATCTGTAAAAGTGTTGGTTGATGGTAAAGTGGTCGTCCTCAAAGGAATGGCTCAAGTATTTCATGAATTTAACTAGTCTCAGACATACGCTTGCATTATTTTTGAACCCTAGCAATGCACACACACACACAAAAAAAAATATTGAATATCTTTGTGTTTTATCTCGGTGATAACCAAATCCCTTTTAGAAACATTTATTTAGGATTATTTATCTGAAGTACATTTAATCAAATAAGTCTAGTATTTTGAATAACATAAAATATTCAGAAAACAATCCTTAAACTTAAACAGTGATTTAGTGCAAGTACTACATTGATTACTCAAAATATCAGACAGTCTGAGTAAACTGGTCTCATGGCTTGTTACCTGTCAAAACATTGGGTCAGGTGTGAAAGGGCCATTAAGTCCATTGAGTTATTAAACAGATTAATTGAGATTTGGGGCCATTTACACAAGTCTCCTGTCATTTTAATTCATTGTTAGCCATGATTTCGAAATGTATAGGATGGGCGCAGAAAAATACATATATTGTGTACATATACTGTCTACAATAATATTCACTGTTCAAACTTCTTGACAAAAAACCCATAAAGTTCATGTACTAGTAATTAAAGTAATCATTCAACCTTCCAGTACAGTCTGCCACATCATTTCGTGACTTTACAGGACCCTCATATGTCACATAGTGACCCTTGAAATTACGAAAACCCTGAATTCTTGTTGTTCCCAATGAAGGGTGTGTCCTACAAGAGTATAGACTGCCCCTTCATTGATCTGATTGGCCGAGCAGCAGGGTCAGGGGCAGTGACCAGGATACAACATGGCCGCCGCATGGTGACCGGCCCCAGGACCGTCCTGGAGTATCTGGACAAGGCTTTCGGCAGCAAAAGTAGGTCTTTCAGGTTGTGGAGGCACACTAGAAGTAAATAAGCTTTTCCTCAACTGCTAGGATTATGTTTATCTTGAGAAATTCAATACACAATTGTCTATCTTATACTCCATCAGAAATGATCCCCTTAAATTTTTGTCCAAGCACTAAGTTATGGAAGTCTAGAATTAAAAAATGTTATTTGTTAATCTTGATATGGGTTTCTTTTGGCACTCATTTGATATGGTTTGATATATTTACTGGCCAGAGAAATGATGAAAGGTGTTCATATTTTCCTCAGTTTTGTTCTGTTGATAACAGTTTTGCAATGGCTAAAGACTATATATGTTCAATGCATGTGGTCAATTACCATGAAAAAGAGAAATAGTTATGCTCTGCTAGATATTTGTAGTTGGATCTTTCGTTTTCCTGCACTCTTAGTTATAGAGCAGATGTGAAAAAAAATTATGATGACAAAATTTGAATTTCCAGACATGCCATAGTTTCAGTAAGGAACATGAATAAGTTACGAAATGTGGATTAAAACATGAAGATGGAACGGCTATCACTTCATTTCACACACTCCAGCTTTTAGATAAACCAACATGGCGCTACTCATCTTTGAACACTAACTAACCAAACACTTCTCCACAGGGCAGGGAAAAATCTGATTGTGACACTGACAGCTTGAATCCATGAACAGATTAATTCAAAGAGTCAGATTCTTAATTAAGTTTGTTTGATATCAATATTCATTTACTGTCATGTAAACTTGATGACATTTATCTTCAATGAAAGATCATTGAATGCTTGCTGTAGTCGTCGCATTCATGCAACTGTCTCATTCCACGCCACACTGCTATGTTCCATTGATCGTTACAGAACTGTTGCCGGACAATCCAGAAGAAAGATCACAAGTTCAGTGTTGGCAGGCCTGGGAACAAGCCATGTACTTCAATGAGTTAGCTCCCCTTGTTGAAATGTGTATTGTGTCAAAGATTATGGTCCTGAGGTAATATTGTGTATTTTTCTAAGAAACATATTGCAGATAATGTCTTAAATAAATCTTTTGGACAAAATGGCAGATAATGTCTTAAATAAATCTTTTGGACAAAATGGCAAATGTCTTAAATAAATCTTTTGGACAAAATTTGTGAACAATTTGACTCAAAACCATCTGTGATGAGAGTCAAAGTGCAGATTAGTTTGTTGGTTTTATGTTGTTCAGAACAGTATTCCAGTTGCATCGAGGGATGTCGACTTGAAGTTGTGGGATAGCCCCAAGTTTAGGGAGACTGTTTACTTTTGGTAGAAGCCTCAGGCAAATATGTTACTGACAATCAAGAATCGTAATCAGGGTGAATTTCAGACTGTTAACCAGAATTCAGAATTTCAGATCACAGGATCCTTAATACCTAAGGGATGCAACTCTGCACATCAAATTGAAATACCTTAGATAATTATGCCATAGGTGCACCATGGGAGTCAAGGGATTATTTGGCCATGGCTAACACAGGGAATTTTAGGAATGGGAACAGTGCCTTTCAAAGACAAATAACTTGATTTAGATGTTATAGGTGTAAAGTTTCAATGATAGCTGGATGCAGGTTGTCAGTTACAGTACATGTATATCTTTTTGTTATGAGAATTAGACCTACTCACCATTTTCACAAACTGAGAATTCATGATGAAATGAACAGTGTTTAACATTTAAGATGCAAGATTGTCATTATGATTATAATGACTCAAAGTATATGCAAGCTATGGTCTGATACACAGGTATGAGAAACACCTGGATGAGCTGCTGTCACTGAGGGGTAACCCTGCATACCATGCCAAGTTCAACAACATCCTCAAGTGCTTCATGATGGGGTAGGTCCTGCCGTACTATGATGTTTGTTTGTTTTTTGCTTAACACAGAACTCCAGCTGTAGGACACCGCTCTGTAAATAAGCAAGTCTGGACCAGGCAATCCAGTGACTGACATCATTAGCATTGAGCTATCATGCAGTCACACATGCATGTCACAATATTTGTGAAGGGATCTGGAATGTGATGTAACTCCAATTCCAGTGAACCATCAAATCTGTTGTATGTCATTGACCATTGCCCAGTACAATATATAATATGCCTCCTTAGCTTCATGTAGAGGCCAGGGCGGTGGGGTAGTCTAGTGGTTAAAGCGTTGGCTCGTCACACAGAAGACCCGCGTTCGATTCCCCACATGGGCACAATGTGTTAAGCCCATTTCTGGTGTCCCCTGCCGTGATATTGCTGGAATATTGCTAAAAGCGGCGTAAAACCAAACTCAGTCAGTCAGTCAGTCATGAAGAGGCCAGGGCGGTGGGGTACAAAGCAATCGCTGAAGACCCGCGTTCGATCCCCCACATGGGTACAATGTGTGAAGCCCATTTCTGGTGTCCCCACCGTGATATTTCTGGAATATTGCCAAAAGTGGTGTAAAACCTCACTCACTAACCCAACATCACCAATAGCCTTTTTTAATGTAAAGGCCTGTTTCAGTGTGATTATGCCCAAATCCCGGATGGGACTCAACCCAACAAAAGTACTAGAATCTGTACTTTACTGAGAAAGTGTAATCCCAAATATAACATGTTTTAAAATACATCAATCAAACAAACAGTATGCTATTTTTTTGTGTTTTCACTAAAAGTCATTTAAAAATGTTTGTGAGAGATTAAAAAATAAATATTTTTAGATTAAGAGAGGCCAGTCCCTGTTGGCCACAGCTGCTGGGAGACTATGGACATTTGATGGACACTGAGATGCACAGGAGAAAGAAGAAGGAAGAGACATATGAGTTGCTCCACATCCGTCTGCAGCATCTCGAGGCATCCCTCCAGGTGGGTGCCTAGAGATGTCATATCTGTGTATTGTGTTGCTCATATCACAATTGACCCATGAAGAGCTGGGTTAGAATTGGCCTTCAGCGACCCATACTTGTCGTCAGAGGCGACTAAGGTGATCGGGTGGTCAGGCTCGCTGACTTGGTTGACACATGTCATTGTATCCCAATTACGTCGATTGATGCTCATGCTGTTGATCACAGGATTGTCTGGTCCAGGTCCACATTATTTACAGACCGCCGCCATGTAGCTGGAATATTTCTGAAAGTGGCGTTGAACAACAAACAAAAATATACAACAACCACCATAAAAGGTAGCATCATCCAAGTATGGCCACCTGTTATTGAACTGAATTAGTGACTTTGATGGGCACCTATGCTTGGTGACTCATATATTGTTTTACATATAGTTTCATAATTTTTTAAGGTGGCAATGTCATATTTTTGTTCTCCTGACATTACACACAAGTATTTGTATAAAAATGGACATACAGTGAAACCTGTCTAAACCGGCACCCCACAGGACCGAAATAGAATACTGGTTTAGACAGGGTGCCGGATTAGACAGTGACAATCATTTTCCAACATTGCTGCCATTTACACTCGTCAGTCCCACCGACAATTGATTCTGATGGTGAAACTCAGTACTTGCCTATTAATTAATCTATAGCAGTCATCTAATGAAGTTTTCTGTTTGTAAAGCATAAAAAAACTAGATATACTAATGTCAATAATGGTTGTCACCCCCTTCAAATTTTTTTTTATTGGAGAGGGGTGTGGGGTGGGGAGGGGGGTGACAACCATCATTGGCATGAGTATATTTTACTTTGAGCATGTGGAAGCTTTCAACCACACTTCCTCGCCAATATTGATTTGTTTACAGGACATGTCCATGTTTGATCATATTTAGTGTCATATGGACTGATAAGATCTATAATTTTGAAAAAAAAAATTTCAAGAAGAGGGATGGATGTTGAATCCCTCGTACTCTCCTGCCTGGAGGTATCTCTGGTGACATATGTATGTATATTCCAGGACAAGGTGTACCTAGTAGGTGAAGACCTGTCTCTGGCTGACATCTGCGTGTTCTCCCGCCTGGCTCTGTTTGCGCATGTCGGGATGAAGATCTCAGCTGACAAGTACCCCAGTGTTGCCACCTGGATGGTCAAGCTTCAAACCAGGCAGTCATTTTCCGATTGTATTGAATTCCTCAACAAAATCTTCCATATATAGGGAAATGGCGATCTATTGATTGACCTTGACCTTGACATAGCTTTAACATATAATAGTTTATCAGCTTTGCATATTTTTTCACTTAGGGACCATTCATAATTTATGGCTAGGGGGGATGATGATGATTTTAACATAAAAATATTTTTAAAATATGCTTAAAAAATATGGGAGGGGGGTCATTGATTTTGTACATGACATTCAGGGGGGTCACTTAATTTGTGCATCAATTATAGGGGGGGTCACTCACATTGTACATGCTTCTCCATAAAATCATCATCACACAGCCCCACCCAACCCCAGGCCATAAATTATGAAGGGTCCCTTAGGACACCATCATCATTATTAGGATTATGATTCTCATTTATGTAAATATTTACATAGTCTAGTCTCCACATTCCATTCTACCATGACAATTTTGGTATCCAGTGTTGTGATATTTCAGCCAGCAGTATCAAATCTACATTAAACTATGCATCTTTAGATAATTTCTTTGAAAGCGCTTTTTAAAAATAACTGTAGGTAATTTCATGGCACAATAAACGTTGCAAAATTAGGTGGTTTGGGTCCTAGAATATTTAATGTAAGTGGGACAATATATTTTAGACAGAAAACCCAATGAACAATGATTAGGTTAGTGTATTGCAATATATTAGATTCAATACCACATGATGCCACATCACATATCAGACCCACTAATTATGAAAGAGTATGTGCCCATCTCATTTTTTACAGGTTTCAAACTCTTATTTGAAACCTATAAATGTTTCAAATGAAAAACTGTACACTCACACATTAGGTTTCAAATGAAATGTACAAATATCAAATCGACTTTCAAGACATCTAAATTGAAAACACAGTAGGTTTATCTTCTAATTGTACTGTACTCTTTATGGCCAGCTGAGCATTGTGTTAATTAGTACATTGTATTTGAGCACTGTATTTTGTTTTAGATCCCTAAACTCTTGGCTCAGTGTCCCAGCATTCCCATGATGTTATCATATGCACAGTGTCATTTTGTGCCTGGTATATATATATACATCACTAGGCTTCTAAAGAAAGTATGCATATGACAAAAGAAATACATGAAATACAGGTGACCTAACTCTTCTTTAATTATGATGATTATATAAGATTTTTGTTTAAAATGTCAGTCAATGTGTTATCTCTTATTCATAAAAGGACATAAAGTATTATGGGAAAGGTAGGTCACCGTGACCTGTGCAATGTAAAAGGCATATGCAGTAGGTCTAAGACAGGGACTACTTTTTCAAAACATGTGAACCAAAGATGCTGCTGGCTGTGATCCTCTGAAGATCTGAACATCAATATTTTAGTTTCTACATACTTGGTCTCCCATGTAGATATTAGTTTGGAATAGATCTGTAGTAACCTATGCTGGCCTTATAAAGCCATAAATTGTTCCAGTGGGCAAGCTTGATGACTTGGTTGAATGATTGTCATTGTGAGTGAGTGAGTGAGTTTGGTTTTACGCTGCTTTTAGCAATATCCCAGCAATATCACTGCGGGGGACACCAGAAATGGGCTTAACACATTGTACCCATGTGGGGAATCGAACCCGGGTCTTCGGCGTGACGATCGAACGTCTTAACCACTAGGCTACCCCACCGCCCCAATTGTCATTGTGTGAGGATGAGTTGGATGGTTGCTCACAATAGTGACAAATGATCACAAGTTTATTCTATGATAAGGCCTCATGGTCAAAGCACATGAAAATACATTTCAATATCATACACTTGACAGCTCAAGTTGGCAGATAATGTTTCGTTGCTCACAATATGAATCTCTGGATGTTCATCTATGTCCTGACTCAGGTGCACATGAGTGAGTGAATGAGATTAGTTTTACACTGATTTAGCAATATTCCAGCAATATCATGGTGGGTAACACCAGAAATGGGTTTCACACATTGTACCCATGTGGGGAATCGAACCCAGTCTTCACTGTGAGGAGCAAACGCTTTAACAACTAGGCTACCCCACCGCTCCAGGTGCACATGAGACAGAAACATTTCTAGAATTGTTTGCACATTGTGTGAATGAGTGAGATATTACTTCATGTGAAAACATCACAACAATAAACATGAAGGCTGGACCTGGAAGTCCTCAGTGTGGGGAGATGTTAGTCCTGAAGCTACCCCATCTATTGTCTTATCAAGTCCTTGTAAAACTTACATTTAGATTTTCCTACCTATAAAGCTTACATTTAAATTACCACTTAAAAACTTGAATTTCACCATGCTCACGTCACATTTGTGTAATCAAAGTTGTAGACATGTCAAAGATGAATGAACATAGAGACGCCTTTCGAATATAAATATTCTACATGTATGGAGAAATAAGATCATCAGTGTTAAAACCCGTCTGTGTTATACATGACTGAACAATGTTTGAATTATGATTGAATTGTATATCATGATGGCTGAACTTTATGGTCAACGGATTTTATTCCAGATTTATACACAATTACTGAATTAAAACTTGCCTACCATTCGACGTCTTTGTCTTCTTGGACGAAATATTGAAATATACACCGAGCCAGTATTGCCATGGTGAATTGTAATGATATCGATGAATACACGACTCCAGGCAATTGGTAGTTCTAATAAAGGTACTAAACTCATATTCTATCTCTTTAGTATTGGTAAAGATTAGAGCTTGCTTTGCGCTTAACCCGTACAAGAGTTAGACAGGACATGGCATCCGGCCACGTAAGGCAGCATCTCAAGTACATTTATTCTCCTTTAACAACATGCTTTAACCCATTGTGGGTTACGCATACACCGCCATACCGGTTTGAAGGAAGTCATCGAGCAACATCTAAAGGCTGGAGTTCCTTAAGTAACACCTGACCTAAGTACGTCACGATTCCCTATTTTGTTTATGACCAACTTGCCCAAGGACTTGAGGGTGGAAAAATGTGTTATTGTGTGAACCTCGTTTTGGTATAATCAAGGTTTGAAATTGGCAACTACGTTTAATTAACATACACTTGGAACAGTTTCTGTGAGACATGGTCTAGCCATGCAAACGTGTGGTAACAGAAGGACGTGAAGAATTCAATGGAGGGTTGGTGGAAGGGCTTGTATAATCCCCGAAGCCACATAATCTCCTCAAACCCCACCCGACTCCGGATCCAGGGTAGAAACACACATTTGGATCACAGTTTTCAGTGAGATATGGTTCATCCTCGAACAGGCGTCTTGGTGACCATTCCATCTTCATCAACCCGTATCCTCACCCTTTCCTTGTTGACCTCCGAGGTGACGATGTAATCCACTGGCACCAAGTATACCTGTCAACGAAAATCGTATGTTTGTTAATTATTTAGCTTTTAATTAACGTCGTACTCAGCAACATTCCAGCTATATGACGGAGGTGATGTATGACATCTGGTCTGAACCAGACAATCCAGTGATTGACATTATGACCATCGATCTGCACAATTGGGATGCCATCATGAGACCACCCTATCGCGAAAAAGGTTCTGCGTCTTATCAATGATATGTATGCCTTGTGGCATGGGCGGTGGAGTAGCCCAGACGTTAAAGCGTTCACTCGATTCCCCACACGGGTACAACGTGTGAAGCCCATTTCTGGTGTCCCCCGCCATGATATTGCTGGAATACTGTTCATTCATTCAGTCATCGTTTATCGACCGCTGTTATACTTCAAGCAAGCCATTTGCTAGCTGACTCTTAAAATAGTGTTGTGTTCACTATATGACGAGTAATTGGAACATGCGATATGGCTCTCCTGTTCTACAGAGGTACTATTATATTCACTGACAATATTTGTTGCACAATCTACCTGTACAAGTAATTTTAAAAAAGGTCAATACCTTTGTGTATTCACAATGGCATAGTCTGTCAACCTAACTTTTGAAAACATAATGATAGTTATATAGGTAACTTTTTTTAATAGGCGATCACCGTGACACTAAAATAGGTTCCTGTTAAGTCATGAAGAAACATGAAGGTACATGAAAACACTTTCACATTGAAACGAATAACAAAACAGATATTTGTGAAAAATGCAGTCCCAAAAGTTAGGTTGACAGACTATAGGTCTCTCAATAGAATACGCACTGTAAAGTGGAGGCCTAAACTTCAAGGTGTACCTTCCCGATATGACTTCATAAAGACAGTCATGAAACGTGACTCCATTGCAGATTAGAATGACATTTGGAAGAGTATAAAATACCTCCAGATTTGGATTTTCTTCCAATATGACATCCTTGGCATGTTCTCCATCCTGAAAAATATTCATTTATATAGATGTTTCAAAGATTTTAAAAATGGCTGAAACAACACAGAATATATTAGGTTTATCGCCAATACACAGGGTTTTACTGTTCGTGTTGTCATATCAAAATACATAACAGTCATTCAGTTAGCTACTTTGAAACTATCGGACAGAAGAAAATACACATCCATATAATATGTTGGGTTCAGTTGAAACAAACAAGTAATTGTTCTACGAGAGTGATGCATTTGATACGGACACCACTGCTGTGGTATGGACCTATTTACCGACTGTTTTAATCGGTGCATCGTTTTCATTACGTTTGTAATTTTGTGTCTATGCATTTTTGTAAAGTGTTTACTTTATTTCTTCCCAGCAGTTTCATTGATAGTGTTTGTTATTCAAGGTGATCTTAGACATCAGACTATTCATGCCAAAACAGGGGCGGTGGGGTAGCCCTGTGGTTAAAACGTTCGCTCGTCACGGTTCGATTCTCCACATGGGTACAATGTGTGCAGTCTCAGTAAACTTAGGCTCAGTAATGTGTGAAGCCCATTTCTGAGTTCCTCATCGTGATATTGCTGGAATATTGCTAAAAGCGGCATAAACACCAACTCACTCACTCACTCATACCAAAACTGATCCCATCTGGAGTGCAGGAACTAAAGGAATGTCACTTAGAGCGAGTGTCTGTCGATTAACGTCGCCTTCAGCAATATTCAAGCGATATCGGTGTGGACGGTGTGTGTTCTATGAATAGTCGATGCTAGGTCCAGGCATAATATTGGCTGACATCATGCACAACTACAACGCCATCGTGCGATGACGGGCAATCAACTACATCACAAATCTTGAAAAACATATCAAATAATTTCAGTGCTCTTTAAAAATAACAGTCTCTTTAAAAACAAACACACAAAATTTCATTTAGATCGTATATACGGTCACTGAACCACATCCCACAAAGCCATCCAGCCGTTGTGACGTAGCGAGGGACCCCGAGGTCCTGTTCTTTCCTCAATCCCCGGGCTTGTACACTTAAAACGTCCTATAAACGTCACGATACAGCTTCAACTCATCTCACCTGTAAAAGCAGTTCCGGCCATGCCTGTTTCGTCCACGTCTCCGGCGTCATCTTGTTCTGCTCCATGACAGTCGACCACGACGCCTCCCAAACCACCTAGCCGTACACCATGTTATAGTAACGCTCACTATCAAACCAAACATGTATCATCGTACACAATGTTTTAGAATCCCTAACAACAACGTTTTAAACCACACCTGCATTTACCTTTTGAATACTTTAACAAAAGACCCAAAGGTATGTCCCACATACAGTTAAGGACATGTCTCCTTTTGGCAAACAGTTATTCGTCAGTCAGAGTGCCGCCTTACAGAGACACCGTGCTTTGCAGTGTGTTGTATAAGGATTCACTGATGCATTTGTAATTTGCGTACAGATAAACTCGAGTAGGGTTATTGCAGCTCATTTTCTGAAGGAACACTTGTCACTATTTGCTGGCAGTATCTGACAATGTTTTGTTGGAGTTTAAACGTAGGTGTCTGTTATAAATGCATAAATATGTTGCACTTGTATGCTTTCGTTGGTGGATCGGCGCGTCATTCAACCCGAACGCAAAGCGTAAGTGTCAAAGACGCGTTATGGTGACATGGGATTGATCCATATCTTCTTTGAGTGGCATGTTGAGAAGTTGGTGAATCAGACAACGACAAAGTTTATGGATATACTTGCTTGACAACGATACAAGAATCTGTATCGAAACGTCGCATCATCCGAATAAAGAAGTTGTTCATCCATAAAGTTTGTCGTTATGGGATTGATCCATTTGATGTAACACTGAGTCTTCGGCAAAACACGACAAGGATTCTTTTGACATCACTAGATATATTAACATGATTGAGAATTATAGCCCCTTGTCTTCATTGAATCTGCATGCTTCGGACACGGCTGGTGCCAAAGACATTGACACGGCATGTTTTTGGAACATATTTTTATTCAATACCGCAACAATAACATAGTATGAGCCAGTCAAAACTATAAACTCGTATTAAAAAATCTTTATTTTTCGCTGTTTCGTTTACAGGTTTAAACGGTTTTCAAGCTTAGACAGCTCCAGGGACAAGACTGGGTAGGTTTGGGCTAGCCACGTTTTGGTGTCCCCACTACGTTTCCGTCGTCGTTGATGTAGATTCTTACTCTGTCGAGGTTGTAGTCCGCGGTGACCATACTGCCGGCCGGGACAATGACCACCTGTCAATGTATGAAATATGTTATATGTATTATATAATTTAGCCTCATTAAGAGGTGGCTCAATGGTCCATGCCGCCGTAATTTGCTGTGGAGAGTTGCGCCCCTTTAAATATTCCAGAATCCTGTGATCGCTGGATCGAATCTGTGATTTGGTGATTCTCAGATTTAGTCATGTCATGATTCCTTGTTTGAATCGTACAAAAATGCTAGACGTGCAGCAGACCTTCGACAACAACCAACAGAGACCCAACAATGTATGGAGTGAGTAATTTGGTATTAACGCCGCTTTCAGCAATATTTCAGCAATATCACGACTGGGGACACCAGAAATGGGCTTCACACATTGTACCCATGTGGGGTATCGATCCTGGGTCTTTAGCGTGACGAGCGACCGCTTTAACCATCAGGCTACCCCACCGCCCCACAACGTAACGCCTTCTCGGATATTCACTGTATCCCAGACACTTGGTATTCGTACTAAGAACATGGTGCGTTACGTGACTGATTCAGATCAGGCCGACCATGGAATATGGGTGGTCAGGCTCGCTGACATGGTTGGTTGACACATGTCATCGCATCCCAGTTGCGTAGATCGATGCTCATGATGTTGTGCACTGGATTGCCTGGTCCAGACTCGATTATTTACAGACCGCCACCGTATAGCTGTAATATTGCTAGGTGAGGCGTTAAACAACAAACCCACCAACTATGTTTAACGCCTTTTGGTATACCAGCTGGGGATGTAACCACTCTGTGTGATTCTCTCAGGGAAGAATCTCTACTCACTACACATTGGACTGAAGGCCATTTAGATCAGTATGTCAAGCAAATGCAGATCTGTCTATGGAACCCCGACATGGACATTAAGAAGAGACAAATGTATACTGCAATAGAATACCTACATCCAGATTCGGCACTTCGCTAAGAATGATGCCTTTGGCCAAATCTCCATTCTGGAAGATAGAATTTCATCATGACTGCTGACGCTATAACACGGACCTATGTTTTGTTGATTTTTTTCCAAAGCCTTTAATTGAAACGGTACATTTCCCTAAATTTTGGAATATTACCGAGTATAAAACTGTCAACTGTGTATGTCAAACAGAATCTTCAAAGCAAGCGATCAATGATCTTATTTAGCTTTGTATCTTTGTTTGTTGCTTAAGGCCGCGGTCAGCAACATTTCAGTTGTATGACGACGGTCTGTAGCCAATCCGGTGATCAACAGCATGAGCATCGATCTACGCAATTTGGATACGATGACATGTGTCAACCAGGTCATGTTAACCACTGTAGTGTGTGGTCCAGGGCCCCGTTTCAAAATGCGACCGTAGCGCTAAGGTGTCCGTAACTCCCATTCTTTAACATAGACTTACGACAGTCGTAGCGCTACGATCGCTGCGTGAAACGGCTGACTGACTGACTGAGGTTGTTTTAACGCCGCTTTTAGCAATATTCCAGCAACATCACGGCGGGGGGACACCAGAAATGGGCTTAACACATTGTACCCATGTGGGGATTCGAAACCCGGGTCTTCGGCGTGACGAGCCAACGCTTTAACCATTAGGCTACCCCACCGCCCCTGCTCGATTGTTTTACAGACCCTCCATCATACTGTAATATTGTAGCGTTGAACAACGAGCAAACAGACTAATCATAACATTTTCACTGATGGTACAATTCGAACATGTAGAACGAGCAGTCGATTCTTAGCCTCACCTTCCCTTCCATTTCGGACCATTCGTCTTTCGTCGTCCACTGTTGTCTTTCCCGTTCCATTGCGACCTTGCAACAGCCTCTACGAAATGTATCAACTCGGTTGAAATCCAAACCGCTCTATTCGAATACCCTGATCGTGTGCTGGCCTTGAGCGTCTGTAACAGCTTTCAGATCGCTCGTTTGAAGTGCCTCTACATCGACATGCACTATTTGTATGGGGAATTACATTCTAAACGAAGCTGTTCTACAAGTTTTTTTCCACTACGTTTATTCTCATGAGTAGGTACATTCATGCTATACATAAATCATACAGGTTTGTACAATTTGGTAGGTCAGAATACACCAGTTGATGCTATAAGTAGTAGTAACTGTTTACTCATAGGTTTATTTGCTTGGCTTTTCATTATAGCAACATATCTTTCAATGTAGCAATGAAGTAGGAATGTTCATGCATTACTACACAAAGATCATACATTATACAGGCTTGTAGTGATGGTAACTCACGACACATCAGTCCGTGCTGTCAATATATACACGCGCATACACACACATATACATATATATACATACATACATACTCACATACATATACATACATACATGTACATGCACGTACGTACATATATATATATATATATATATATATATATATATATATATATATATATATATATATATACACACAACTAGATCATACATTATACAGGCTTGTAGTGATGGTAACTCACGACACATCAGTCCGTGCTGTCAATATATACACGCGCATACACACACATATACATATATATACATACATACATACTCACATACATAAACATACATACATGTACATGCATCGTACGTACATACATATATATATATATATATATATATATATATATATATATATATATATATATATATATATATATATATATATATACACACACACAAGATCATACATTATACAGGCTTGTAGTGTTGGCAGTTCACGACACATCAGTCCGTGCTGTCAATATATACACGCGCTTTATACATACACACACGTACATATATATATATACATATATATATATATATATATATACATATATATATATATATATATATATATATATATATATATATATATATATATATATATATATATATACACAAAAGATCATACATAATACAGGCTTGTAGTGTTGGCAGTTCACGACACATCAGTCCGTGCTGTCAATATATACACGCGCATACACACACATATACATATATATACATACATACATACTCACATACATATACATACATACATGTACATGCACGTACGTACATATATATATATATATATATATATACACAAAGATCATACATTATACAGGCTTGTAGTGTTGGCAGTTCACGACACATCAGTCCGTGCTGTCAATATATACACGCGCATACACACACATATACATATATATACATACATACATACTCACATACATATACATACATACATGTACATGCACGTACGTACATATATATATATATATATATATATATACACAAAGATCATACATTATACAGGCTTGTAGTGTTGGCAGTTCACGACACATCAGTCCGTGCTGTCAATATATACACGCGCATACACACACATATACACATATATATACATACATACATACTCACATACATATACATACATACATGTACATGCACGTACGTACATATATATATATATATATATATATATACACACAAAGATCATACATTATACAGGCTTGTAGTGTTGGCAGTTCACGACACATCAGTCCGTGCTGTCAATATATACACGCGCATACACACACATATACATATATATACATACATACATACTCACATACATATACATACATACATGTACATGCACGTACGTACATATATATATATATATATATATATATACACAAGATCATACATTATACAGGCTTGTAGTGTTGGCAGTTCACGACACATCAGTCCGTGCTGTCAATATATACACGCGCATACACACACATATACATATATATACATACATACATACTCACATACATATACATACATACATGTACATGCACGTACGTACGTATATATATATATATATATATATATATATATATATATATATATATATATATATATATATATATACACACAAAGATCATACATTATACAGGCTTGTAGTGATGGTAACTCACGACACATCAGTCCGTGGTGTCAATATATACACGCGCATACACACACATATACATATATATACATACATACTCACAAACATATACATACCCACATGTACATACACGTACGTACACACACACGCGCGCGCGCGCACGCACACACACACACACACACATACATATATATTTTTCAGCCGTGAGTAGGTACATTCAAATATTACTACACAAAGATCATACATTGTACATGTTGAAGAGTCATGACACATCAGTCCATGTTGTAAGTAATTATTGACATTTGCTATACCTTCATCTGGTTGGTTTTTCATTCTGGCAACATATCTTTCAAAGTAGCGATGAAGGATTTTAAGGGCCAAGTTTAATTTCTAATACAGCTTATATATAAATATGTATGTCTTTTCCCAGCCATGAATAGGTACAGTTGTAAATTACTACCTCAAAGTCCTACTTGTAGATGTTGAAGAGGCATGACACTTCAGTCCATGTTGTAAGTAATGGTGGCCATTTGCTCATACATTCATTTAATTGGTTTTTCATTCTGGCGACATATCTTTCAACTTAAAAAATATCCTTCAAGGTAGCAATAAAGGATTTAAAAGACCGAGATTCATTTCTAATACAGCTTATATAATATGTCTTTTACCAGCCAAAAGAATGTGGTTCACCAGTTTGAAGTTTGCGGTCCCCTGGATACCAAATAGGATGGATTTAAGATTTAACTGAATCTCATAACACAAATGTGGTCTCAAAAAGTGTTCAAGTTCATACCACAAAATGCCAACCAGTGGACATTCAAAATGTACATGCACAATCGATTCATTTTCGATATTACATCTTTGACAGAGACTATTGTCGATTAACTTCATTTTAAACATTTCCTTCTTAGTGTATATAATGCGATCAGGGGCGTAGCTACCGTTATAGAAAAAGCCCGGGCTTACACATGATTGTTGCTGAAAAGGTTGGGCAAGCCCTCAATACTATCTACATTTAAAGCTTTGTAACCTATCGGGTTTACACGAAATAATTGGCTTGCTACGCGCTTGGCGAAGCAAAAAGCTATATTGAAAATCTTGTAGCTTAATATTTCTACAGCATTGTTTATTTAATGCCAAGTCACCATGAACCCAGTCTAAATTAACATCTTCCCACACTTTAATATTGTAGCTGTTCTACAAGTTATATATGTGACCTGCATATCGCTCACGCTTGAACGATTGACATAACATGAAGAAGAAAAGTATTTGATCTTACGATCACAGTTATTATATACTAACGGGTTAAAGAAACTATACCACTTTGAAATTCAAAATTCAGCTGCAATCACCATCACATGAAAACACATCGCCCAAACGCAACAATGAGTTCTCCACTTAGAAATAAGGCATCCAATTCATGCTTTTCACCATTTTGTCCGAATATGGTTTGCATGTTTTTCACATCAACAAAAATAAAATCCAAACGGGTATAAAGCCAATTTTAAAAAATGGCTCGATTAACTTTGCAACAGCGAGAACGGGCGATCGAAATGGGAGCCTCCCACACCCACCTTGCAAGAACGCTTGGCTGCTATCGCGTCATCGTCACCAGACTCATGCAGCGATACCGTTAGACAGCGTTTAAAATTCCCGCCTGCCCGACCGCCCGGTACGGTCTATTTTCGTCTCGGACGGTCAAATTTCAAAAGTAGCCTGTCCGGTGGTCTGGTAGATGTTTTTACCCCTAACAGTAAACATTTCATAATATCAGACAGGTGCTCTTGTCGTCAGTTTGAGGTGTTTAAGGTATTATGATAGTTATGTTAAACTATTTACGACTGGACAGTTCATTTTACAATAACCAATCACAACACATGTACTTTCAGTTTACCTAAACTCGGTGCATTGCCTGTTAGTGTTATGTTTTTAATTGCGATGCCTACAAACAGTAAAGCATTCAGAAGCCTGATTTGGGTTTTTTCATTGTTGAAAACCGGACAGGCAAGTTTGTATCCGGACTGGTACTTTTTTAAAGTTACCAGTTCGGCTTGGAATTTTGTGAGATTTAAACACTGCGTTAGACAAGACTGACCTCAGACAGGCCCCGATCAGGCAGACCTCGGGTCAGAACGCCCCAGGAAGACCAGTATCTGCGCTCGTTGCATCCCAGAAACCGCTTCCTGACGGTGACGTCATCAGGTGCGCATCGCTTGGGTCACCGTGTAAGCAGATACACAGTAGCCAGACAACTGAAATCCGGATCAACATGGAATCCGGGCTCACGGACCTTTCCGGGGACAGCAGTTGACATCCGAACATCGTCGACGGAGACTTAGATGGACCCGGACGGATCGACGTTGGCAGCGACTTTCAGAGTGGCAGAGAGTGCTATTCTCGGATGAAAGCCGCTTCTCTCTGTTCAGAGCTGACGAAAGAGTGCCTGTTTACGGCCGTCGTGGAGATCACAACAGGGTTTTGAATCTATGGTAGCGTTTCTTTGGCCCGTCAGTTTATTTATGACGTTAAACGCGCCGTCATAACGTAACAGTTGTTATCACGGCTCGGTCTAGTGAACTTGATGGAGGTACTTAGCTTTTTTTCCAATTTAGTGACGTTTTGACATAATACAGAGCTTTTTTCATGATATGATTATGCAATGCAAAACAACAATGAATTAACCTCAACACCACCAGTAACATCAACAACAACGTCCGAGTTTGCTTTAATTCTAGTAGGTTTTCTTACAAAATGTTGTCATGCAGTACATACATACCTTACAATTCTCACATGAACTACAGATAAACTTGTTCATGTCAGTATGCAACCACTGGGGCAGAATACTCTAACTTTTTCACGAACACCTGGTGTCATCACTATTTGATAGGGGTTCAAACATTCGTGACCAACTCCCGGTGTTATTCAGGGACAAGCCAAATGGAGGTTACGGAAAGAGGCGAGTGGTGACGAATGGGGTTCAAAGGCACATGCGTATTTTGTAGTTGGAATCCTGCAGTGGACTAGCGGGGGTTTCTTGTGACTATGGAAATGTCTTTTCTTGCTTTTATTGACCTCACATCTGAAAGACGTTTTCGTTCCCTTTGATTTGTCCTTCTGCCCGCCTTCTAACTAGGTTTGCCCGACAGGCCCGTAAAGATCCGGGTTAGAATTTGTCTTTAGCAACCTATGCTTGTTCCTCGATCGGGTGGTCAGGCTCGCTGACTTGGTTGACACATGTATCCCAACTGCGTAGGTCTATGCCCATGATGTTGATCACTGGATTGTCTGGTTCAAACACGATTATTTAGAGACCGCCGTCATATCGTTGGAGTGCGGCGTTAAACAACAACCAACCAACCAAACGATTTGCCTGACTGCTTGTCTCGGCCACGCTGTTTTTGCGACAACACAGCACTTGACAGGCCATCTGGTTCTGAAGCCTTCGTTATGGAAATGGTTCCGCAATGTCTGGTCAGATATCCTTTACAAATCAAGCAAGTTCTGTTGCGAAGGTTTTCTGTTGTTCAGGTTTGCCTGAAATGACGTAACCATCTTGGACAGCCGTCATAACAATGGTCGGCCTGATCTGAGTCGGTCACGTAAAGGGTTCCATGTTCTTAATACTAATACCATAGTGTCTAGGATACAGTGCATATCCGAGATGTAATTCTCTTCCTTTCTCCTTCCTATCGTCTGACGGTGTTGTTACGTTGTGGGGTGGTGGGGTAGCCTGAAGGTTAAAGCGTCCGCTCGTCACGCCCTAGATCCGGGTTCCATTCCCCAATTGGCCCATTTCTCGTGTCGCCGTGATATTGCTGGAGTGTTGCTAAAAGCGGCGAAAAATTATATTCAGTCAGTCAGTTGTTACGTTGTGAGTGAGTGAGTTTAATTTTACGCCGTTTTAGCAATATTCCAGCAATATCACGGCAGGGGACACCAGAAATGGGTCATGTGGGGAGTCGAACCCGGATCTGCGGCGTGAGGAACGAAAGCTTTAACCACTGAGCTACCCCACCGCCCCTGGCAGGACTTGAACAGTAGCCAACAGACAACACTGTCAACCCACAAAACCCACTTTCTGGGCCTATTCATGCAAAACATGTACCTGCACAAATACCCGCTGTTTTCATGTGGTGCTTGCCTTTCTGTACTCTTACTTTCAGGCTTTGCATTTAGTCGCTGCCGAGCGGTGGTGCTCGCAACCATGACTCTTATCAGATTGGTACAAATGAATACATTTTATTCATGGATTCCATACCCACAATGTGTTAGTGTCTTTCGTGTGCGCTTCTTCTGAGGAGGAGTAAAGATAGGACATCTACTTCGCACATCGTAACTAAAAGCTAAGGCGAGCTATGTCTTGTTATGTAAAGTAAGATACATCTAACACACATACACCTTCATGTGGGGGCGTAAACACAATGGTGATGTCTCTGCATGAGATAAAGCAGGAATATGCCATACTCTAAACTAAGCGACCTTGGCAGGCTGTTCATTCAATTGGGTAAAACTGGTTATTTGGTTCAAAATTAAATTTTGGAAAATACTTATTTTCTTCAAGTCAACCTGTTTTGATATTTGCAGTGCACGGCTGCATTCAATGCAATAGCTTGAGCATATACTACCCGTTTATTCGAAATAAAGGGACATTTCTTCAAGGCCATAAAAGTACTTGTTTATTAATATATTCCCATAAACTGGGATTCATTTACTTCCGTTTTTGAAATTTGTAAAAACAGTTGCTGCAGGCAGGTGCGAATATTGGCTTCAGATCAGGTGTAGATAAACCCCTTGCTTTAGCCAATCCTGGGAATGGCAGCGACGGTTCCATCGTCCTGTACATATATCCTGACTCTGTTCCAACAGGTGGCTTCCGTCACAGATGAGCCCGCAGGCATAGCAAATACCTGGCAACACAAACAAGCTATAATATTAAGCAGGCTCCCATCAAACCCATTTCTATAATTACGGTATACGTGAAATTTACATGGAGTATATTTAAAGGAAATGTTGACACAAAAAATGATTTTGCTTGTAAGTTTTCAAAGCAGTGCAAATGGTATTTACCTACCTAGTAGTTTTATAGTAAAAACTACAAATATTACAATGCACCAATAAGCATTAAATAGATTCATACTATTTAAGAAATACACTTCGCTTTACCACCATGTATAGTGTAATAAAACACCCTTTTGCCCTGGTAGGGCGAAGTGTATTTCTTTTCTAAGATGCCAAACGTAATACTTTCTAAAGATAATTACGATTAATTTAAGGCAGAAAACAAACGACGGTGTCGGTGACCTAATTTAAGAATCCTCGCACAGGGCTAACTGGCGCGCTGTTCTATTGATGTGTCTGCCCCCTACGTTAAGACGAACGTTACCAGAAAAAAACAAATGATAACAGTTTGATGACGGTTTACGTTCGGATTAAATATCTTCTCTGAATTATTTTCATTACATCTGTCATTAACGTAAACCATATGTAGCAATATGAACGTTGCATTTCTACTACCAGCCTTAGTTTAGATCAGTACATCCAGAGGAAGTTGAGTAGTCAAGCGACATTCCACAATTGCATTGTGGGAATGTAAACATTTCAAGCGACATTCCACAATTGCATTGTGGGAATGTAAACATTACGAACGTTACCGTGTCGATGAAAAACTTGTGAGTCGAAATGACACATTTTAACCGTCGTAAAACATAAACGTAATGTTTCCACCAGTGATGTTAGCTGCGTGAAGCAACAGCAAACCAAGAAACTGGATGCAACGGTGTAGTTTACTGTAGGAGGCCGTACGAGGCGATGACAACTGACATGCATCGTGACGTCGCTTACATTGTGACGTAATGTAAAATGGTTCGATTACGAGGGGGCACACTAGAATGGTGCAGTGACGGGATAACGTCATTCAATTGTTACGTCATCAAAAAACTATACCTTTATTGTCTGATAATGTATATTTTTTTCGATTGTTCTAACTGCTAGGCATCTTAGAATCACATATACCCAGATGTTCTAATTCCTTAATAATCATAATATCGCGGCTGAGCCACCCTGAATCATGACGTCCATTAGAGTCCGTTACACTAATAGAAGCGGCCGTAAGTCCATGTTAAAGAAGGGAGCTACCATCGCCTGAGAGCTACGGTACGTTGCTCAGTGGAACCTGGGTGCCGTTCCACTAACCGATCTTATCTAAGATCAATCTTAGCAAGTTACGCCAATTTTACAATCGTCTGAGCTAAAAGTTACACCCGTTCCACTAACCGATCTTAGGCCGATCGTAGCCGGTCCCGATCTTACGACCCGATCCAAGCTTAGATCGAGACTCTTTCGTGCGAGAGATAGAGCAATGCGAGGCACTAGTTATCTCCCTTTGCATAGTCTAGCAAATGATGGAAGTAGTTTACGAACCAACTGAGTGAGTGAGTGAGTTTATATTTACGCCGCACTCAGCAATAGTCCAGCTATATGGCGGCGGTCTGTAAATAATCTAGCTAAGATGCATAGCGTTCACTAACATGAGCGTTCATGTTAGTGAACGCTATGTATCTTATCTATAAATAATCGAGTCTGGACCAGACAATACAGTTATCAACAGCATGAGCATCGATCTGCGCATTTGGGAACCGATGACATGTGTCAACCAAGTCAGCGAGCCTGACCACCCGATCCCGTTAGTGGCGTCTTACGACAAGCATGGGTTATTGAAGTTCAATATTCTAACCCGGGCCTTCATGGGTATTTTTCCAACCAAGTGTAAACGTGGAGGAAAAACCTAGAGCAAAATGTTAGGGTAGTGAGCACCTTGGTTTCAGGTGCAAGTGCGTGTGAACGCTGGGTATCGATCAGGCATAATATAATAATAACAAATGCATATTTATAGTGCGCCTATTCCACATCCAGGGGCATGCTCAAAGCGCTATGTACAGATAATTTACACGAGAGTATTTACAGCCGAGATTAAAAGTAATATACTGAGAACAGGTTTTAAGTCTGAATTTTAAAATTGTCAATTGTGTCAGAGCTTTTAATATGTGCCTGAACCTTGTCAATCAGAATAAACAAGCCGTGAGGAGGCTATAACGTATGTAGAATCTGTCAGTGGTCTTGAATAACACGCGGCCTGCCTTTAGAATCCCCCCACCAAATATGCGCAGTGAAATCAAACATATTTGTATCTTTTTTGCTTCAGAACATTGTTCACTTTACGGCTGTCCCTATTCTTAACCATGACGTTGCAATATTGTTGTACAAATGTGTTACACCGACTCGCTCGGTTGTGTTCCCATGACGACAGTGGTCAGACTGGCCTGACATTTGTTAGGCTTCAGTGCAGTGTTTGTTTACATCACAGAAATATACAAATTCATTTCATGGGGGATTTTAGGGGACGCTCGCGGTGAAATGCTCGGTCTTATTTTTCACATAGAATAGGAAAGCCACCATTTTGGTTTCTCTACGATTGATTTTAGCTATCCTAAGTTGGTCATGAGCAACTTAGACTTTGAATCTTAACTTTACTATTGACCTAGGTAAGATTGGTTAGTGGAACGGTAAGCCAATCGTAACGTCACACTAAGATTGGGATTTTAGGGGTTTACGATTGGCATAGGGCTAAGAGCGGTTAGTGGAACGGCACCCTGGCCCTTATTGACGAGGCAGAGGCCATTTTGTTTTTCCATAAACTAGCGCTTTATATCTATTGCGCTGAGACAAGGCAGGCTACCAGTTCAGTTGGCACAAATTTCGACATATAAAGAAGTAACCATGATAGTGAGTTTGGTTTTACGCCGCTTTTAGCAATATACCAGCAATGCCAAGGCGACGGACACCAGAAATGATACCCATGTGTGGAATCGAACCAGGGTCTTCGGCGTGACGAGCGAACGCTTTAACCATTAGGTTACCCCAGCTCCCTCAAAACGTCTGGTGACCAGGTTCGCTGACTTGGTTGACACGTTGTCGTATCCCAGTTGCGATGATCAATTCTCTTGCTATTGATCACTGGATTGTCTGGTCCAGACTTGATTATTTACAGACCGCCGTATATATTGCTGAATATTGCTGAGTGCGGCGTTAAGCAGCATACAAGCAATCTGCAGACCACACAAACACAAGGAATACGTGTACCTTTAGGTTGGGGTTGTCTTGTAGTATAGCATCTCTGGCATCAACCGCAAGCTGGAAGAAATACCGGTTAACTTAGAATGTTTATGCTCAAATACATTGTGTTCATAAAACACAGTGTTTTATGTCAAGAAAAAGCAAAGGCTTACAACGTCCACAGGCCCATACGACATACAGAGCGCACAGAGCATACAGACACATACAAACAGTCTGTAATTCTGGGTTCCTCGCTGGTTGTAATCTAAATATGTATATGAAAAATTAATCAATTCTTTACAAATCGTACCCATAGCGTTTCATCATTCGGGGATAATTATATACAACTATGTACTTCCCTCCCTTAAAGTTAAGCTGGGGTGTGTTGTTCTTTCCAGCCTATATCAGGGCGTTGTGTTGCGTGAAAGCGTGGAATGGTTGATTGATGATCGACTGATGTTCACGGGAAGGTATGGGTCAACAATGTGGTGTTTTAGCTATATTGTTCGTTTGGTCCCAGTGTGACCCTTTGCCACAACGTTCATATTACATGTAAACATATCATCGTCTCCCAATTGCCTAGACCGATACTCATGATGTTGATCACTGTCCGGCCCAGACCGCCGCCATATAGCTGGAATATTGCGGAGTGAAACAACAAGCAAACAAAATCATATTAAATGTTCATAATGTGTGCAGTTTCACATCAGAGGATATATATGAAACCAAAATGACTAAAGTCATGTTCCCGAGTCCCCATATGAATGCGAGAAGTACATTTCTCAGTTTTCAAAGATGAAGACTGAACAATATAGGTGTTTCGGGTGTTAATGTTTAACCGTGTCGTGTTTACATTTCAAACACAACACTGTTTATAAACTAGACGACATGCGTTTAGTTAGATCGCCTACATCTGTTTAATAACTCTGTGTTTAACTTTTATTAACTTTTATACTTGCATTGTAAGAGAGTACTAAAACATATAATTCGGCCTCACTGGGATTATATTTTTTTCCAGGATTTTCACCCGACGAAGCAGGCCTGGACAAGGCTGCACAGAAAGCGTCCAAGGAACATTTCCCAAGTCTGCATGTGAACACCATGTTATTCAGTGATTGAGAAATTAGACTTTCTATTTTCTGATAGACTTATTAGTGTTATATTGATTGTTGAGTATTATGTATATCAATACTTCTAGCTATTTATTTGTTACAGTTTCAGCTGTTCACATCAGGATTGTGGCCTCTGGATTGAGTTTTGGTGGACTGTTTACTGATCAGTAACTCATTTAGAGAGTGCAGTTTGCTCACATCGTGTCAATTTCAGTGGACTGAGGAAAAGGACTTTGTGAGTCCCTCATCATGTAGTGTTTTTGTAGTTCTGGCTATTCAGAATGTGTAGCATATAACAGTTTACAGTCATTGTGAATAGAGGAGGCTGTGTTCCACAGATATGTCATAGTGTTGGTAATATATATGTATTAAGTAAGACGAAAAAAACATGATGCTTAGAATCGCTAGATACTTATATTATATCTACCTAGTGCTATCAGCCTTAACATATTAGACAGTATGCATAACTTCACCATTACAAACCTTTGCTTTTAACAGGAGTTTTTTTGACAGCAATATGGGTAAAACTTGTCCAAGAAGGTCTACTAGCGCGCTCTCACACTTACACAGGTACCTTGTCAGTTATTCTGTGGTTGTGTTTAATCGCAGAGCGACACTAGCGATAATGTAAACGGGCTTTTGCGTTTAAAAAAGGTGAGGCATTTATTAAACAGAGTTAAGTGATTAAGTTGTAAACTACAGCACCGTTCAGAAACAAAACCATTGTTTAGTTGGTAAACACTTGTTTATAACATAAACAACTGTTAGATAATAAACACATAACGGTGTTTAAAAACGTAGGACAAATAAGCGTTGGATTTGCGTTTAATATATAAACAGTCATTTTTACAGTGTACTTTTACGTTAGTGAAAGTACTACACCCAGACCACGAACCTATATTCTTTCCTCGTCGGACGTGTTAACACTAGTGGTGTAACGATTCATCGATACGCATGGATGCATCGATCCATGGGCCGCCGATACAGTGAATCGATACAAAGTTTTACATTGTCGTATATCCCGATACGATACTTCAAAAGGGCCATGATACATCGATTTTTAACTTTGAATATTGCCGAATCGCGATATCTGTCAAGAAAAAAACCCTTACTTTTGTTTGATGATTAAAATATATGCTTACTTATTTTCCCTTCATAAGTAAATGTTTTCTCCGAAATCCTTGCGTCAAGAACTGTGTCAGACATATCGCTTGCATGTTATTATCATTCACAAAGTCCGTGTATAAACTTCATTATCTCGTGTCCGAATGAACATTGAAAAACGCTGGCGGAATACTTTAAACGGTCTACTCCCATTTGTGAGACTCCCAGTTATGAGACAGTGGAGTAGGTAATTAACAATGAAAACACACCATACTCCCCTGTCTGATAGAATGGATTCACCCTAGCTAATTACTGATTTGCTATGTAACTGAATCTTGTGGAGGTAACTTAATGAAACTTTATAAGATAAATTGATTAACATACTCAGGTAAATGTCTTTAATAATTAAACACTTTGTGTAGGTAACTTCGTGATCAAAGAGAAATTAATTTACCTACTCAGATTTACTCCGTCTCCGAAACTACAAGCTATAGTTTAAGAAATAATTTTGAAATAACACTGAAATTTACAGTCGAAATGCCCCTTATGCGTTGAAACCCTTTCTACCCGACACAATAAATTTATGGAATGCCCTACCAAATTCCAAAGAGTCATTCAGTCTCAAAGAATATTAAAACCTAATTACAAAAAAAACGAAAACAAGATTTATATTGATCTTAATTATGGCTCTTGTTTTTGTCAAAACGTTCATTGCTGCCTCAGGCTGTATAACAGACATTTAATAGACAGTGCATGTTGCTCTTGTGGATATCAACTACCCGTTATAACCTGGATAATTTTTTGAACGGAAACAAAGAATTTACTCCATGTTTAAACTAGTGGTGGTCCGATTAATTGAAATAATCGAAGATTGGTCGCAATGACTAAACGACCAAGCAATCGATCATGTTTTCTCATAATCGAACACAAACAATTTTGGCACACTTGTTTGCATTAACAACATTTTTCACAAGGTTGGTTTTGTCTGTTACATTTCATAAGTACTACAAGCTCGTTCCTTGTCATGATTGAAATTATCTTAAAGATTCCAGGAAATTTATGTTCCTAACATACTAGTCCTCCTTTAAAGATGCGAAATTTGTAAATGCATTTTGTGCAATTTGCAAAAAAAACACCGAAGTACATGTTTTTTCTATATTTGTTGTGCATTAACAAACATAACCAGGAGAGTTTGATAAATCACGCTAACCAATTTTTTTTTCGATGATTGATCGGTTGTAATAAACCAACGATCATCAATTGTGAGATTTTAACCAATTCCCAACACTAGTGTAAACCAGAAAATAGTTGAATCCGTCCACGATTATATCATCAAGACACAACCTTCAAATTTTCACAGGGAAATACTGAAATTAACTCAACCTTCTCGTGATTGATTTATATTCCTACAATAGATTGTTAGACACACACAACTGAAAGTCTCTAATTATGACTACTTAGAGAATAGTTGTATTTGATGTAATCTGTATATATTTATATGTACTTAAAAATATATTTATGCAATAGTCAATATCGATGACATCACATCCTTCATTTCAATTTATATTTTATGTTGCATGGGAGCGGTGTTAACATAAGCAGTAATACTTCACCAATCCCAATTCATTTTCATAAATAATAATAAAATATGTTTAAACCAAAATGACTTTCAAACTTCATAATAGTCAATAAAAATGTGTTATCATAATTACATATTCTTCTGAATAAATAAAATATTCAATGAACTATGCCTCCTGTGGGTACTGGGCTGGGCTGATCCCACTTTCATGGTAGGGATGTGGAAACACCACCTATGTGCACTGAACCATTAATTAATGTTTCTCACAACTGGGAGTTCTCACCAATGGGAGGACACCCTTTAAACTGGTTTTGCTTTGATCTTAAGGTGTTTTATAGTTGGTGTGAGAATTAGGGATTTTAGTATCGTGATACGTATCGTATCGCCACCCTTATATCGGGATTCGTATCGTATCACCGCTTCAGTGAACAATACTTTGGCAATATATCGCCGTGACTAAAATTTTAGCATCGTGATGTATCCTATCACAGGTTGTATGCCAATACCAGCACTAATTAACACGCACCTATGACCCTAATCGCCAGTGTGCAATAAGGTAACGTGTACATATGATGTAAGACTTATAACACTTCAACGCATATGAGGAAGCGATGAGCACATCGTGAAGGTGATTATCCTACCTTGCGAAGAAGCTCTGGCCATTCCTTCTTCCCTGGTCCTGCTGCAAGTTCATGGTCTTCATTCATTGTCAATACTGGGAAAATGTGCTCTCAAACGATGAACAGAGAGATGTATATAACATCCGCAGTACGATATAGGGCTGATCTATGCGTGTCCTATTTGCAAACCAAGAATGCGCGTTGTAAAATGCGGTAGGGATTGACAATCGCAAACAAACGAGGGAAGGAGTGTTATTCAGGCGTGTTGATGTAACCTGTTAGCCCACAGTAGAGAGGTGTATACCTCTCTTCGTTTCTGAATTAACTACTGTGTTGCATGCATAATCTATGTAGAGTAATACTTGCAATAGCATTCACGGTTTTGTATGCATTCTGCACGTTTTATGAAGAACGACGTTGGGCACGGGTAATTGTTAATACGAATAAAAAGACTTCGTGTAGTTCAAAGCTGAAATTCCTTTTCAAGTTAACTACAGGCTCTACACCACTGAAGACAGGGAATACACCATTGAATACAATTGGGTATTTGTGTTTTTCCTGCACATCGCTTGCAACAACATGAATACGTTTTACCCGCATTTAGCAATATTCAAGCAAAATTCCGAGGACACCAGAAATGGGCTTCACACATTGTAAGCATGTGGGGAATTGAACCCGGGATTTCGGCTTGGCGAGCGAACGCTTGAACCACTAGGCTACGCAAACGTCACAGATGAGGATTTGAAAGTTTGCGGATGGTTGTATGTTCTGGGTGAGTGAGTGAGGTTGGTTTTACGCCTGTCACGCCGAGGGCCCGGGTTCGATTTCCCACAAGGGTGCAATGTGTGAATCCCATTTCTGGTGTCCCCTGCCGTGATATTGATGGAATATTGCTAAAAGCTGCGTGAAACCAAACTCACCCATTCAATACATTTTGATTCTCACGTAGAAAGGTGTGGTATCGGTTCTAGCATATCAGTGTAAACATTTGCCCATTCATGTTAAGAGTGACTGGATGTGTTTTACCCGCTTTCAGCAATATGCCAGCAATATCATCTCACACCAGAAATGGGTTTACATTTTGTACCCATGTAGGCAATCCAACTACCTGTGGTGTGCCAAGTCGTCACGATATGGTTGAAATATTGCCGATGTGACGTTAAATATTAACTCACTCACTCACTGTGGTGTGCCAAGCGAACGTTTCAACCACTATGGTCCATATCAGAAAGGAACATGAGAATTTGTATTTATTATTGGGTATTTATATAGCGCACATTCCCAGGCACTTGTGCATGCTCCAGGCGCTGATATTTTTCCCTCGATCATTGGATGTCAGTTTCAGCGACACATCTTATTATCAGTCTCAACTCCCTGGGGATCATACAACTTTTGCTGCCACTAGGCGCACCGAGTTATTGCGGCTTTCCGATCCTTACGAGGTATCCATTCGCAGCTGGGTGGAGTGGGACACATAGTCACAGCACTTTGTCCAAGTTTACTGCACGTTGCTGTACCCGCAACTTGGTGTTTGCACGTATTCATGTGGCCACCATCTGGTCATATAGCAACGGATGTGTGGGTTCTTTTAAGTGCACAGGGTTGTGTACTGTACACTAGGGGTTGTGACAACACTGACAGAGTCTGCACACAAAGTTGACTCAAAGGTCTTTACACCCGGTCACAGGTGGGCTCGATCCCGCTAATGCATGCTCGCTGGATCACTAGCCTGGCGCCCTAGACAGCTCGCCCAACACAGAATGTCTCTGTTAGATTCGTGAAGATCCGGGTTAGAACTGGTCTTCAGCCATGCTTCAACCCATGCTTGTCGCAAGGGGCGACTAACAGGATCGGGTGGTCAGGCTCGCTGACGTGGTTGACACATGTCATCGTATCCCAATTGCGGAGATCGATGCTCATGCTATTGATCACTCGAACCAACCAACCAACCTCTATCACCCTTACTTTAGGGATAAACCATCCAGGATTTGAGGTTTACAAACTGGGTTAAACCAGTCATCACAATCATGATATTCACCAACAAACGTTCACAATCAGAACGAATCTTGGGACCGCCTCCGTGGTGTAGTGGTTCGTCTGCCCGGTGGGCTGAAGGTCGCGGGTTCGATCCCCGACCGCGTCATACCAAAAGACGTTAAAATAAGGTACTTGTTGGTCCCTGTCTGGCGCTCGGCATAAATGGTTACAACAAGGACTGGTCGGCTCGGAGTCAGTATAATGTGTCTGAGTGGGGTATTCATGCTTCACTGCGGCATGATATCTCGGTGGGCTAGCACTATAAAACCAGCTTCAGTCTGGGCTAGTACAAGCAGCCGCACATACACATACACTAGCATGCACGTCGTCATATGAGCGAAATATTCTCAAGCGAGACGTTAAACCCAATTTCACCACACCTCACCTCACGAATCTGGGATTGGATCCAACATGGTTACGTCATGTTCAAGGGACACAACCAAGCACAGCGGTTGTCAACCACAAGGAAACCCACTCTGCAACCTAGCACTACCAATTGGGTTACTATTTTGTTTTCTGGGTGTGTTAACAACTGCAGAAAAATGATGTGCCTGTAAAACTGGTTGGAAGAAATTGAGTGTATAAATTCACAAAGAGGATGCATAATACGTAAACATGTTAAAGATGTTATTTTCAAAACTGTTGCCATTCCAACATACCACACCTGAAACTTTAGATTATTTTGAGAGAGATATTTTAGGAAGTCAAACGACAAGACAATCGCTCACATAAACTGAAGGAAAACATAGTCAACAATCAGCGTAAACATATTTTATTCAAACTACTGAGGACCAAACAGCAGCCCAAACAGCCGAACATGATGTAGATGGCCGTGATCAGCCACCGAGAGTGATGCACCAGCAGCAGCAGCAGCAGCACAATCCTCCAAACATGATGTAGATGGCCGTGATCAGCCACCGAGAGTGATGCACCAGCAGCAGCAGCAGCACAATCCTCCAAACATGATGTAGATGGCCATGACCAGCCACCGAGAGTGATGCACCAGCAGCAGCAGCAGCACAAGCTTCCAAACATGATGTAGATGGCCGTGACCAGCCACCGAGAGTGATGCACCAGCAGCAGCAGCAGCAGCAGCACAAGCTTCCAAACATGATGAAGGGGGCCGTGACCAGCCACCGAGAGTGATGCACCAGCAGAAGCAGCAGCACAAGCTTCCAAACATGATGTAGGGGGCCGTGACCAGCCACCGAGAGTGATGCACCAGCAGCAGCAGCAGCAGCACAGGCTTCCAAACATGATGTAGATGGCCGTGACCAGCCACCGAGAGTGATGCACCAGCAGCAGCAGCAGCACAAGCTTCCAAACATGATGTAGGGGGCCGTGACCAGCCACCGAGAGTGATGCACCAGCAGCAGCAGCAGCACAAGCTTCCAAACATGATGTAGGGGGCCGTGACCAGCCACCGAGAGTGATGCACCAGCAGCAGCAGCAGCACAAGCTTCCAAACATGATGTAGGGGCCGTGACCAGCCACCGAGTGATGCACCAGCAGAAGCAGCGGCACAAGCTTCCAAACATGATGTAGGGGCCGTGACCAGCCACCGAGGTGATGCACCAGCAGCAGCAGCAGCAGCACAGGCTTCCAAACATGATGTAGATGGCCGTGACCAGCCACCGAGAGTGATGCACCAGCAGCAGCAGCAGCACAAGCTTCCAAACATGATGTAGGGGGCCGTGATCAGCCACCGAGAGTGATGCACCAGCAGCAGCAGCAGCAGCACAAGCTTCCAAACATGATGTAGATGGCCGTGATCAGCCACCGAGAGTGATGCACCAGCAGCAGCAGCACAAGCTTCCAAACATGATGTAGATGGCCGTGACCAGCCACCGAGAGTGATGCACCAGCAGCAGCAGCAGCACAAGCTTCCAAACATGATGTAGATGGCCATGATCAGCCACCGAGAGTGATGCACCAGCAGCAGCAGCAGCAGAAGCTTCCAAACATGATGTAGATGGCCGTGACCAGCCACCGAGAGTGATGCACCAGCAGCAGCAGCAGCAGCACAAGCTTCCAAACATGATGTAGATGGCCGTGATCAGCCACCGAGAATGATGCACCAGCAGCAGCAGCAGCAGCACAAGCTTCCAAACATGATGTAGATGGCCGTGATCAGCCACCGAGAGTGATGCACCAGCAGCAGCAACAGCACAAGCTTCCAAACATGATGTAGATGGCCGTGATCAGCCACCGAGAGTGATGCACCAGCAGCAGCAACAGCACAAGCTTCCAAACATGATGTAGATGGCCGTGATCAGCCACCGAGAGTGATGCACCAGCAGCAGCAGCAGCACAAGCTTCCAAACATGATGTAGGGGGCCATGACCACCAGAATGCAAACGAGTACAGCGTGTGATCACAGTAGTTCCCTGACTTAGGGTCAGAGTCAAAGTTGCCGTAGGTTCTGTACACCCACACAGTGCCTGGAAAAATAAGGTGAATGGTATTTTTTTATATTTCTAATCCATGAAAACAAAGTTTTTGAGAAAGTGAGAGAGTGATTGGGTTTAGTTTTACGCCGGACACAGCAATATTCCAGCCATATGGCGGCGGTCTGTAAATAATCCAGTCTGGACCAGGCAATCCAATGATCAACAGCATTAGCATTGATGTACGCAATTGGGAACCGATGACATGTGTCAACCAAGTACAAATATAATCGACAAACCCTTTACGCACCCATAATAAGTCTCTGCTAAAACAGAGTCGATTGTACAATATGACTATATCGTGAGTATATATTGTACAATATGACTATATCGCATATATTGTACAATATGACTATATCGAAAGTATATATTGTACAATATGACTATATCGTGAGTATATATTGTACAATATGACTATATCGTGAGTATATATTGTACAATATGACTATATCGTGAGTATATATTGTATAATATGACTATATCGTGAGCATATATTGTACCATATGACTATATCGAGAGTATATATTGTACAATATGACTATATCCTGAGTATATATTTGTTTCAGCAGAATGTAAACAAATCGAGTCGGGACGGATGGCAGAGCATGAGTTTATGAATCACTGTGACATAGTGATGACACCAGGTGTTCGCGAAAAGGTGAGCGTATCCTGTCCCACCGGTGTCACCAATCATAAACATATACAAAGTCTAGTCAGTTAATACCCGATCCCTGTCAGTCGCCTCATACGACAAGAATGGATTGCTGAAGAACAATTCTAACGCGGATCTTCACGGGTGGAAACAAGCATGGGTTACTGAAGAACAATTCTAACCCAGATCTTCACGACTGGAAACAAGCATGGATTGCTGAAGAACAATTCTAACCCGGATCTTCAAGGGTGGAAACAAGCATGGATTGCTAAAGAACAATTCGAACCGGGATCTTCAAGGGTGGAACCAAGCATGGATTGCTGAAGAACGATTCTAACCCGGATTTTTACGGATGGAAACAAGCATGGATTGCTGAAGAACAATTCTAACCCGGATCTTCAAGGGTGGAAACAAGCATGGATTGCTGAAGAACAATTCTAACCCGGATCTTCAAGGGTGGAAACAAGCATGGATTGCTAAAGAACAATTCGAACCGGGATCTTCAAGGGTGGAAACAAGCATGGATTGCTGAAGAACGATTCTAACCCGGATCTTTACGGATGGAAACAAGCATGGATTGCTGAAGAACAATTCTAACCCGGATCTTCAAGGGTGGAAACAAGCATGGATTGCTGAAGAACAATTCTAACCCGGATCTTCAAGGGTGGAAACAAGCATGGATTGCTGAAGAACAATTCTAACCCGGATCTTCAAGGGTGGAAATAAGCATGGATTGCTGAAGAACATTTCTAACCCGAATTTTCAAGGATGGAAACTAGCATGGATTGCTGAAGAACAATTCTAACCCGGATCTTCACAGGTGGAAACAAGCATGGATTGCTGAAGAACAATTCTAACCCGGATCTTCACAGGTGGAAACAAGCATGGGTTACTGAAGAACAATTCTAACCCAGATCTTCAAGGGTGGAAACAAGCATGGATTGCTGAAGAACAATTCTAACCCGGATCTTCAAGGGTGGAAACAAGCATGGATTGCTGAAGAACAATTCTAACCAGGATCTTCACGGATGGAAGCAAGCATGGATTGCTGAATAACAATTCTAACCCGGATTTCACGGGGTTTCATCCAGGTGTTGATGACTTACCTGCCATAAACCAGCAAGCCATGAAAGTGTTGACGAGGGCCTCAAACGGGTGTAGTTTCTTCTTTTCCTCTTCTCCTTTCGTTTCCTTTGAGTTTGGGCAGCAACATGTCTGTACTAAAGCAACTGTACACTGTATTGTCCACACACTACCACCAACAAGTAGAAATACTGGAATGAGGTTCTCGGCAGGGCAGTGATTTAGATGGATGGAGCCTGGAACATGGAGACATTTAGATATACATGACCACATGCAGATCATTGACTTTACTCTGGTAATGTGAACATGATATCTGGGTAACGGGAAATATCAGAGAGTTATTACGGTTAAGTAGCCTAATGGTTAAAGCGACCGCTCCTCACGCTGAAGGCCCGGGGTACGATTCCCCACATGGGTACAATGTGTGAAGCCCATTTCTGATGTCCCCCGCCGTGATGTTGCTGGAATATTGCTAAAAACGGCCTATCACTTTGAAATTGTTTTAGTTAGGGTGGAGAGGTCACCTCAATCCCCTTGACCCCTTAAATCTTTACCAATCAGTAATCAGGAAACTACAGTCCAAGATAAATCCCTGTCTACAAAACGTTCAGTATCAATAGTAAGAAAACCGAATCCTGAACTCTGTTTGGACTTAAGTGTCTATGTTAGCCTGAAACCAACGGCAACGTATCATCCAAGGACACTTGAGGTTTGATGTGACCTGTCTATATTTCAATCTATGTCTCTACCATGAATATGCAAGCAAATAGTATCCAGTCTTCATCATCAGTCTCATGTTTCTTGTATGAGTGTTGAGGGTTGGAAAGCAGTTGGCATAGCCAACTGTTCAAGGTAGGTAACAGACCTATGATAAAATATGTAATAACCAGCAAAGATCAACCTCATGATACCACTGTGAAGAGATGACATGTAATCCTATTGTTGGTGTACAGACTAAAGAATACATATCGACAGTTGCCGCAGGCCATGGCCGGGTGTATGTGGTGGCGTGTGGTCCTGTGCATAGAGTTCGGGTCACAAATCAGTTGGGCGCGGAGAGTCATTGGATGGGTGACCGTGTTTGGCAGCTTGACTCTTGAGAGTTTCTAGGACTTCTGTCCTGCCCCACAACGAACCACATGTGATACATGTGGTCTCACCTTAAGCAAGTGAGTTTGTTCAAATTGCCTCTGTTCACCCAGCAGAAAATTTGAACCACATACAATCTACATGAATTGCAATTAAACTGCATCACCATTCTAGAGTGAATTATCATGCGTTTTAAGCCTTGGCAACAGTTTCCTACATTAGTTTACAATGGACAATAAAAGTGCACTTTAATGTTGCGTTCTGCCATCATCGTGCTGTTTTCAGAAACTGTAAAACAATACGGTTTACAAACGGATCACGAACAATTGACGTAAAATATACCCATAAAGTTAAAAATAACCGTCAGTCTGAAAGACTGAAAATATTTTCGCACATGAATATTATGCCCCTATCGTTTTCCCTTGTGGATCACACACTGCATACGTCATAACTTACCGATTACAATCATACCCACTGGGATGGCCATAAAAAAGCCCTATTATAATCATGGACGCCACTGAAACGATAAACAAATAAACATGAGGTGTAAGCTGAATGTATAACATTTCAACTATAATGTACTGTGCTTAATTACCATATCAGGCTAATGTAACCTGTAGTGAGTTGTGAACAACTAGAAACATCTCGTTGCTTGGGGCAGCACTCGCCTCTATGAGTGAGTGAGCGAGTTTAGTTTTACGGCGAACTCAGCAATATTCCAGCTATATGGTGGCGGTCTGTAAATAATCGAGCCTGGACCAGACAATCCAGTGATCAACAGCATGAACATCGATGTACGCAATTGGGATGCGATGACATGTGTCAATCAAGTCAGCTAGCCTGACCATCCGATCCCGTTAGTCGCCTCTTACGGCAACCGTGGGTTGCGGAAGATCAATTATAACCTGGATCTCCACGGGTCTCACCTACATGAGACGATACACTATACAGTGGCACACAAACGACCAAGGCACCCAGCATGGTGCATCCAGCCCATTAAGTTGTCTCCTACCGCAACCGCAGAGTTGGTATGGATCAACCTGACCCACTGAGAGTTAGTGGTGGCCCGATTAATTGAAATAATCGAAGATTGGTCGCGATGACTAAACGACCAAGCAATCGATCATGTTTTCTCATAATCGAACACAAACAACTTTGGAACACTTGCTTGCTTTAACAATATTTTTCACAAGGTTGGTTTTGTCTGTTACATTTCATAAGCACTATCAGCGGCTCGTTCCAAGTCAGTATTGAATTTATCTTATGGTCTTAACAGACTAGTCACACTTTAAAGATGTAAACTTTGCAAATGCATTTTGTGCAGTTTGCAAAACACTCGAAAGAACTACATGTTTATGCTTTATTTTCGGTGCATTTACAAATATAACCAGGAAAAAATGATAAATGACGCTAACCAATTATTTTCGATGATTTATAGGTTGTAATGAACCAATCATCATTTATGAGATTTTAACCAATTCCCAACACTACTGAGAGTACATGTGAATATCTTAATTTACTGGAAACATTGCTCTGTTGAGACAAGTGGAGGTTTACTGCAAGTCCTGGACTCCTGCAAGTCCCGAACTGACAAATGGTCATGCGACTTACTTGAACCTATCAGGATGGTGAAGAATTCCTTGAGGAAGACAATTCCATGAGACTGCGTCTTGGCAGCCTTCACCCTTTCATACAGGGTCTCATTGGTCGGCTTGGGTGGCTCTGTGATCAGAACATGAGTGAGTTGGGTTTTACGCCGCTTTTAGCAATATTCCAGCAATATCACTACGGGGGAGACCAGAAATGGGCTTCACACATTGTACCCATGTGGGGAATCGAACTCGGGTCTTCGGCATGACAAGCGAACGCTTTAACCACTAGGCTACCCTACCACCCCTCAGGACATGACCATGATGAAATGTATCAACTTTGCAACGAGCATTTTACACGTGAAACGTTCCATGTTGAAAGACAGTCATTCCTTGTCATGAAGAGGGCTGGGACCCCCACAGAATTATTACCACCGAAGAGGTGCAGAAAAGTGGGATTTAGTTCTGTGTCATCAACGATATCATTCCATTTCCTGCTTTCCTCAATGCTGCATGGTTGATCTTCTAAAAACATCCAAGTCGAACCTATTTGCCAGCCGGGGCGGTGGGGTAGCCTAGTGGTTAAAGCGTTGGCTCGTCACGCCGAAGACCCGGGTTCGAATCCCCACATGGGTGCAATGTGTGAAGCCCATTTCTGGTGTCCCCCGCCGTGATGTTGCTGGAATATTGCTAAAAGCGGCGTAAAAGCGAACTCAGTCAGTCAGTATTTGCCAGCCGCGATGGCTGAGTGGGTTAAATCGTTGACTTTGTATGCTGGCGATGAAGTGCCTCATTCTCAGAGTGTGGGTTCGAATCCCGGACGGGACTCAACCCCGATCATATACAGTAATCTTTACTTTACTGAGAAAGTGTGATTATAGATGACTTGGGACCCCCTAATTATTTCATTCTTAATGTATAGTTATGACTTAAACCTTTTTGGGTAGTTTCTTTTTTATCCTTTCAATTATGTCAACAGTATTCGAAATCAAGGGGTCCTAGGGAGCTCAACGTCTTCTCCTATATGGTATTTCAAATATTGGCACCCACTCATTCTCAAACAAGGACAAATACTTTTAAATCACTGCGAGTGAGCGAGTAAGTGATTGAGATGAAATAGAGTTTTGCTTACACACACTATACACAAAGTCACATCTATATTCATGGAACAATACTCAGGAGGTTGTTTGTATTACTGATCCATGTAGAAATGTGCCAGTACTTGACTGTCATGTGAAATGTCTTTTTGTGAGGGGGCATAAATTACTTCACCGATATGTATCGATAAGCGATCGATATTTAGTAATCGACTATCGAACTCTATATATGTATCCATGGCCGACCCTAATAATTACCTTTAGTGTCATGGATAGCCTGGCTGTGGGGTCCCAAATTGATGGATGTAGGGTCCAAGCACAAAGGGGGACCTCCCTGAAATACATCAGCAAAACTCACTGTAGCTGCATATGAGAAACACTATCGGCGTATAATTGAATACTCTTGTGTTTTAGCTTTTCCTATATGGTTAGACTCAAGACAAGCACGGAGGGGTGGGGGTGGGGGGTGGGGGTTATATCGGTCATACACGAACCAAGTTGCAGTTCAGCACAAGTAATATTTATGAGCTAATACTTGTGATTTCAGCAAAGTCATCATACTAGGCCTACACCTTACTTGAAATGCAAGTTCGAGACAAGCTCAGGAATGCCCAGCGCCAGACAGGGACCAACAAGTACCAAATTTTAATGTAACGTCTTTTGGTAAGACGCGGTCGGGAATCGAACCCGCGACCTTCCGCTCTCCGGGCGGACGCTGTAACCGGGCCGAGTATAAAACTGGCTTAAAGAAAATCTGGAGCTGAGAGCTAACTGCAAGAAACAATTCAATGCCACCAATATTTTTGGTCTCCTATTCCTTTGGAGTAGTTGATTGGACAAAACAAGACATCCAGTGTCTTGACCACCTGACCAGAAGGATCACATCTGACAACAGAGCCCACCACCCTCGTTCCTCTCTTGATATCGTTTATATATGCCAATCTATTCTGGAGGTCGGGGTTTGATTAATGTGGAGGCTCTTCGTGATAGAATTTTATTGCGTACTTTTGCACATATTTACTAGTATATATCGGATGACCCTCTGGTGATGCATGTCAAGGGTCATGATGAAATTCCACTGCTGTTTTAAGCGTGCCAAGGTTGTTGGACAGAATCTCAAATCTGAGGTTGATTTTGTTGGGCGGAACAGCGATGGGAGTAAACCAGGTGAAATCCTTCACCAAGTCTGACCAGAGTTGGTCATTTGTGGAACAGCTTTCTGAGAAACAATTGCATCGTGTGCAGTGTGTGGAACAGAACAGTAATTCAACCGACTCCTTCAGCCTGTGAAGCACTAGAATGTTATAGTCACATTATTTATCCCACCTGGTACCCATTTTCTGCTTTGTGAACAGAGGCAGTTTGGAAAAACTCACTTGCCTAGGGTGAGACCACATCACATGTACTTCGTTGTGGGGCAGGACTGGAAACTCTCAAGAGTCATGCTGTCAAACACGGTCACCCATCCAATGACTCTCCGTAGACGTGAATTTGGAAAACTATATCATTTTGTGAAATGTTATTTGTCAAAAACACTCGGAACTCAAGCATATGTGGCAGTAGAGAGTCCAAAAACCCCGCGGCAAAAATATTTCTCGTCAATTTTTCTCGGGGAAGTGTTATATTAAGGGGCAGTGGCGTAGCCTAGTGGTTGAAACGGTCGCTCGTCATCGTATCCAAATTGAGCAGATCGATGCTCATGCTGTTGATTACTGGATTGCCTTGTTCAGACTCGATTATTTACGGACCGCCACCATTTAGCTGCCATATTGGTGAGTGCGACGTAAAACTAAACTCCCTCAACTCCTCGGGCTGCGGTGATGTTCTGTCCTGTAGTCCCCTCTGTCGTCCATCTCGCCTCTCCCTGTCTGTTATGTCGTCTGCTGTCTCCCGCCAATCGTCAGCACATGCGCTAGTAACTTTATCTCGTTGTCATGATCGCGCGCGGCGTCCTGGATCAAACTTCCTGTCCTCGTGTTGCGTTTTTTTTTGTCATCATGACTTCAACCTGTAAGTTGTAACCACGTCCCCTCACCGAGAGCCTGTCGCCCGATACAGCATTAGCTTTCACGTGCAGCTTTCATAGCTATCACGGACCTCCTTTGGTAAACAATGTTAAACCAGTATTGTACGAATATATTAAATGATATAAGCACATGTGGAGAAGACACATTTGGTCATGTTCAGCTTGCCCACTGCTCAAACATAAGTGGGTTTTTTTTAAAACAATGAGCCTAAATTAATCATGTCCCCGCCAGTCTGACAGCAACAGCCCCTGTGAAAAATATTCACTGGGACCTATTGCAAATGGCCATAATGCAGTCACTAATAGTACTGATATCTAACCCACCATTTAACCCCGTGGGTGTGGGTAGTAATAATGAAATGGGCAAGTCAGTCTATGATAAAAGTAGACGATATGGGCAGAGCAACTAAAACATCATCTCTAAAAAGGAAGTGTCTCGCTTAATGATGTACACAAAACTATTGCTTGGTTAATGGACACTCGCTACGAACAGACATATCGTGCATAATAACTCGATATTTGATGCATGCAAACAATTTTACCTGCTGATAGCCTTTCTCCATATCAGTAGACGCCATTTTTGTTTCCGCTTTCTACTCAGTCTTTACGTAATGCCTCGGACAAGTCACGGAAATGCGCGAGTGATCACAGTTACAGAGTGAATGAGTGAGTTTGGTCTTACGCCGCTTTTAGCAATATTCCAGCAATAATATTATCACGGCGTGGGACACCGCCCCTCAGTTAGAAAAGTAGGTAACTGGGTGGTCAGGTTCGCTGACTTGGTTGACACATGTCATCGTATCCCAATTGCGTAGATCGATGTTCATGCTGTTGATCCCTGGGTTGTCTGGTCCAGACTCGATTATTTACAGACCGCCTCCATATAGCTGGAATATTGCTGATAGCGGCGTGCAACTCAACTCACTTACTCACTCACAAATCCACCAACACACAGGTATCTTCCACCACGAGATGTAGGAAGAAATAACTGATTTAACTGTGCACTCGAAACTGAATGCAATCTACAGCGAGTTCTTTCCTTATATATCCAAATGAATGAAATGTGTTCATCATTGTAAAATTCATCTCATGATGATATTGATGGCATTTTGAGTGAACTACGCCAGTGAATTATGTCCACGCCTTACGCGAGGCTCACGATATCGAAAATCTTTAAACGTCCCCTACTAGCGGATTAGCGTGTCTTGAGCAACACCTTCAACACCAAAGTTCCATAGCGGTCCATAGCTAAAGCTCTTGTCCATAGACCAGTAGTAGCTACCCTCTTGCTCCTGAAACAACGATTATTAAGAATGATATGTTATCTTGTTATTGAAAGCATTTAAAAGAAATATGCAGTAGGGGTCAACCAGTATCAGGTATTCCCCAACTCAGGTGTGTTTTAATTCCAAAAGTGTTATCATGAATTTTTGTTCTAGTTTTATTACAACTATAAAAAATACTTTTGTTTGTACATTCTACAGCTAATTCTATATGGCTTATATAATGCCGATGCAACGTAAAACTCAATATAACTCACCATCATCCTAATGAAACTAATTTCTATTTCGAATTGACAATATATAGATTCAATCTATGTGTTTGCCACAATGTATGATGTAAGTGAAACAGATGTTTGATTAATATTAATGTTTTTTGGTTTTACTTAATGTGTGAAGAGTACAACAAAACTGAGTGATTATCTATTTTCCCTCTACCATTGTTGTTTATACACAACATGATACTACTTGAGGAGTGAATTTGGTTTTCGCGGCTTTTAGCAATATTCCAGCAATATCATGACGGGGGACACCAGAAATGGGCTTCACACATTGTACCCATGTGGGGATTCGAACCCGGGTCTTCGGCGTGAAGAGCGAACGCGTTAACCACTAGGCTACCTCCACCGCCCCAGTATTGAGGAGAGGGAACCTGGTATATCCAAATAGAATGTTTATATTTCTGCACAACATTATCAATGGTCAGTGCATGTCTGTGTCTTGGTCAATTTGATCACCACAGGACGTAAAGTCTTCTCTCCATGGTATTCGAGACCCCCTGAAGATTTGGGTTAGAATTGATCTTCAGTAACCCATGCTTGTCGTAAGAAGCGACTAACGGGATCGGATGGTCAGGCTCGCTGACTTGGTTGAATATCGTATCCCAATTGCGCAGATCGATGTTCATGCTGTTGATCAATCTATTGTCTGGTCCAGACTCGATTATCTACAGGCCGCCGCCATATAGCTGGAATATTGGTGAGTGGGGCGTAAAACTGAACTCACTCACTGTTTAGTGCTGGTTTGATTAGGTCCCGATATAAAATGTTAAAGACAAAATGCTTTTCAACAGCCACTGTGTCACACAACAGTATCGGACAGGTGCGTACACTTAAAGACTCTCCTTCAGTTTGTGTTGGTGAGTGAGTGAGTGCGTGAGTTTAGTTTTACGCCGCACTCAGCAATATTCCAGCGGACTGTAAATAATCGAGTCTGGACCAGACAATCCAGTGATCAACAGCACGAGCATCGATCTGCGCAATTGGGAACCGATGACATGTGGCAACCAAGTCAGCGAAACTGACCACCCGATCCCGTTAGTCGCCTCTTACGACAAGATAGTCGCCTTTTTATGGCAAGCACATGGGTTGCTGAAGACCTATTCTACCCCGGATCTTCACGGGTCAGTTTGTGTTGGTATTGACAGTAGATGCCTAATGGTTACTTGCTCTTGCTGCTGTCAAATGATAAGGGGATTGGGTGGTCAGGCTCGCTGACTTCGTTGACACATGTCATCGGTTCCCAATTGCGCAGATCGATGCTCATGCTGTTGATCACTGGATTGTCTGGTCCAGACTCGATTATTTACAGACCGCCGCCATATATAGCTGGAATATTGCTGAGTGCTGCGTAAAACTAAACTCACTCACTCACTTACTCCAAATGTTCTGCACGAATATCTCATATGTATCAGGTTGAGGGGCCACACATACAACTTGAAGCATTTGGAGGAAAAAAACATGCTGAGACACTAGTGTCTGGGTGTACACTGAGCTCATACCTAACTTGAATTGAGCACAGTGTTTATCCTTTCTGTAGACTGATTTCTGGAACTATAAAACTTATTAGGGTACCCAAACCACTTGACATATGCTTCACTTTAAACATCTTGTTTCCTTAAAAGGACTTTCTCGCCACACCACAAAATGTCTGTGGGCTTGCCTGCTCTCTGCAGTTCATTTGCATGTCTTGATAATCTATCTGGAACTATTTCCGACCAATTCAAATGTTACTATTCAGCTTTTATTTTCTGTTTTGATTTGACAGAGTGAGTGAGTGAGTGAGTTTATTTTTACGCAGCACTCCAGCTATATGGCTATTCCAGCTATATGGCTGCGGTCTGTAAATAATCGAGTCTGGACCAGACAATCCAGTGATCAACAGCATGAGCATCGATCTGCGCAACTGGGAACCGATGACATGTGTCAACCAAGTCAGCGAGCCTGACCACCCAATCCAGTTATGATTTGACAGTCTTCAAAGGACTAATGTATTGTTCCTGCTATATAATATAGTATCTTCATTTTCCTTATGAATGTCTGCAGATGATGTATCATTCTTGAATCTGTGGGGAATACATATGCTCAACAATCAATGTGAACACTTACTTGTAAACAGATATTTTATTCAAACTATTGCAGAGAATATACATATTAATAGAAGAATCAATACATGTCTTATACACAATTGACATTTAACAACATTGTCACCAAAACACAGAGGATTATACAGAATTTCTCTATGTACAAGATGTACAACCAACTCATCATGAAATGGTTACGTTTCCAGCTTTTGTAATAATTTATTTCACATTTCAGCTAGACAAAGCATATTACATAGCTGCTTAGCTTTATCTACGTTTTGTATTGAATTCATTTGCTCATGCAAGCATCAATTGCCAGTTTGCCAATAGTCCAGGAATACACGTTCCTGCTTGGTACTGGTGTAAAATAACTTAAATAATACTGTTCAGTATTTACAGTATTGATAATGTGTGTATTTATATTGCGCTAGCCTCCATACACTTAGCACATTATGAAAGCACCAACATTATCAAACAAGTCAATGAATCAGTGTAATCTCCACAATTCTCATTTCCAGGTCTGCTGAGCTGTCTTAATAGTCCTAAAGGGCAACAATCATATTACAATCTCAACCTACCGGGTACCCACGTTACTGCTTGGAGAGTTTAGTTCACACCAACATGACTGCTAAGTGAACAAAGGTATATTTTACACTTGCCAAGGAGACATAACATGGGCTACATGCATTCAGTTTCTGGTTGGACAGAAATCTATCTGCTGAACACAGACACACTTCCATCTACTCTCAGCAACAACCCTTCCTTAACTTGACCTGATTTGTGACCTGAAACATGCCACCGCTTCACAGGCACGTCATGGACCATAGATCTAAACGCACGTCACATATAAAAATAGAGTAACATTTATATATGTGGCGTGCGTCTAGATCTATGGTCTATGTTTAACCTACATAGCGATAATGGGTTAGTGTGAATTTCCTGCCTTTGATCCTACTGTTGCTAAGATTTGAACACAAAATGCAACACAACATACCTTCATAGAAAAACTACTTATTTGGAAAAAAGCACTGCTATGGCTATTTGAAGAGGGTCACTTACTTTGTACATAAACTTTAGGGGGGTCATTAACATTGTACATGCTTCTCCATATAAATCATCACACTACCCCCCCACCGCCTATGAACTAAGAAAGGTCCCTAAAGATGTGTAACAATATGGAGATCTGTGATGCACAATACATACCAAAACTAATTAACAATTTGTATCTTGAAACAGACTTTCGTAGCTGATTTTCAGTGATCCATTCTTATGATTTTCACAGCTATTTTTCTCTTTACACAAAACAGAATTTGTTTCTGAGGGCAGTCAAGACAGGTTATACGTTTGCACTGATGTTATATATTTGATATTGGTTCTTTCAGTAGGTGCTTCACAACCCGAAAACAAGACTTATGACATTACAAATACTTCCAAACTTTAGTATTTGTATTACAAATATACTCTGAGGATCTCACCATTAATTGACTGGTCAATGGCTAACTGATAGTAAAATCAGTTATTGTTGCCATGCTTTTACACCAAATTAACTTTGAATGTAATGGATCATATGCATCAGGGTACATCAGGGTTGTAAATTAATGTATTGTATTTTAGGGTTTGTATCGTGGTACAATACTGCATTATCACAACACTAATTATTTCACATACTGCATGAAAAATTGTTTCACAGGGACTACCTTAGGAGGACTCACCATTAAAAAATGTTCTGCCTGCATAACACTGGTGTTACGCAACACCATTGATTGGAAGACTCACTTCTGTGGCATTAATTCATGACAAGGGAGGAATACAAAATATTGCTTTTAACTTGCATAAAAACATAGGAATCATCACTGACCTTTGATACCAATTTAAATTTCGAAATTTTATTTCTAAAATGTAATATCACTATAAAATATTTAATTCAAATGTTTTGGAATTGTTCGTCAGATAAATGACACATTTCAGCATACTCACTATGTATTTCTTTTTATAACTTTATTTTTATACTTACCTTAACATGTTTAATTCCCTGCTTTAACATTGTATTCACTAAACACTGATACAATTCCTTTAGCTCTATGGTGCTAAAGAGTATAGGATAATGAATGGCTATTCATTTCAGATGCAGTTTAGATTCAAGATTATTTTCAGGTTTAGATTTCAAATCCTGCATATTCAAGAGCCACCTGTCAACACAATTAAACATTGATAGAGTCCTGAAACAACAGTGGATGTTGCAAATCATAGTATAAAACCATTCTGACAACATACATTGTATTCAAAGAGTATATAGTGAATTATAATATGCATATCATCATTTGAATGAATTCTGGAATATGCTCTAAAAGGTCAAAACCAGGTGACAGGCAGGTCATACTCTGTGCAGCACACAGATATTATGCTTTAAACTGACTTCAAATTGCCTGTAGAGTAAACAAAAAATCTCATAATTGGTATCATCTTAACATCATTGAATTGAAATACATGTACACACTGACTGGACTGTTTGGGAAATGAGGCCTGTTTGAATAACTAACAACTTTTCTAGAAAAACTTACGGTTATATTTTTCCATATGTGCATGATAGAATTTGCTATCGAATAGGATTATCCGAAGTTTGTACAAAAGCTTGATACTCAGCATAATCTTTAATTGTAAAAAATACATAGGATACACTGGATATATGTACACTCACATCAATTCATCTATTTCATATTTCCAGATCTAACTAAAGAATATTAATAAATACATTAATATTGTCAAAAAGTAAGCTTATACCACAGTGTTACAGATCCAGATCTACTGACAATACTGGCAAGTGAATACACACATCCATAAAATAATTCAAACAACCTTCAAAGAAGCATAAACCACATTATCGAAGTCACAAGAGTTAATTGTAATCATAACAAAATTCTTTCAACAACAAAAGTAGCATCTGACTCGTGACTGCTACAGCATATACATCAATTTGAAGAGATTCCTCCTTGTGGTCTGAATACACCAATTATACATGGTATTCTTTATTAACATGCACAGCATCTTATAGTAATAGACATAAATACAGGTGAGTCAGTCAGTTAGGATTACATATAGCAGCTTATGCAGTACTAGGCCTCAGAGAACTGAATACAAACACAGAAGTATGGTGTGAAGGTGCATTGCCAATAACCAATTCACCTTACAATGGAGCGCTAACTTGTAGATGCTAGCACCAATCGCTGGCTGAGGTCACATGGTTCTCAAACCAAAATGATGACTGACAGAAATTTGAGTTAAGAGAGGGATACTTGACTGGATCTACTGGGAAATGGACAAAGGCAGCTAACATCCTAGCATCCTCGATCTGCTCCACATTTTCAAATTACCCATCAATAGTCATAGATTCACTGACTCACTATCAACCTTCTACATTACGGCTACCAAGCAGTATTTGCACCACCATTTTGGAAGGCAGGGAAAGCTCTCCGAAGGCTATGGGTGAGTGATCAGTTTGCTTACTCCATGCGATTCACTGCATGCAACACGCGCAGGATCAGTTGGACACAGAGATTTGGCCTGCCATATGGTCATAACCCAAGCACCATTTGTGCCATGCAGGCATAGTGACCAATGGATCTGCAGTTACTGGTACAACACATATGAGGTACTGTGGTACAACTCTTGCAATAATGAAATCACCACAAGTCCTGACTGTATTGTATAATCCAAGCCACCAAGGTGTTGATTGTTGATGAAATAACTGATCTCATAACTGAAAACATCTCGGCAAATATTTGCCCATCTCCTGGCCATAACAAAGAGTTATCCATATCCTGAGAATCTTCATCTTACTGCACTGTAAATTCACAAACTTGTACTGACACTTTCTGACACACTATCATTATATGAGAATACTGATTTGGTCTACCTTTGAATCGGTTGTAAATTCAAGGCTTAAGATTTGGGAATCCTTAAATTCATAATTCCTTTAAGAATGCTTCAAATAACGAAATTGCCCGTAAATACATATTTTTAAAAATGATCAGATTTTATACTGCATAAAAATCTCATTTCATGTATTAAATCAATACTTGTCTCTTAACAAAAATTCAAAGATCCCTCCTCAATATGAAACATACGGTCCACCAATTGTGTGTCACCAGTACAGTTTGATCATCACACAATATATGTTGCAGCTGTTAATGTATGTGTAATATATGTCAAGCATGACTAGAACGTTGGTCATGTGAAACCAAAATACAAAATTGAGCTTTATTTAGTATATATTTTGAAGAGGTCTTGAGCATAACAACTTCATTTAAAGATTCATTCACAGGAAACACGTTTACAGATTAAATAAAGTGACTGTAGTTCACACAAGCTTGTACTGATCTGTTAACATTTTAAACAAATGGAATGTATAATCAAGAAAAACACAACAACAAGAAACATTACCAATAGGTAATACCACAGCTTAAACTTTGGATAGCATTTACAGATTTAGACGAAGATCACTGACTGAGACTGTTTCTCCAAAGAACTTTAACACTGATAGCTACAGTTATCCAAGTACAATTCTGTCATTGATGAACAGTTTACTTTCGTTCAACTACACCGAATGTAAAAAACTATCAAGGATCATGAACATCTTTGCAATATTTTTCATCAAAGTTTCCACTGCAAAAAAATATTTAAAAAATATTCATGATCTTTAATTATGTTTAAGAGTGCACAGTTTTATCAGTATATTGGTTCATTGAGGTTCATTCTTTCTACGATATGTATCACAATATTAACCTTGAATGCTCAGTATGTTGTGTGATTTCAAAATTTATCATTGGATGTAACACACACTCTGTTTCCATACCTCCAAAATGCAAGTCCATGGAGATACAAAGTGAATCTCAGTTACCTCCCTTATGTGCATGTGCATTCCTACACTTCCTTCAACAACATACAGCTCTCAAAGATGGCAGCATGGTCAGTCGTTATCACCAGCATCTTCTTTTATCCTGATTATGAACTTCAATTCATGCAGTGATGGCTTTTGATTGCTTGTATATTAAAAATTTGGAATCATAAATTATATTGTGATGTGATATATATCGCAATCTATTGTGATCCGCTTTGAACCTCAAATACCCATCCCTACTTCTTTTTGTTCAGAATATTGTACAAATCACCTGTTGTCATGATGATTGTCCTAAGTTTTCTAAGTTAACGAGAAAATTACAAATGATTTACCAATATTCCCTCAGACATATGTAAAAAGGCACAGACATAGCTAATAATCTTTCCTTGGCAATCTCTTCTGTTGAAAGCTAGTTCCAACACTTTGCATGAGTTTACTGTCATTCCCTTTGTAAACAAGAGCATATCACTTCAAATGTCATCACATATATCCACAAAAAGACACACTGTGAATAAAGGTTCACATACAACTCTAACAACATTCATCACTAAAGCTGCAATGTGTATATATACATAAACAGCACATGAATCAGCTTTCTCTATGAAGTAGAATATCACACTTCATATCAAAGAACATTTCCACACTAAATATAACTTACTAAAGGAAGACAACTACAGCATATATAATGAATATAGAAACTGTCATTGTAAACATTATGGGTTAAATGTAAATTTTCTAGCTGGTTTAATTGCTCAGATAAACATACTGCAACCCTAACTGGCTCTTCAGTCTTGTTAAGAATAATGAATCAAATGTATTGTATTTAAACTATGCATGAGAAAACAAAAAGTTAACAGAAAGTAAGGTGAGGTGAGGTGAAATTGGGTTTAACATCGTGCTTGAGAATATTTCGCTCATATGACGACGTGCATGTGTGTGTATGTGTACGTGCGGCTGCTTGTACTAGCCCACACTGAAGCTGGTTTTATAGTGCTAGCCCACTGAGATACCATGCCGCAGTGAAGCATGAATCCCCCACTCAGACACATTATACTGACTCCGAGCCGACCAGTCCTTGTTTTACCCATTAATGCCGAACGCCAGGCAGGGACCAACAAGTACCATATTTTAACGTCTTTTGGTATGATGCAGTCAGGGATCGAACCGGCGACCTTCCGCTCTCCGGGCGGACGCTCCAACCACTACACCACAGAGGCGGTCTAACAGAAAGTAAACGTTAAAAACAGTTCAGTATGAGTAATTATGATAAAATATAGTAAATTGCTTATAACGCCACCGCCTGAGTTATAAGGCCACCCTTTTAAAATGACTTGGATTACAGAGTCAGAGGCGGGAAAAAAATCGTCAATTTCCAATTTTATTTTTTTCTAATTTCCAGAAATTTAGGGTCGGCAGGTCTGTAATCCAAGTTATTGAAAAAGGGTGGCCTAACGCTAATCCCTGTTACAGTCAAAAATATTCTTACTAGAACATCATTTATAGCTTTTTAATACCACAATTTACAATCATCATTATATATTTATATTGGCAACTACATAAATCATTCTGAATTATTTTCTCAACTGGGATCCTTCATCATTCAAGTTCAACAATGGTCTTGTGCATCATGAATTCTATATATTACAAACCCTGATAAGGTCCCTTGAAGTTTGTTATATTCTGAATTGATGGCATGTTCAATGATAAAATATTGATTATGATATATCTTATAGGATCATTATACAAAATTTGTAAATTCTGAGGGAGAACATGTTTTTCTAAGAAACTTGCACTAGCCAAATACATAAAATGACACAACTACAACTCATAATGATACTTTTAATAATGGGTAGATTGACTGGGGCAAGTGAACTGAGCATGTGAGTAAAATGTTTTGTGTCAACAAGAAGATAAAGAACTGGAACAAGGCAAGACACTATCTCTAGTGTTTGAAATAAGGTCAAAGTGATCTTATTTGATATTTGAATCCAGGGATTTAAATATTTCCTGTCTTCAAAATTGAAGATTAAGGTAAAATAGAGTTTGGCTAATACCTGAGAGAAATACTGATTAAAGTTGTTTCAGGAACTCTTGACACATCTTCAAAGGGTTTTCAAGCTCAAAACAATCCATTACAAAGACATTTATGGCAAGATCTAATCCCCAAGTTCTCAAACATCTATCGTCCGTTTAACATCAGGGTTAGGAAAACAACCCCTTGACTGTCATGCTCAATTTTGAACACTGTGTCTCCCTCAGCTGAACTGTTTGTCTAGTGTTAAATATACTGCATGTTTTACAAACATGATCTGCCAAGGTGATCATGAGTTATTGATGTGATATGCCTAGATTACAGTAATATTTTGACTGCTCAGAATTATAATTCAACACTGATAATGTTAATGGTTAGTTATCAATATATATTGGCATAGGAAGTAAGTGGAACCATTCAAGAATTTCAAACTGGTCTGAAATTCATCCACTTTAAAAAAATCAAATATTTTAGCAGTCAACTGAACGTCAGTCAACAGAAGACTGATGACTACCAGCTGTGGAGCGACGCAGGCACTAATTCCTTGTATCAACAGCAACACTGACTTCAAGGGGGAGTGTCTACTTGCTCTCGACACACATGGCAATACAGCCACTGAGAGTCATGCAGCAGCACAAGCTTCCAAACATGATGTAGGTGGCCGTGATCAGCCAGAATGCAAACCAGTACAGCGTGTGATCACAGTAGTTCCCTGACTTAGGGTCAGAGTCAAAGTTCCCGTAGGTTCTGTACACCCACACATTGCCTGCAAAAATAAGGTTCATGTTAACTTTACATATTTCTAATCTATCAATAACATGTTTAGCAAATAAAAAGAGCATAAAATACTGTGATGGATGTATTATTCCAAAAACAAAAGTCAATTGCTTGATAAATTTTGGAATATAGATGATTCAATAAATTAACTGAAACATTCCTTGATAGCAAGAGGCATATAATCATTGTTTGACTGACATCTGCAAAAACTCTGCATGCATTCTAACTCCATTATTTGTTGTCAAGGAAATATGAACAGGGAAACACTTTCACGTTTTTGTGATCCAGACAAACTGAAAAGTGAAACTACTTTCAGCAGCATGTACACATTTATATGGAACATAATGCTTCACTCTGCAATATTCCAGCTACAGTGGAAGCCCTCTAAACCGGCATTGGTTGGGATCGTCAAAAAATGCCGGTATAGAGGGCATGCCGGTTTGGAGAACTTTTCTTAAATTAACTTGTCTCTACCGGGACCAAATTCTAGTGCCTATATTGAGAGCATGCCGGATTAGAGGGCTTCCACTGTATACAATGGAAGTTTGTAAATAATTGAGCCGGACCAGACAATCCAATGACTGACAACATGAGCACTGACATACACGTTGGGATACAATGTCATGCACCAACCATGTAAGCAAACCTGACCACCCAGTCACCTTATATGCCAATCATGGGTTGCTAAAGACCAGTTCTAACCCAGGTCTTCACGGGTTTCATCTAAATGTTGGTATCTCACCTGCAATGAACCAGGCAAACATGAAAGTGTTGAGGATGGCCTCAAAAGGACTTGTTTTCTTCTTTTCCTCTTCTCCTTCCGTCTCCTCTGATTTTTGGCTGCAACATCGCTTTCCTAAACTAATTATACTTTGAAATGACCACACACTGCCAGCAACAGTCAGATATATTGGAATGTAGCGCTCAGCAGGGCAGTTATCCAGGTGGATCGCTCCTGGAAAATATAGAAATTTAGATACACATTAACTTAAAACATGAACTTTGAGATCTGATACCACCCGTCTATTTAAAAAAGACAAATAACCCAGTATTTAAAACATCATCAACATGTAGGCACACAGTATCCAGTTTTCAAAGAAGTGTACTCTATTCATCATGAAGTCCATGTTTGTTGTTGTACAAGTGTTAAAGACTGGACAAACAGTTGACATAGTCAACAGTGAAAGGTAGATAACAGACCTATGGTAAAACATTTAGTAACCTGCCAGGGCTCGATTTAGTGCTTTGTTACTTGCACTCGTACAACCCAATATTACAAAGTGCAAACTAGTTATTAGTCTAAATTTCTAAATTGCACCAGGTGCAAGTCAATTTTTGAGTGGGTAAACTTCTGAATAAAACATTTAAAAAATTCAATAGCATATTTCTTTCATTACATATTCCAATCAAGGCAATGCAACTGGAATTTGGTTGGTGCAATTAGGTTTTTATCTGAAGTTGCACCCAGTGCAAGTATGTTCACATCTCTTAGTTAAATCGAGCCCTGCTTGCATTTATCATCCACATGTAACACTGTGAAGAAATAACATACTTCTATCCACAGATGACCAGATCATATGACCATGATGACAATGGTGATCACATTGGTAAGGCCCACGTTCAATCCCACAGACACAAAACAAACTTTGAGAATAACCTACAGGCTAAATGAGTGAGTGAGTGAGTTTAGTTTTACGCCGCTTTTAGCAATATTCCAGCCATATCATGGCGGGGGACACCAGAAATGGGTTTCACATATTGTACCCATGTGGGGTACAAGCTAAATGAAATTATCAAATTTCTTGAGTGAATTATCATGGGTTTAAGCTTTGGCAACAGTTTTCTACATTAGTTGACAATGTCATTGTGATTCCATGTTGTGAGTTAACCTAATCATATTTTTCTGATAAAATGTAAGACAAATTGTTCATAAACAGCCCCCTTCATAAACAATGGAACCAGTGGGTGAACTATACAATCAGCAATGAGATAAAATTATCAGCCTTAGTCTGAAAACCTGAAAATATTTTCATACATGAACATCACATCCCCTATCGTTTGCCCATGTGGATCACACTCCATCTTAACTTACCCATAACAATCATAGCAACAGGAATAGCCATGAAAAGCCCTATCAGAATAGTGCACCCAACTGAAAAAAGAAACACAATGGAAGTTAATACACATGATACATGAGGTGTAAGCTGTAAATATAATTCAACTACACTTATCATCTCAGCTTAATGTAAATTCATGTAGTAAAGAGTTGCGAACAGTTTGGAACTTAGAACAGTTTGTTGCTCAAGGCAGCATGGAGCTACATATGGTAACAAACTGTAAGCATGGGAAGGGAGCGATATTAGGCCGGAAAAAGTCTTGGTTCTCAGGCATTGCCACATCATCAAAGTCAGCCACAGGATTCGTTTTGATTTCCACTTTTGATTTGATAAATATTGGACTTTTCGTACACACCACCCTGGCATTGAAATACTACAATACTTTGAAGCCAAAACATCTTGCAGTTACTTCCCTTTGTATGCACACTACTTACTTCTCGATCTGTTTGACTGGCATTGTAGAAGTTGGTGAGTAATAAGAGAGTAAGATACTTTATGGATGACAACTTCTTTATTATGTTATGATGCAATGTTTCGGCATAGATTCCTATACTGTTGTCAAGGAAGAGAGCACATCTCTCATTGTGGTCATGGCAGCAGAGGGAGCTTTTTTTCTCTAGTCATGTTGGCCCGCTAGCCCGTGGCTAGTAAAATTTCAGTTGGGCCAGTAAATCTCCACAGTCACTGACCCGACTGGCTAGTGAATTTTCGAGGGGTCATTTTGTAAATACATGTATATCACTCTCTCCGACTTGTTAAGTTATAATACACTTTAAATCATGCAGGATTATGGCCTGATAAAAATGTTCATCATATGAGCAGCTTAATGATGAAACCCGTGTCTACATTCAAATTTCGGGCCAGTGAATAATTTTGTAGGCTAGTAACTTTCAGGCATAACTAGCCCTTTTGAGCAATGTCTCACATCACTAAACATTGTCAAAGGTTTATGACTCATGAGCCACTATCCAGTTCATTTATTTTTACATGAATATCCACTGAGGGTATGTGTTCATGGTGTACTGAAAACAATGCCAAGTTGGGTGGAGTTGGGGTTACTTCAAGAACTGGACTGATCCATGGCCATATGACTTACTTGTCCCTGCAAGGAGAAGGATGAATCTCTTGAGGAAGTCGGGAACTCCGGTCGACTTCGTCTTGGCAGCCTTCACTCTCCCATACAAGGACTCGTAGGTTGGTGGGGGCTCTGTAAGACAGAACATGAACACAATGAAATATACCATCTCTGTATTTATTAGTGTATATGTATTTGAAAGTCAAACACTCCTTGTCAAGACTCTATTGTAAACAGTAAAAACTTCAGGAGTCCCTATATTCTATATTTACGCAGAAAAAAGGATGGGACCCCATTGAATTATTACCACTGAAGCTGTACAGAAAAGTGGGTTATATTTTGTGTCATCGATCTTATCATTCCATTTCCTTGCCCCCTCAATTCTGCAAGTACAATCTTCTCTAGAAAAATATCCAATTTGAGTGGGTTAGATTGTTGAATTTGTAGGCTGGCGATTAGGAGCCTCACTCTGAATGTGTGGGTTTGATTCTCAGATGGGACTCAACCCCCAGTAAAATTTGTACTTTAGTGAGAAAGTGACATAACATCTTACATTTGACCATTTTCTAAAAGGCATTTTGCAGACATATCTTCAGTGTATAAAATAGTTTTGAAATGTGGTCTGTCCAAGGACTGGCTGTCTAAAAATGTGACCAGTCCTGAACAAACACAGCCAGTCCCAAAAACTAAAACAATGAAAAAATAATAGATAAGATGAAGTTCAAATCAAGTTAAGTTTGTTTTTTTTCCAAATATTTCCCCCGACCAAAGGACGGCCTTACTTATTTAATAGGCCGTCCTTCACAAAAATAGACCGTCAAGGACAGTGGGACGGGCTCTGTTTTATACAGTGATAGCTTTCATCCATTGGAGATCGGCCAATTTACCCCTGTCAGAGAGGTATTCAAAGTAGGGAACCTAGAGTACCAGTTATCAGATTCAATCGTCATGGTGACTGTGTGGTTGTATGGTTTAGATAACTGACTTTGTGTACTAGCGATTACATGACTCACACAGAGAGTGTGGGATTGAATCACCCACCTCCCAATCCCATCCCTCCCACTATCCTCACAAAGCACTAGACTGACTGACTGAGTTTGGTTTTACGCCGCTTTTAGCAATATTCCAGCAATATCAGGGGACACCAGAAATGGGCTTCACACATTGTACCCTTGTGGGGATTCGAACCCGGGTCTTCGGCCTGACGAGCCAGCGCTTTAAGCACTAGGCTACCCCACCGCCCCACAAAGCACTAGAACTGTACTTTACTGAGAAAGTGTAATCCCAAATATAACATATGTTGCTCTGAATAGACGACTAGAAAACTAACCAGATGCATGATTCTGGTGTCCTCAGATCTATATGCATGGAGGTATAATATCACAGATCTGATCTGATTCTATTATTCATTATATTCCCTTCAAGGATATATTACATTCATCCAGTTACCAGGTAAAATGAATGGATATTGGACTATCACCATCCATCCATGTGGTTGTCACCGGGTATGGTTTTGTGTTCACAGTGCAACCTGTACAAATGTCCTGCAACCACATATATTAGGCAGATCTATAGCCCAAATGACACATATAAAACATAAAGCCAAGAATCTACTTGACTAAAAGTCAAAATCCTGAAATATACAAATATACATCACATAAATATGAATTTGACCACAGAGATACATCATTATTAATATGATAATGTATTCTTCTCCCAATCCAGTTTCTACTGGCTTTTGTCTTATGAATATAATATTGGTATCATCATGACCAGTAAGTAAATCTCATCTAACAAGTACTACCCCTTCTGTTGCCCTTGCCTACGAAGTCTGTCAATAAGTTCAATTGCTTTCCTATCACTGTTGTCTTGTCACAAATATTTCATTGTATTGTTGTACTGTATCCTTTGTTCTATACAAATCACTTTCATCATCACAATTATTGTTCAAATATCTAATCTCTATTAAGTCAGGGCACTAAGATGCTTATTGTATACAGAAAACAAACCATCATTAACCAATTCATTTTTAGTTAACTATGTGTAATTATCCAATGTAGCTATCTCAACTTGCATACTTACATTTCTTCACAGATCTTTAATTACTGATCGATTGCACACATGCAGTCTTGTCACTAGCTTGGAATAATCCATCAACAATATCTACATTTATTGATCATTATTGATAATTATATTGACTATTGATGAAGTCAGGTACTGTAAACATACTTTTTTACGCTTGGTTCAAATTTCGCGGAATTGACAGTTTAGACTACATTGTGCGGTCAATTATTCGTGCAATCAGTAATTGCCGGAACTGCCAGCTGTCTCTTAGGCCTTAGAAAGCACCTACCCCCCATACACCTGGACTTCCAGATCCAAATGATTGCAAAGATGAGACTGAGGCCGAAGTCGTAATCTCGTAATTTCAAACAAGCCAGGTTGTTGTGAATGTGATGATTGATGTGTTAATTGACTATCAAGGAATCGTCATATGAGCGAAATATTCTCAAGCACGACGTAAAACCCAATTTCACCTCACCTCACTATCAAGGAAATGAACTTCTACCCTATATGAAGCTTTTCGTGATTTCATTTCGTGATATGCAGGAATAAATATTAATGAAATCTTAATGAATAAATAAAACACCCTTATTTTACCCCATTCCATGTGCGTACAACTTACCACGTTTCATGAGGGTCCGTATAACGTTAGTGTTGATCATATATATTTTACATTTATAGAGCAAAAACTGTAATTAAAATTACACAATGCTAGTGCATATTTCGTTGGGTTAAATAATAGTATTCTATAAATATTTTACTGATGACTGCATCAGAATTCTTCCCGTTATATTATTGTGCATGTTTGAACTTGATCACCGGGATACGTGTTCACAGCTGATTGCTATTTCAGGCTCAAATACACACGGTAATCTTAATCCCTGTAAATAATACAATGAATGAATGAAAGGTTTATTTGCTGTGTACAAATTTTCGCGGTAAAATATTTTGCGCGAAAATAAAACCTGCGCGATATATAATACGTTTACAGTATGTGGGTTTTTCTGCACAATGCAGTAAATGTTGCTCCAGCACATGTACAATTATCTTGCCTCACACATAAATGTTGTTTTCTGACTGGCTGAGCGCTCTTCTATTATTTTCAATGTACCCCGCTTACAAGCGAGTAACATTTCTATGTACCCCGCTGGGAATGCCGAACTCATTTAGTACTTTGTAGTAGTAATTCTTTATCTCGAATAACATTGAATCATGTATGATGTACGGAAATTACCAATGTTTTGCGAATGCAAATCGATGGAAGGGAGAGAACTCTAAATTTGTTTTTCTTGTCGTCTGGTACTCCATACTATGATCCGATACCCGTGATTCAAACAGTTCAAAATTACAACTGAGTTGTTCGGTAAGATAAATACGTTGTTCACTGGTCCCTCGGGGCCTATGGATTGATGTACCTCGATGTTTCTTTATGTTCCCTATGTGGAATGCTGGCGTGTCACTGAGTGCTATTGCAAGAGATGTTAATTGTCATTCCTCAACTATCAGCCGATTGACAAGAAAACATCAGCAAACAAATGACATTAAGGACTGTCTGTGTTCAGATCGACCTCAAGTGATAACTCCTAGGAAGGATACAGTCCTCAAAGTCATAAAACTTATCCGTTCATGTCAAGTGGCGTATTAATAACAGCATTGCTTTTACATCAATGATTGTCCAACAGAACACTACTTTATAGGACACAGAATGCCTAAAATCGTGGTATTAGACTACCTATCAAATGATTGTCCCCGGGCACAAAGCAGCACATTTCTTGTAAACTGGACGTCACTGCAAATTTGACATCATGGAGATGGGGTCATTGGTTGTCCAACAGAACATTACTTTATAGGACACAGAATACCAAAAAGAGATATTCCAGTAAAAAATCTTGATGTATTGAAACAAGTCCTCCATCAAAAATGGAACACAGTACCTGAATATCAAATGTAACATCTGATACAGTCAATGAAGAGGCAAAATATGTTACTGTAGGTGGCAATGGTTACACTGTGCTCTGTTATTGATACTTATGTGATTTCTTGATTAATTAATTTAGCCATGTTTGCTTATCTGAATAAACTACAGTTTTTCATTCATTCTTCATTTAGATTTACCAATTAATTATTCCTAATCCTTGAGGGTAAATTTATCTAGATAGTAAGTTAAATAGAGGTTTGGAGAAGTTCCTTTCCTATTGTTAATGGTAACATATTGATGCTATAAAAAATATGTGATGTTGATATAGCTTTTTCCATTTGTATAGGAAGGATGCAGAAAAGAAACATGTTCCATCACAAAGGGAGCAAAATATTATTCAAATTATAGTACCAAATTCTTTGAAAACATATTAAGGTCCTTTAATGTAATACCTTAAATATCAACTCTTCCAACCCATTTAAGTCCTCAACCCCATTTTGATACTTCAGAGGGCTGTATTATTTCCTGTATAGACCCTTGAACTATGTTACTGCCAGGGGGTCCCCTGGACTCCTAGTTTCTGTGTCAAGGTAAAACCTTGACATATATCGGTTGTTTTCAAAAAATGTCAAAATTTCAAGGCATCAAAACAGGAAATCCTTTTTTGTCAGAATGATTATTTTATTGCTTTCAATACAGTAGATATATACTCTATAGTGCAAAACAGAAATATGCAAGCTTAATGACATCAGCAAATACCAAAAAATTAAACATTTATGTACTTATGGACCAAGATAGTTCCTTCCTGTTACCAATAATATCATCTGAAGAAAAAAACTCAATTTATATATTTTTAAATTTATTTCACTCTCATTGTGTTATTCAGCACTATAGTACTGTCGGAAATAGAAAAAAAAATTTTTCACATTTATATCTACAATTTAGGTAGTTAATATGTGAAAGTGTGAAATATCTGTTAAACTAAGTTCGGCCTAACTACAGTCTCAGTGGGAGGGAGACAGGAAAAAGAAGGATTTTACTGAGGAGAGATTAGTGCAGAAATGAGCAATGCAGTTTTTTTCAAAGTCTGAAGCGACTTATTTGGAGCAGACCATGGCTTTATGTAAATTAGTGTGCGATGATATTGTATAACAAATGACACTTTTTGAATATCCATTATGAAATTAGACTTAGTTTTATTATAAACTATAGCAGATGTAAAAAATAACAACTTTAAGACTGAAACTATTAAGGAGATAGATACCATTGAGTCTCACTATCACTATAAAAAGAAACAGGTAGGAGGGGTCGTCTCAAAAGCTACACCGAGACGGGTGTTGCTGACAGTAGTTGGGGTCAGGCTTGGGGATAGAGATATTAGCTACGATTAGATAATCAATAGAGACATATTCAACACACATGAAAAAACATAAAATATATCTGAGATGACCCCTTGTGTCTGTGGGCAGCATGTGCATTTCATGTCAAGTGTGTCGACGGTCCGTCGACATACCTGGCTGAGCGACCTAATTGCCATCTATAGTCTGATCTATTGTTTTCAGCACCTATTCGTATTTTTTCTAAGTTTCGCCCGATTTTACGAGTAAACATGCTTTTCTGGATATCCTATTATGCATCCCCCTGAACGCCCAGTTCGGCCAATATGGGTTATTTCGACATATGCTATTTGCAATTGTGTCAATTTTAGGGATACAGAGTAACAGCCTAAAAACAGTTTTTTTCTATTTCCGACAGTACTATAGTTCTTTTCGTTTAGCAAACAAATATTTTGCATCAAGGACTTTAAATATTATTTTGTGTTGATCAATACCTACTCAGTTTATCAGTCTCTATTTGTATTACTTTTGATTTTACTTACTTTTTCTGAAGAAAACAAACTTTGGATAAAATTATCCTTAACATGTTCAGTGCTTCTTGGTGAATGACGTTAATGAAACACAATATTGATTTTACCAGTTGTTAATTTACTTTACACTACTTAATGAACTGTAACAGGATGGAATGAAAGGTAACAGGAAGGATCGAAAAAGTAACAGTATAGAATAATCTTATAATTTGATTTTTGACGACCAAAAAATCCCAGTGAAATTGATATAAAAATGACAAACTCTAAGAGAGACTTAAGCCAGAAAAGCAATAAGAATAAATATTTACTTTTTCAGACACTTTACAGCGTGAAACTCAAACAAGAACTTACACAGTAGTAACAGGAAGGAGAATGTAGTAACAGGATGGAAACTCCAACTTGAACGAAACGAACTGATAATATTGTATTGAACTCTTTTAATTCCAGCCTACTTTCAGAAATGGAATGCTTCCTTATTCACTCAACAAATGGGCTTGACGATTTAATTCAAACTACTGACTGACTGACTGACTGACTGACTGACTGACTGAGTTTAGTTTTACGCCGCTTTTAGCAATATTCCAGCAATATCACGGCGGGGGACACCAGAAATGGGCTTAACACATTGTGCCCATGTGGGGAATCGAACCAGATCCTCGGCGTGGCGAGCCAACGCTTTAACCACTAGGCTACCCCAACGCCCCTAATTCAAACTAGAAAACACCAATGTGTTAACAACTTTCAAGTATTATGCTTTACATGTATATCTATCAGCACACACCAAATCATTGTTGTGTTGTCGAATTGAGCTTGAACATGATTATGCTAACAGCAAACTGTAATTCTAACAATGAGCACAAACTGTAATTCTAAGAACAATGAACAAAGTTACATCAATGTCAGTTCAGACATTATTACTTTGTCACTAAGCATTGAATTAAGAGTTTTTGCCAAAGATTGCTTTCAACAGCGAATGAGTGTTGGATCCATGAATAAGTTCAGGCTTGGGAATTACTGCAATGATACTATCATATTCATACCAGCACTCGTCTTTCAGTACTCTTGACCAGTAAAAGTCATTGTCTTTTCTGCCTAAATGATACATACACTCACAGTAAACGGCACTTTCATTGATATCAGTCACATATCCAGGATATGGACGACCATCGTATTCCACTACAACATATTGGTTGAGTAGAATGCTTAGGTCTGTTATGCCATCATTCTCAGACAACACACCATACAAACACTGTCCATAATCTCCCATTCTACCATCATTCCGTCCACAACCATCACCATCATCTGCATATTGCCAGACATCTGCTTTCTGTCCATCAGTCATATCTGCTTTCTGTCCACCATCCGTATCTGCTTTCGCCCCATCATTCTCATCTGCTTTCTGTCCATCCTCCTCCTCTGCTTCCTGTCCACCATCATCTGCTTCCTGTCCACCATCATCTGCCTTCTGTCCACCATCATCTGCTTCCTGTCCACCATCATCTGCTTCCTGTCCACCATCATCTGCTTCCTGTCCACCATCATCTGCTTCCTGTCCACCATCATCTGCTTTCTGTCCACCATCATCTGCTTCCTGTCCACCATCATCTGCTTTCTGTCCATCATCATCTGCTTCCTGTCCACCATCATCTGCCTCCTGTCCACCATCATCTGCTTCCTGTCCACCATCATCTGCTTCTGTCCATCATCATCTGCTTCCTGTCCACCATCATCTGCTTCCTGTCCACCATCATCTGCTTTCTGACCACCATCATCTGCTTCCTGTCCACCATCATCTGCCTCCTGTCCACCATCATCTGCCTCCTGTCCACCATCATCTGCCTCCTGTCCACCATCATCTGCTTTCTGTCCATCACCGCCACCTGCTTTCTGTCCATCATCCTCAAGATCATCATTATGTCTTTCCAGGCCAATGGGAAGCACAGGAACAAAGTGGTTTGGTATCCAATTTATTGGTCTCATGTCTGTTCTGGTCGTAGTCCACATGATATATCCAGGTTCAATGGACTGTCCATGCTGAACTCTCGGGACCATAAGTCTGTGCATATGTCTCCTCACAAGACTATTTCCAAAGGCTGGATACACAGAGAATACAGGCATTTTGAGAACAGTTGCAAGGGCAAATACCTGCCAAATGCCCATGAAACTCTTTCTTTTCCTGATTTTAAGGACTTCATGCTCAAAGATTTTCCTTATAATGTTATCCGTCAGCATTACACCTGGAAGAAATTCGTCTGAATACATTGCAAAAGCATTTTTCAGCTTTCTTTGATTCGCATCTGACAATGCCATTATTTCTGTCATAAAGATGCATGCAATGATTAATATCAGATTTTCGTCAATGCAGTGAAATGAAATTAGACGTCCATAATATGCTCAAAAACAGTGAAATTCCTCAAACTACTTCTAAGTGTATGTGTGATTCTATCCTGTTGTCTGTTGTTTCTTTCCTGTTACTATTTTAGGAATAAAAGCAAAATATCAATTTTTACTGGTCCTGATATTTAATTTTTCAAGAAGTAAGCTTTATAAATCCCTTTTCATCAAACTTTTACTTTATGGTGTTCTTCAAAACTGTTATAGAGAAACAAAGCTGACAACTAATTCTATCCTGTTACCTGCTGTTTCTTTCCTGTTACCATTTTGGGAATTAAAGGGAAATACTATAACTTATTGGCTCTAAAACTTCAATGTTCTATAAACAACCTTTATAAATCCCTTTTATTCAAATTTGTAATTTTGGTTATTCTACAAAGCTGTTTTAATGAAAAATGTTTACTGCTAATTATATCCTGTTACCTGATTTTCTTTCCTGTTGCCAAATGGGTTCTTTCCTGTTACCAAATATTCAGTAACAGGATAGAAAGTAACAGGACAGAAAATCCACCCTTATACCAATCATTAGTGAATGATAGCTGAACAACTAAGTAAACTTTTGATGGGAAACTAATCTTACACACACCACACATATAATGAGGCTAATATAAAAAATCAACAGGCGGTAGAAATCTTAAGAACATCAGTAACAGGATAGAATCACATAAAAAGTACTACTCACCTATTCGACCTTTGATTGATTTGATTTAAAATATTTTCAATGCCATCTGATTTCACTCTTGACCATGCTGGATTTGAAGGAAATGACCTTATTATGACCCAGCCATTTTATGATTCAGAGGGAGGCATCATTGTTTAAAATGGAATTAACCTCATGGTAACAGGAAAGAACATACTTTTAGGGACAAGCACTTATCTCTTTTTTTTTCACCTTTAAAAGTAAAGTTACCTGATAACAACTATAGATTCTCAAACAGAACACCAAAACTAAATTATAATGACTTGAAAAAAACTGATTTCTGTGAAATTTATATAACATTATCTGTTTCAAAAGTTTATTTTTAAATTTGGGACATTGAGTTTTGGCAGTACCTCGAATAGAAATGCAAAACTTATTCATAACAAAACAATTACAAACAGATAAAAACAACTTTTATCAAGTATCTAGTACATTCTCAGCAAGATAATGTCCACCTTTGAAAATTTCTCCAAATATGACTGTTTTTAATCCTGGGACACAAATTTTGACATTTTTTGAAAATGACTCATACAACACCTTTGACAAGATACAGCTTAGAACTCATCTGACACAGCTTGTAGAAGAAAATATCTGATCACCGGCTAAAAAAATACTGAACAGACTTTATCCAGGGGAATGAAAATATATTGAATGGCAAAGACAAAATATCAATGACGATTTTGGTGAGCATTATTGTATCACTAAATGGCTCAAAAATATATCTTGAGCCCGACTAAGCAAATGCTACTCTCAGGAAATATATCACCTGATGAAGGAGAAACAACGAAATGTGTGTGCAAATCCACTATACAGAAGCTGACATCCATGAAACTTTGTGATAATGCAACCACTGAAAAACAGTTTTGCCAATAAGGATTATGATTCTTGACCTAATAGATATATATACTATAACAAATCCCTCTATTATAGTATCCTGAATCCTATCTCTTTTAATAGTGAGTGAGTGAGTGAGTTGAATTCAACCTGTAAATAATCAAGTCTGGACCAGACAATCAAGTGATCAACAGCATAAGCATCGATCTAAGCAATTGGGAACCGATGACATGTGTCAACCAAGTCAGCGAGCCTGACCCGCCGATCCCGTTAGTTGCCTCTTACGACAAGCATGGGTTACTGAAGATCAATATTCTAACCCGGACCTTCACGTGTATATCCTTTAATAGACAGAGCACAGTGTGAAATATTGTATCACTTACTCCAGCTTTCTATCGTAATCAAATTTTGAAACAGACAAATTACAATACTCATCCTTGTTACTAACCATATGATACTATGAGATGATGATGATCATGTTTACTATCATGACAACGAAAATCAACTAACGAAAAGCTCACATAACTTAGTAAGAAATCTGATTATTTTATGCAAAAATCTGATGTCAGATATCATTCAGCTTCAAGTAACAGATGGGCACATAGTCTCAAGGCAGCTATTACACCAGCATCTGTAGCTGAGGACAACAGGTGTTCACAGACAGGACTGAATATATATCTCTTCCATCTGAATCAGCTCACTTTTACATAATCAATAACATTCATGATAACCACAACAGCAAAGGCCCAGTAACTAGCTGCATGAATAACAACGATAACTTCTATTCATGCTCACTGCAGTATATGACTCTTGATCAATATCTATCTGGATGAATAGTGTCTGTGCAACCTGCTGTTCAAGCTGCACTCGATACACATATACCATCAAAATAAAAAACAATAGGACGATGCTGACATCCTTATCTTGAACCGCTTTACTAGTCAAATGTATAAAAATCTGTCCACTTAATCTTGAAACTGAGCTAAAATTACATAACATTATCTCAACTTGACTTAGTTATGGAATTTGGTACCTTTATCTCTAAGTTTGTGTCTTGAGAAGGACAAGTTTATATATACATTCAGCAGCTTTCCCCACACATAAAACACTGGTGTGAAAGATTTTCGTTTTGGTTTGGTTGTTGTTTAACGCTGCACTCAGCAATATTCCCACTATATGGCGGTGGTCTGTAAATAATTGAGTCTGGACCAGACAATCCAGTGACCAACAGCATGAGCATCGATCTACACAATTGAGATACGATGACCTATGTCAACCAGGTCACAGACCTGTCTGACAAATCTCAACAAACCCACGGCCCCAGTCACAATGACTTTGACTGAAGTTGTTACATGTGACATGTGACACTTGATCAGTCATTTTTCTTATGTTTGTTAATAATTTCAATGCAAATTATACAAATGTTAAATCTGAAATGGGTTGATGAAGACCCATTATAACCCCAATGTCCTGTTATCCACTGTGCTCACAGCGACAAGCATGGGTTGATGAAGACCAATTATAACCCGGATCCTGACGGGTCGGTGTGAAAAAAGAATGCCACTTTGTTAATAATATAGTACTTATCTTTTCATCTTATTGTAATGGTAAGTTTTAGCGAAAAAAAAGGATCTGAAAATCTGATAGCTAAATTTTTTTATATTGTGGCCTACATTATCGTAGGCTAGATGAAATGATCTAAATGGACATGCTTAGACAGACATAAAAAAAATTCAACAAAATTGTTAAAAGCACTGAAACTGCTTATTTCTCAGTCTGCAACCAGAGCCACTTGTCAGAAGAGCGTCATGAAGCCACTGCCAAGAGACAGTCCAGTTAGGGCGGCTAATAGACTCAATTTATTTCTGCACAGACTGATCACATTTTGTATATTTGACATTATCACAATTACCCGAAGGGCCAATACAGACATGATCATGATATTCCATACATATAATGAAAATGCTGAGGATCACGGCACTCCAAACATGGCTATTATGGCTAACTGTTCCAGCCATTTAGCAGGTTTTACATGCTTAAAATAATTTCATATGCTGCTTAATCCTAAAAAGATCTTAAAAATCCACCTTTTCTTCACTGACAACAATAGGAAATGTCTTCAGTACAGATACATATATCCATGTATGAACCGCACATATTAAAACAATTATACAATATGTCACATAAAGCCCATTTCTGGTATCTCCAGTATGATATTGCTGGAATATTGCTAAAAGGGGCATAAAACTAAACTCACTCACTCATAACGTTATGCCCAGTTAAGGACACAACAATGGTCCACCGGTCCACAAGTATTGTACCTTTCCATTTGGTCGAATAACATTATGCCGATCTGGATGTTAAGTTAAGTAATCAAGTAATCACAAAGTAATCACAAAGCTTTTCAAATAGATACTGAACTCTAAATATACCCAGCAACCTAATGAACTCTGCCTGGTACAATGCATATGGCTACCTCCTTGACTGGTTCTTCTTTCCTTATTATGCACACATGTTTGTACAAACATGATACAATATCTGATTTCAACCCTGTTTTGGTTATCATAACTGTTTCTAGTATAGATGTGTTGGTACTTTTATCACACTGACTTTTTTGGTCAGTATCAAACACTGTAAAAAAACCAAAGACTTGTCTGCATGAATTCTCAATAGAATCCTGAGTAGTTGTGACAGTGAGCAGTAGAAAACAAGTACCTTTCATGTTTAGAGAGTGAGTTTAGTCTTACGCTGCATTCAGCAATATTCCAGAGTCTGGGCCAGACAATCCAGGGATCAACAGCATGAGCATTGATCTACACAATTGGGATGCTATGACCATGTGTCAACCAAGTCAGTGAGCCTGATGACCCGATCCCATCAGCCTCTCTTACGACAAGCATGGGTTACTAAAGATCAATTCTAACCCAGATCTTCATGTGTTTAAGTTTAGGGAATTAACAATCACCTTGGACACATACCTTAGTTCATAACATGCATTTGTTCCTTGTGTAAAAAATCCCAGAATACTTCAAATTAAGTGAGTTAAAATTCATGGTCACATTGGCAGTATTCCCGTCATACTGTCATGAAAATACGTTATTCATGGACTTTTACTCAGAACGCCAGACAGTGTTCACGAATTGTGTCTCAAAGTAACAGGACATTGGGTCCTGTAAGTTTCAGATGTCTGTCTGACCCATTAAAACTTCACAGGACCCATAGAATGAAATTAAACACACATTTCAGATTTAACATTTCTTATAATTGGCATTGAAACTATAAACAAACATAAGATTTATAAACAGCAAACAAGTGACACATGTCACATAAAACAAATTCAGTCAAAGTCATTGTGAAATATACGGTCAGACATTGGGGCTGGTGGGCTGTAGACTTCTGTCTGACCGTTGGCGAATCTGCCAGATTTGTCAGAGGGTCAGATGCTATTCGTGAACACTGGCGCCAGATAAGGTGTGTATTTGTGGAAATATGCAATATCTATCATCATTACCCAATTAGTTTTGAATTTCTTTGATTGCCCATCGGACAACAATGAATACACAATGACTTGTGGTCAAATGTAAAATATGTTATATTTGGGATTACACTTTCTCAATAAAGTACATATTCTTGTACTTAGGCGGATGAATCCCATCTAGGATTTAAACACACACTCTCAGAGTCAGGCTCCTAATCGCCAACCACACAAAGACAGCTAACAATCTAGCAAACTCAACCATGGCTTCAACAAAATGGAAGTCTCACAACTAGTAGTCTGAACCACATACTTTTTGTACCCCTCTGACAAGTAAAAATAATACCCATTACCTATGCTATGAATACATGCATGTTCAGGTTGGACTAAACCTAAAAAATAACCTGGACTCAACTTGTAAATAATCGAGTCTGGACCAGACAATCCAGTGATCAACAGCATGAGCATTGATCTATGCAATTGGGAACTGATGACATGTGTCAACCAAGTCAGCAAGTCTGACCACCCGATCCTGTGAGTCGCCTCTTACAACAAGCATGGGTTACTGAAGATCAATATTCTAACCCGGATCTTCACAGGACCCAATGACAATGATAACTTGTGAGCTAATAAACAGTGGCTCAAAACATTATCTGGAGCACTGTTTGTATGTAGCAGTAAACTGATATAGTACGAGTAATATTCACATCTTGAAAGTTGCAAAGATAGGACATGCATGATTCATTGTCCTCAAGAGAAAAATGAAGATTGCGTAGGTAGCTTGGTTAGCACTATTTACATACTGGAAAGATAAATGTAGTGTTTATTTGTTCTTTGTTTTATAATTCAATGCATACAGTATCTTCTATAATGCTAACTGTATTACAACATGTACACAAAGGAAGAATTTTCGAAGACCTACTACTGAACATGTCTGAACCTGGTAAATTTGATACAATTTATAAACCCTATAATTATGCCTAAACTTGATAAATTAACAAAATAACAGCTTATTATCTTCCCTTGACTTGAGATGAGACTATCATTACCTGTGGGATCATTGATAGCCTGGCTGTAGGGTGGGGGTGCCGCATTGCCGGATGCAGGGTCCATGCCTGGATACACAGGGGGAGGTCCCTGAAATACAGATGCAAAACTAACTCAAGTCAAAAAAGAAAAAAATAACAATACACAGAGCTAGAGATAACTTTTTTGGTCATTGAGTTATGTACTCACTTGTGACTGTGTTTGTTATTTATATTTGATCTGTAATATGAAAAACAATATGAAAGAGTTAAGCGTTCGCTCGTCATGCCGAAGACATGGGTTCCATTCCCCACATGGGTACAATGTGTGAAGCCCATTTCTGGCATCCCCAACCGTGATATTGCTGGAATATTGCTAAAAGCGGTGTAAAACCAAAATTCACTCACTCATTCATGAGTAATAATTATTCATTTCAGAAAATTTGGGAAAAGGGTACTATTTCAAGCAATGTTGTATCTTCAAAACTAATACACTTTTCAAACTAATAGGGGTGTTAAATTAGTGTGAAAGACTTAACTGACTCATGAAAATAAAGTGCAGGGCAAGTGGGAAAATATCAATTAGTTACCCCCAGACATGCAGGAAAATGAACAGTAATAACACTGAAACTTAGAGGATGTATCAAGTGCCTCTAACATAATCTGAACTTCTGGTCTTATTGAAATGTCTGGACCATAAATGCAAAAAAAAACTTTAAAAAATGAAAACATAAACAATAAAAATTGAACAACAAAAACAATCAAGGACAAAACAAATGAAAAACATATGGATGTGAAAGTTTCAATATTCTTGGTAGTGGGTGTGCTGGTTCAAAAGCGAAAATGCCTTTTCATATTGTCGTTTGTGTAGATCATCCTTTTCTTGGACTTAGCAGGGTAATGTTGAAAATCAAACTGGGCAAGTAAAATTTTGGTATTTGGACCCCCATGCTTATGTCCTCATATTGCAAAATTCAGATGTACTGCACAAATGCATTAGCTGACAAAAATGTACCGCAAAAAAGTCTCTTACTCTTTAAGTTGTAGCAGTTAAGGTAGACTAAGGCTTAGTCTCTGAATATGTATAATATTGATAGTAACAGAACAACCCATTTAAATTGAAAAGGAGCCCCATTGAGATGGAACATTCAGAACCTGAGGAAATCTAGTCAGTTGCAATCAGGTTGTCTGGTATGAGCAATTCTGATTGGTGGTGGGCAGATTGGCTGGCCAATCGTGTCTTGGTTGTTATGTAAGACGCAGGGCAGCTACTGGGTACGCAAGCGTGTAACAGAAATTGTTCAGTGTCTGTATGATCGGCGACCAATCAGAGGTGAGGTGATCCACCATAATATGTCCCGTGATGTAGTGTTGGGAATTGGTTAAATTCTCATAATTGATGATTGGTTCATTAGTACCGATCAATCATCGAAAATAATTGGTTAGCATCATTTATGAAATTTGTTAATTCACATAAAAATAAGGAAAAAACCATGTAGTTCTTTTGGGGTTTTTGGCAAAATTTCATATCTTTAAAGGATGACTAGTATGTTAGGAACATAAATTTCTTGGAATCTTTAAGATAAATTCAATCATGACTTGAAACGAGCTTGTAGTGCTTACAAAATATAACAGACAAAACCAACCATGTGAAAAATATTGTTAATGAAAACAAGTGTTCCAGAACTGTTTGTGTTCGATTATGAGAAATTATGATCGATTGCTTGGTTGTTTAGTCACTATGACCAATCTTCGATTATTTCAATTAATCGGACCACCACTACCGCGATGGGGCAATAAGATGTTCCGTGTCGGAACAGTGAGCCCCTACTCCATTCCCTGTTAGGTTCTAGTTTATTTTCGGCCAATACAGAGAAATTGAGTAGAAAGACTGTATTTTGAGGTAAATTTGTTAGTGGGGACAGCCGGGTGGATTTCAGTGCTAGGACACATGCCAGGTAGTAGGAATCTTGTAGACTAGTGTTAGGTACAGTCGACTGTGGGTAGGATGTAGTGTTATTATAAGTGGGTGGTTTAAGTGAAGTTAAGAGGGTTAGGTTAGGAGAAAGTAGGTTAGTGTATTAGTAAAATGTTTTAAGTGACTGTGTTTGTATATTTTTCTCAGGAATTTGTTAGACTTGGTTTATTGTTTATGTTGTTTCTGTTGAGTTATAATTTGTTAATAAATTATGTCTTTACTTGAGAAATTTGTTGTTTTTTAAATTGCTCCTCTGCATTCATGAACTGGGAACAGGACGGCTTTAGTTCTGGTACACAAAACACAATGCAAAGCATCATGGTCGTATGTTGTAAAGCCGTTCCTGTTACAGCTAATAATCCTGAAAATGACCCATTGTCAAAGTTCTCTATCCCAGTCCCTGAGCACCATGTTCATGTTATGTAGACACTAAGACAGTAAGCTGACAGAGCTTCTGATTGATTCGAATATTTCAAGGGGGTCACAGTAACCCTTAACTATAAAAATGGGTATCAAGTAATAGACAAATAATAGAGTCTGGACCAGACATCAGTAACTGCCACACTAAATGATATTATGAACATTACACATCATTAGGATATGATGATAAGCAAACTGCGAACCTGACTATGTAGTGAGGGAGTGAGTTTAAATGCTGCTTTTATTCCAGCAATATCACAGTGGGGGACACCAGAAATGGGTTTCACACATTGTACCCAGCGTGACGAGCGAACACTTTAACCACTAGGCTACCGATCGCCCCATGCTCATCTTGACTGCAGTGTAAATTCACATACTTGCATTGACATTTCACCATCAGACATTATTTGTACCCATGTGGGAAATCGAACCTGGGTCTTCAGCATTATGAGCAAGAGCCTTAACCACTGGGCAAAACTACGGCCCCCTGAGCATATAGAGTGCTGAAGCACCTTCAACTGTTAACTGTATTTTTTACACATTTTACTGAACCAAATTTGTTAGATTATGTAGATGATCTTCCCATTGTAAATCTAAGCTACTTTTGACCAAGACTGACCACGCTGCCTGACGATAAGCCATCTGTACATAACAAAGTATAATAACCCAAACAACAAGTTCACTGAACCATGCCATCACTAAGCTGAATTGTTTAAGCCTACACATTATTCTTACATGGTTTGGGAAAATCTTGACTATTCATTCCAATCTATCACACACATAATGACGTCATACAGCAACTTGCAGATTAACATGATTACTGACCTACTTTGTTTAACAAGCTATATCAAAGCAGTATGGTATGAACATATTAAATGATATATAGAGAATCTCACCCGAGTGTCTTTTGATATCAAATATATCACCTCGAGTTGATAAAGTAACAAATATCCAAGGCTTGCCGAGGATATTTTTTTTTTATCAACGAGTGTTGATATATTTGATATCAGACTGACTGACTGACTGAGTTTTTTGGTTTTACACCACTTTTAGCAATATTCCAGCAACATCACGGCGGGGGACACCAGAAATGGGCTTTGATATCAGAAGACAAGAGGGTGAGATTCTATTTATCATCATAAATCACTCTTCATTAGTTTTCAATGAAAAATGTACATCTCTTAACACAGTACTGCCATTAGATTTACAGTGCAGCGATGTCATAACATTGTGACGTCAACAAGTTCATGACATCATAGCATTGTCAGGGCATTGTACAGAATCTACTGTCAAAACGATACCTCCTAGGAGATATCGTCTGATCTCACACAAGCGATATCTACTGTGGAACACAGTTTTGGATGATAAAGGCAAATATGTGGTAAAGGCCCATGGTAAAAACCTTTATGTATGAGTATTTAGCAATTCAGCTAGTCCACAGCTCATAGATGACTGGTTATGTAAAACGAGCCCAAATTACTCATACACCCTACTAGTATGACTTGTCCTGTGAACGATGTTTACTAGAGTGTTCATCAGTGTTCACTGGGACCTATTGAGAATGGCCTAAAGTTCCTAGGTCAAGTGGTATTCATCTCAAGTTAGGTAAAATGGTAACATTTGTCTGATTATCTTGTGTAAACTTTCAACTGGGCAATAAAAATGTATTCATGAGTACACAGGGTCAAAGGTTCAGACTGGTTAAGATTGTGAGACATTGGCACCCCGAGTGTCTAGCGTGTTTGTTGTAAAAAATGCCTGAATAGGCTTTTATTTTGTAAAGACAAAGCAGCAGTTTCACACACAAAATAGATATGTAGTGTTGACAACTTCCTGCAGCAAATTGGCGATAGTTTGGTGAGTCATTTCCTTACTCGCAACCTCCTAACAATACTAACACCACAACGAAATAGCCAGATTAGGTTACCCCAAATATTTATACTATATAGAATGAACGGAATGAAAAAAACCACTACCTTACGAAAGATGTCCGTGTTGTCTTAAAACATTAACTCAGCCTTCACGACATGTATTAATACGCATGACAATGAATATGTCATGATTCTAAATGTACTTCCTAATTATTTTAAATCACAAGTAATAATGACACCAATGATAAACGGAAAGTAGACAATATAGGCGAATCATACTGAAACATCAACTCTAAAATGAAGTGTCTCGCTTAATAATGTACACAGAACCATAGCTTGGTTAATGTACACTCGTTACGAACAGACATATCGAACATAATTGCTCGATATTTGATTCATGCAAACAATTTTACCTGCTGATAGCCTTTCTCCATGTCAGCAGACGCCATTTTTGTTTCCGCTGTCAACTCAGTCTTTCCGTAACCCGAATCGTCACCACTCGCCCCTTTCCGTAACCTTGCTATTCGGCTTGTCCCGGAATAACACGAGTTGGTCACGAATGGAATGTCCGTAACCCCTCGGAAAAGTCACGGAAAGGCACGAGTGAACACGAATACCGATTGTCCCAGAGAGAGAGGTTCGCACAGATCTACGATTTAATCTCTCCAGGTTCCTTCTACTTTTCTCTGTGCAAATTTTGCAAATACTTAACGAAGCAAGGGTGTGAATCAATAGTCACGTTTGTGCAGTCACTTTTCTGATGACGTAGAGATACTGACACGAAACTTCAGCAACCATGATTCAGAGACCCATATCATATGATAATAAATAACATCGAGGGCGGTTTCTCTAACATTCTTTAGATGAATAATGACATATAACATTACGAGAGAGCTGCTTCTCTATCATTATATACATATACAATAATATATGACATCATGGTAAAATAATACGACACCAGTCTTCGTATGCTGATGACTATACCCAGTACCGACAGGGGCTTTTATCAACTTACCCATGTCGTAGACCATTCGGTGATCCTTACGAATACAGTTTATGTCCGAAAGCGTGGATTATTTTGACACCTCAAATTATCCCCGAAATATTCACCTCACTCAAACAAACATAAAAAAAATGGTTAGGATTGATGAAAGAGGAATGAGTGAGTGAGTTTAGTTTTACGCCGCTTTTATCAGTATTCCAGCAATATCACGGTGGGTGGGAAGGGTGGGGGGTGGGGCACCAGAAATGGATGTTCACACATGGTACTCGCATGGGGAATCGAACCTGGTTCTCCCGTGTGAAGACCGAACGCTTCAACCACAAGGCTACCCCATCGCCCCTGGTGAAAGAAGAAGGAAGACAAATCCAGATGGGTTTGTACGTTGGCCAGCTAAGAACTAGTATTGCATTTGATTGATTTAAGGGAGAAAACTGCCAATGATGTTCGAAAATGTGTTATGGAGAAGCACTGAAATCATGATATGTATAAAGATTGACTATTTATTAGGAGACAAATGAATGTTTGTGTTGATCTAATGCACACCTGTATGACCTGACAGGGCTGATATCTCATGCTATGTGGGCTAGATCATTTGTGAACTGAGACAAGCCTCAGTACAATATTCTAATTTGCTAATACACATACCTTGTTATTGTTAACCCAATATGTAATGTGGATTATTGATATTGAGGGGCGGTGGGGTAGCCAAGATGTTAAAGCATTTGCTGGTCACACCTAAGACCTCATTTCGATTCCTATTTCTGGTGTCCCCGCCCTGATATCACTGGAATATTGTGTGAAATATGGTACAAAATATGTTTGGTGAAACATTGATCTAAGGGAAATAACTCCATTTTCTTTAGCGGTATGAAAGGTGAGCATGTTGCTTGAAAAGGGAAATAACTCTCGGCTTTGTGAAGGACGTTTGAAGGTTGTAACTGTTTCTGGAATAAAAGGCTCCACTACACACAATTGCGAAAAGCAGCCTAAAACCATACTCATTCACCTTTTAGCTTGATAACAGTGTAAGAATCTACATTGAAACATCCCTCTATGCAATACAAGAAGTTGTCTTCTAAAAAAACATAAAAAATTGTAGGCTTCATTGTTGACTCACCTTCTAGAATGCCAATCAAACAATTAACAAATTTCCGTTGCTTCCTCATGAAATGCCACAGAGACACAGGCTCTCTAATGGAACTGACTTGAGTAGGTCTAGTAGACTTTCACCTGTGTCTTCTGCCTTGTTAGTATTCACAGGGCCAGATTTCCTCTAGTTTGTGAAATCATTGGTGCATTTGTTTCTTTCATCATTATAATATGACATGATTTTCTCATGTTTGTCAACATTACACAAAGTATGATCCTCTTTCATACTAGGAATGAGGTCAGTCTTCTGTATCTGACGCTGGTAGGTCTCCCCTGGTAAAAAAATGTTCTCATAATTCCTGTTTTGATACTGGGATCGAACCTGATCTTCAGCAGTCAAGGCACACACCCTATCCACTGCACCACTAAGGCTGTTCTGAAAGATTTGGTTTGTTGTTTAACACCACACTCAGCAATATTCCAGCTATATGGCGGCGATCTGTAAATATTTGAGTCTGGACCTGACAATCCAGTGATCGACAGTGTGAGCATCAATCTACACAATTGGGATCTGATGACATGTGTCAACCAAGTCAGCGAGTCTGACCACCTGATCCTGTTAGCTGCCTCTTACGACAAGCATGGGTTGTTGAAGACCAATTTTAACCCGGATCTTCATGGGTATGTTCTAAAATACAAAAAGGACACAGTAACAAGAGTTATTGTTTAATCATCAAAACCTTTACTTTTTATCATATAGCTAAAAGGAAAAATACATATTATGCTTAAAAGAAATTTTGTATAATGTAGGAACACTGGCTTGTGACATCAACAATAAAAACATACAATAATATTGCACTGTACAGATCTCTCTGATGATTACAGACAGGAACCAATCAGAAATTCCCATGAAAACAATGAGTGAAATAAACCAATAAAGAATAAATCACAGTCCAATTGCAACAGATAAGAACAGAAAAAACATAATATAACCTTTGACTCCCTTTGCTATAGAAAGACGGGTTTAAAAAATCAACAAAGAAATACTTAAAAACATATGTATATATTTTAGTGGTGCCATGCTGTTGAGCCATTGGACATCACTAGGACTGTAAAACATACACATTGGTGTGTGATATATTTTGAATATCCCATAGTGCAACTTGTATAAAGAATGTATAAAGAATAAGCAAATATATCGACCTGAAAACTACCTTCACAAATAATTGGTTTAGATTTTGGGCTAAAAAATGTCAACAAGCTGACTATTAATCGTGTATGACAATAATGCATTCTTCTGAATATATTTTCTGTTAAATCAAACCAGATTAAATACACATTGTAAAACACCAGTTCGTGTATATCATGTATGACAAATACAATGCTTCATGCACTGGACTAGTTTTATTCGAACTTGGCTTGGAGATTCTATATGTTCCTGCATATTTAATAGTATTCCCATGATACCATCCTGTGTAAATGAATACTTGTTATTGCTAAAAATATGTATAAAAAACAAATATAATGACTAGACCGACTGACTGAGTTTAGTTTTACGCCGCTTTTAGCAATATCACGGCGGGGGACACCAGAAATGGGCTTAACACATTGTGCCCATGTGGGGAATCGAACCCGGGTCTTCGTGTATGAAAAACAACTAGGCTATACCACCGCCCCTAAAAACAAGTATAATGACTAGAAACACAAGTAACTACAGTTCCTAATATTGACTCACTAAAGTAACAATGACATCCTGTAGTAACTGAAACCAACCGTTTGATAGGCATTCTAGAAGTTGGTGAGTCAATAATGAAGCATACAAATTTATGGACAACAAGTTCTTGTTTATCGCATAAGGCGACATTTCAGTGTAGATTTTAGCTTGATAACAGTGTAAGAATCAACACCGAAACATCGCCCTCGGCAATGAATAACAAGTTGTTATCCATAAAATCATATGCTTCACTACTGACTCTGTGAAATCGTTTGTATGAAATATACAACGTCACTGTCCTCATTAACCAATGTATGATTTGGGAAATATATGCATGGTTCTACCTTAACCTACAAAATTAGGGGTCCAATGATCCCAAAATATTTAATTTCAAGGGCCTACGGGAAATATGAGGGTCCTGTAAATTAATGAAATGGTGTTGTGTACTGAACTCGAATATTTGACAATTACTGTAATTACAACACTTTTATAATATCTGTCCAGAATGTGATATACTGAGGGAAACAAATAAAGGAACACCACTTCATGGCAGTGTTTCTTTATTTATTCTCAGATTTCCTCCCACAGTGCTATTCAAAGCTGGTGATGAAAACTGGAAAATATTAAAAGAACACTTGAATTTCCATGTGTTCCTTTATTTGATTCTCTCAGTATATAATGGCTATTCAATGCTTTTTTTTTCTATATCCATTTCATACATTTTTGTATACTGGACGGACATTACTGCATCATCTAAAACATTGCATATGTATGTAGTAAACCAATAATTCTACTTTATTTACCTACAAATGTCCTACAATAATAACTTTAAGGCAATATTTGTAAGTTTATTGTGCTGTTAGAAAATAGCGTCTAAATACAGAGCCTCAATTATTCAGAGTATTGTACAGCCATCCCTTGCAGTAACGCCCTTTGCGATACCACGGCTTTGGTTAATCTGTGGCTCCCATAAAAAAAACAAAGTTTCCCAGCGATCACACATCTTCACGTAATTGGAAATAGCATATTGACAAATCCACTGTTATTCTCAGGTTGATCATGTTGCACACTGGTGAAATTCAGTGCGGATCGCAATAAAAGTGTTCATTGTACATATCCTCGTATTAGGAGTTTTCAGATGCTTTAGAAACTCAGATGCTGTATCTCAATTATATTTGACTAAATATCTTGGATTTATTCACTACATTAGTTTCATTGAAAGACCCACAGTTGTCTGAGGTGCCCCTTTAGCAGGCCAGAAAACTTTGAGTCTGGGTTTGAATCTGTTCACCCTGACTATGTTTCCTGGGTGTGTCTGCACCATACCAGTACTTGTGGTTGTCATCAAAGTAGTAAACGTCTAGCACCTGCTTCACATAAGATTTTCCTCACACATTTAACTAACATGACATAATCAGACACAAGAGTTTCCGTGGATCTGCAGATTTCCAGGATTTTTGTTTCATTTTGAACGTTTTTTAGATCTATTGAAATCTGCAATAAAAGATCCCCAAGACCCCCGACTAAATTTTCAGTGTTTTTTTGGTGCTCTACCGTTCTCATGTTTATGTAGTACAACTGGAAATTGTTCAAAAGATTTGTTTATCTATTTAACTCCACATTCAGCAATATTCCAGCTATATAGTGGCAGTCTGTAAATAATCTAGCCTGGACAAGACAATCCAATGATCAACATCATGAGCATCAATCTATGCATTTGGGATATGATGACATGTGTCATCTATTTTATACATTCAATGTAAGACTTGTGATGACAAAATGAAAGTTTCATGTTGACAGTTTCTGTTTCTCAAGAATTCTGTTTTGTGAAACATTGTTTTCCCAACATGGCTATTATGTGACATCATTCAAAGAAAACACTTCTAAAATTCTCACAAAAAACATGTACAATAACATTAAACACAGCATCATTAATTTCAAAAGGAAAGTATCAGTTTGCCAAAACATGGCATATGTGATGTGAAAGACTTTAAAGAATACAGAACAGCAGCAGACTAAAACAAGATAAAAATCATAAGTCAACTGATGCTCTGAGATTTCAGTTCCTATTGATTTTGGGGCTACTGATACCTTATGGTCACTGTGCTAAACCAGCAAAGCTTGATATGAAGGCAGCCTTGACGTCGGTAGCACAAGTTTACATAATCCACTATACTCCATTCTCTTCCCACAGAGGTTACTTGTCATATCTTCCTACGAACCTCTGTTCTAATACGGCCATATTTCCCGGTTCTCGTAAAATCCCCTAGCGGCAAAAGATCGCAACACGAATTATGTCCCTTCTTTCTATCCAATCAGAACACGTGTTACATCGACAGATTCAACTTGACTAACACAAGCAAATGTGGGCCCACAAATATCCCCCATCTGCTGGGGAATTGTGTTTATGTTACACACAAGACGTTTAATGGCTAGCTTGTCCATTGTCAACGAGGGCGATGGAGACGCCACTGATCTGCCTTAACATGACTGAGTTCTGTCTAGAAGAAACGTTTGCGCATCGCGCAGGGAAGAAATTTAGTTTTTCTCAAAGCATACAGAAATTACCGAGGCCTTGCGAATGATCACTTTTGAAACAACGTCGCTGATTGCACTACTAAATCTGATTGCCTCCAATCACGAGTCTTGAACGCTCACACCATGAAAGGGCCGTATAAGAACAGAGGTTACGCAGGAAGATATGACAGGAGTAACCTCTGTGGGAAGAGAATGCTATACTCAGGCTTCATGAGACAACAAGAATACAAGTGTATCAAGCATGCACCTGGAACAACATTCAATATCACAACATACAAATACGAAAACATAAATAATCATCCAAAACCAATTTCTAGTAACAGTAAAGAAAACATACATGTGTCTACCTTCGTCATGATTAATCCCCAAATATCTTAATGAGGCAGTATTACACATAACATAATAATATGTTGCATATAAGAGGCTATTTTTTATGAGATTATGACACTGCTTAATCTCATCATACTCTTTAATCTCATTCTCACAAATCCCTTGTCTGAAAACAGGATCACAAAGAATGTTACAGACTGAGATTATTCCAACCATCTCAAAACCATGTTTTTGTTAAGAAAACATTCTTTCTCAGTCATGTTGTTGAGTGTACAACAAGGGCAGATAACTCTAATGACAGCTGTTATCATATTCTAATGATTTCCAGTTGGTTTGTCAGCATGCCATAGTATGGGCCAGATGGAAATCAAGGAAAATCAGGAAAATCATCTTTGGGTGAGATATATGTATAAAATATTAACTTTCCAACAATGAAATGGCTAAAATCTAAAGATAAAAAAAATAACAAAAATATATTACTATAAATCTGGTCTGATACTATGTGACGCAACAAAAGATTCTTTCAAATATGATAAAAACAAGAAAAAGAATGACTGATACACAATGAATTCATTTAAATGCTCAAATCCGACTATCTTTTTTACTACTGTTTTTCATCAAAAAAGGTTTTGTCAAAAGGAAAACACTGAACAGATGGATTTTGTACTGTTATTGCTACTTAGTAAAACACAACACAAATCTCAAGCTTTTTCATGATATAAACCTATCAATTATTCTCCTTACAATTGCCTGACATATTGACAATGAAACTCTGCAAAATAATCATTATATTGGTCAGGCCATATCATTGATAAGAAATACACACCACTTCATGAGGAGTGTTCAAACAGTAATATAGGACAGTATTTCGATGTTACCTTGGGGCAGACTTCCCATCATGTCATGGCTTTAGTTTAAGTATGAATTATGGCAAATATGACACAATATATTGTTATATGATGCCTATCTTGGTATTAAGCCTGTGATGTCATTCCTGAATATTTGACACTGTTTTGTTATTCCTTACAAAAAGGAATGAATCACTTAATTTTGTAAGCTTTAGTCACTTAAGGTGCCTTCTCATTGTGCTACTTTTGTCATGCAACACAGTTGCAACAAAACAACATAAGTCGTAATGATTTGAAATTGCATACAAATAACCGCAGCCGAGTTGTAAAACATAGGATCTGTCCTAATTAATACTAAGTCACAACCTCTCGACCAATCAAAATTGATTAGATCATTGTCCAGATCAGAGTGACGTCCCTTTGGTTTATGTTGACATGATGTCAGAGACACAACAGAAAAAAATCGACCCTAAGAGAGGAAGTGATATGTAGACTAACATTAACCCAAGCGTTTCTTCTTCACTCAACAAATCCATGTTGCCAAATCATATGTGAGAATCCCACGAGAGACAAGTGGGATATGCAACTTAAAAAGTACACAAATAACAGTCGTTACGATCTTTGTTGTTACTCTAAGTCATATGCTACAAGTTGTCATGACAAGTCGCACCGTGAGAACGCACCTTTCACTAACAATAGCCTGAGAAAACTTAAACATACTGTCTGAAAATAGTATGTTTACCACTGGGACTATATGCAATGCTATATAAACATGATAAACATGTATTATTATGCATCAGTACTTGGCCTCATAGTATGATTCGCATATCGTTGGACAAAGTATCACAATGGCAGATATTTCTGAAAATCTCTGCAGCATAAAACATGTTAGAGAAATCCATCCTGTGAGATAACTATCCTCTGTGTCTTCTACAGACAAACCTGATACAGCTGGGTCTGGATCTCAGTAAAACTCCTCTATAATTAAAAAACGTTCATCTGATATACTCTTGTGTGATGCATCAGATATTAATATATTGCCAGCAATAATATATTTCCCAAATAATAACAAAAGTTTAAGTTTAACTGTAGTAAATGGAGATCTGTCCCTCTATTTTACCCAGAGTTCCATGAAGCCAGCATAGTATACTTCCCATCAAAAGTTTAGACTCACTTACAACACTCACTATATGTTATGTATGGTTACATTGAAGATTGATTTCTCCACTAACTTGGAGGAACCAACTGCAAACCTTATGCACATGAACTGCACGAGGGACTCATGAAACAAATTGCAGAAAAATATGTGCAAATATCATGCATGTAAACAGCTGCGTTTTGGTGTAAAGTTTTGTTAAGAATTGCCAATTTTCACTGATTTTTATCATCTACTGAACTCATGACAATAATCTTTTCAACGTTACGAATTTGTTTTACAAAACATCAGTTCATGTGTAAACAGTACCTTTTATCTGGAATATTTTGCAAAATTTAGTTTAGAACACTGGTTGCCTGAATTAGTGGCTATATTTACACTAGTGAGTCTAAACTTTTGATAGGAAGAATATTTCTGTCACAGATAACTATCATGTAACAATTACACTCTATTTCGAGAGCATGATTTTCATCTGTCTGTTTCATGTTTGACAGGTCCACATATCTGAACGTATATCTGTGGAGAAATCATCGTTAAACATGAAATACTATTTCCATTTGTGTAGTCATTTATTGATGACATCGGCTGTACGGCTCCATGAGTTGTCACTGAAGCCCAACGGAAAGCCAACAGCACATTCACTTTGATGAATACATGTAGCCACCATCCATATCACTGTCGTAGTTGTAGAAGTATAGATTATGATGCGAAACAAATATGAAGAGCACACCGAAAGGCTGGCATTAGGCAGTCTCTCCTGGTTTCAGAATAAGCGTTTGTTTACAAACAAGAGTAAAGTCTGATCACATGATATGCAAATTGGCCCATGGCAGTGGTGTGACGGAGTGGAGGATCCGCCCCTATGTTGACTTGCCCCCGAGAGCTGAGATGCCATACATACAACATAGAAAGAGAGCCAACAGTATATACACTGACGTTGTGAGCCAGAAGGCAAAGTAGAACACATAAGGAGAGCAATAGTTTGGGGATTCAGGATTCCTACTGTCGAACTGGCCTTGTGTTCGATATATCCACATGTTCCCTGTAAAAATAAACATTCATTACTTTATTGTAAACATGTACTCTTTCATGAATCAGTAAATGGTACTGTTACACAATTAGACTAGTCTCTGAATATATCTAATTTTGATGGAAACTATCCTCATCCTATAATATCAAATGGTTATTCAGTTAGAGATGTGCTCCGATTTCAATTTGTGCTAACATATTTTCTCATCAAAATATACAGGAGGCTGTCTTTAGTTTTGAAACAGGGGCATCACATTATTGCTGGTTGGTTTGTTGTTTAATGCCTCACTTAGCAATATTCCAGCTATATGGCGGCGGTCTGTAAATAATCTAGTCTGGACCAGACAATCCAGTGATCAACAGCATGAGCATCAATCTACACAACTGGGATACGATGACATGTGTCAACCAAGTCAGCAAGTCTGACCACCATTTCCCAACGGTCGCCTTTTACAAGAAGCATGGGTCGCTGAAGATCAATTCTAACCCGGATCTTCTTTGGTATTCACATTACAGTAGTCGAAAAGTGTACAAAAACATGTCATAGCTTGACATGTAAGGTATTGGTGATTGCATCCTTTACACAGATGTCGGGGTCTGTCGGTGAAAGGTTCTATACCTAATAAACTACTTACCCGCTATAAACCATCCTACAATAAAGAAGACAAGTAGCACCTCCAGTGCATCTTTGCCCCTCCCACGCTGGAATAAGGGACAGTCCTTGCATGTGTACATCTCCAGGAAGGCCTTGATGATCTTGGCTGATAAGGCGATGCCTCCCACTAGGAGATACAGGGGAATGTACTGCTCTGCCGGGCAGTCGAACAGATGCATGCAGCCTGAAACAGCACCAGGAACACAATTGGGTTAAAAATGTAATTTTCTGAGTAAAATTGATATTTTATACTTATCCTGACTCATGCTCTTTTGCTTGTCCCCTTCCTCTTGCGAACATAGTGGAACACTTGTATCTCCTTAATTGAAGCTCCCTTCAATGTAAAATCACTAATTGGTACTCACCCACGAGTTACCTCCCCTGCCGTAAGCGCGGGAACAGGTGTCGCCACCCTCTGGCCTCATGCTTCACTCTCTCCTGATTTTGCGAGCCCAACACTTGAATTTACAGGGAAATCCAAAGTGTTATGTGGGGAGGATGGGAGGGCTAACCTCATGAGTCAGGATAAGTATAAAATATCAATTTTACTCAGAAAATTACATATTTTTCCTTATCCTGACTCATGCTCTTTTGTTGTAGAATCCACGGAGGTGGTGGGTAAACAGAATACTTTGGATTAATTAGTGATTTAAGTAAGTGATATTGTAATAACCCTCTGCGGGAACTTCATAAGGCATTGAGACTTAGGATATTTCCTTATAATAAGCCATAGATATATATACACTATAAGTGGGGTATTACCTTACTAATATACTGATATATCAATATATATATATAAACTGCTACTCTCTAACGTTAGCTGTACACTGAATATAACTCAGTATGAGCTTAAGGTTGAATAACCTAAGCTAAATATGTACATAGCCCTAGAACTCCATGGAGTTATAAGCTAGTGAATATATGTATCATATATCTAATAATCTAGGTGGGGGTGAATATTAACGCCTCACGAGGGACTGTCAATTGCTGAGCCGAGGACCAAAGGACCGAAATGATGAATGCCAGAGGCGTCCTCGGTGGTGATATCTCTGAGATAGTGATTAGCAAACACCATGTTAGATTTCCAAAAGCATCCTTCCATAATTGTATTCAATGAACAGTTACCATGAAGGGCGAGGTGGATGCCAATGCCCTGATTTCATGAGGATTTGATGCTGTTGGAGGGTCCAGTCCTGCTGCCTTATAGGCTGTAAAATGACAGTTCTTATCCATATTGATATGGTGGTACGAGACTTCTGTCTGATTTGTAGGCGATATAACGGGATGAACAATCTTCTGAGCGATCTTCGCCTTGTTTTGGAACGGCGTAAATAGATTATGAGAGCTCATTACTGGGCATAGAGATAAGTCCAATGTATCTTGAGATCCAAGAATTGAGGATAAGCAGGGATGTGAAATAACCTGTCTGGTTGACCTGGTAGTTGATTTTTAGCGATGAAATCCCATCTTAATCCCAGGTGCGCTGTCTTTGATTTTCATCAAACTGTATCCTCTCATAATCTAGAGCATGAATTTCAGATATTCTGGCTGCGTGGCTAGCGATAACAGGAAGACTGTTTTCTGTGAGAGAAATTCAAGCGTTTTCGATTCCAATGGTTCGTAATCCTCACTTGTGAGGTGTCGTAAAACTACATTCAGATCCCAAGCTGGGGCGTGGAATTTCCGCTTTTGGTCCTCCAATCGAAAGCACGTTAGTAAGGCCAGTAACTCTGGTGTTCTTGTTAATTTAACACCCGTTCTCATAGAAATCACAGAACTAAAGCGCCGCAAGATATGTTGACAATGTCGAGCCTTTAAATGTTTGTTTTGCCGTAAGTAACACAAATAGTCTGCCACTTGAGGATCGTGGCATCTCTCGCTGTAAAACCCTTGTTTGTTGCATAATTTTGAAACTTTGCCACTTGTCATCGCATAAGTTACGCTGAGTATCGTAAGGCAAAGCGTGGACCGCTTTTGCCGCCCTGGTAGAATATCCTCTCTTGTTTAAACACATTTTAATACAGTCCATCGTGAAGTTTGAATACTTCTGGGTTTCTGTGCACCTGTTTGGTGTGAGGATGTATTAACAGGTTTTTGGTTGGGTAGTTCTAGTGCGGTTGACCCGATATCTTGTATTAAGGCGGAAACCACGTTCTGGCCGAAGCCAATAGGCTGACCAAAGTGAGTTGTAGGCTCTGCGTTTGGTTGATTTTCTGTAATACTAGAGGTATTATTGCTGAAGTGGAAACGCCAGATGCGCATTGAGGCCTTCCATGAAATGCTTAGAGCGTCTGTTGCCCATGCTTGTGGGTCTGGCACTGGTGACCACGAATGTCGGTAGTTGATTGTTGAACCTTGTGGCCCGAATAGATCTACTAGCGGCTCCTATTTGCTTGATTATCTGTGCAAATATCTCTGTATTGAGCATCCATTCTGTCGGGCGACGGTAGATGTGGCGAGAGAGTGCGTCTGCTAGTATATTCCTGGCTCGGGAATGTGGCATGCTTTGACATGTAGATTTAGATCTTGGATTAATTCGAACAGTTGAAAGGTTAAATTCAAAAGGTTCGTGATCTCGTTGAGCCTTGTCTGTTCACATAAAACGCCACTGTCGAAGTTGTCGGTATGTATCATCAGGTGCGCATTCTGTAGAATGTTGCTCCAATGTCTTATGGCGTTGATTACAGCTTTCATCTCTAATGCGTTTATGTGGAGTTTGCTTTCTAGCTGAGTCCATAACCCTGATGCCGTCCGGTTGGAGAGATGAGCTCCCAACCTTGGAGCGGCATGGCGATCTACATATAGATGGGTCTTGAATTCCTGCTCTGCTAAACAAATCCCTTCGCAGACATTCGATTTCTTTGTCCACCATAATAGATGAGGTCTGAGATGTATCGGTAGACTGAATGGTTGTAGGTCGTCGAGATGTGTATTGACGAAGACCTGTAACGGACGTAACTGTAATCTGCCTATGACTGTCAAGTCTTGGGCTGATGTTAGAAGACCTAGTAAGCTCTGCCATTGTCGAAGTGGTAGCGGTGACAGTAGAGCTGGTGGAATGATCTGTTGGATCTTGAGCCAACGGTCTTCTGGCACTCGACTATACGGTTGAGATTGGTGATAAATCGGATTCCTAGGAATTGCAGATCTTGGCGATGGTACTAGGTCCGACTTGTGTAAGTTTACTAACCATCCCAGCTGTGTTAGTAGCTTTATGATGTAGTTTAACTGTAGTTTGAGATGCTGTGGATCTTGATCTACTTGTATCCCGTCGTCGAGGAAGAACGCACTGTGAGCCCTTGACGATGTAGATAGATAACAATCGGTTTCGTTATCCTCGTGAATAACCATGGGGCTGATGCTATTCGAATGGGAGTACTTTCCACTGGTAATGTAACCCGTCTAGCGTAACCCGAAGGTATTTCCTGGATTCGGGATGTATTGGGATGTGCAGATAAGCATCTTGTAGATCTATACTGCCCATGTAGTCCATGGGGCTTAATCATCTGCCGTAGCTGCGGTAGATGTAGCATAGTGAACCTGGGTGGTTTGTTTAAGTAAGTCTTGTTGAAGAAGCTCATGTTGTAAATGAGTCTGTATTTCTCCTTGGAGTTCTTCTTGGGTACTAGGAAAACTGGGGAGTAGAAACCTGGTTCGATGTTTCCTTTGCTCTATTACTTCTATGGCCTGCTTGGTTAGGAGTAATGTAACCGCCTCTCTTAACTTTAGTAGTTGTTGTGCCTCTACCTCGAACTTGTGAGGGTTGACTGTTAGTGGAGGCTTGGCCTGTAGTGGGATACGAAATCCGCGTTGAAGAATGTTGGAGACATAGGTGTCTTGAAGTATTCCCCAGTTTTCCCAGTGTAGTTGAAGACGCCCACCCACTTGTGACGGTTGTACTGGAACGGCTGGGGTGGAAGACTCCAGTCGTTCGAACCTGTCTTTCAGCGCTTATAGTTAAGTGGAACCTCTGGTGTCCTGCCTCGTCCTGACCCTCCTCTATAGTTGCCATATGGGCTACTTTAAAAGAATCTCTTCCCCTGGAACTGGCAATCTTCCTGTCTCTAGCTCTTTGTAGGCCCGTGAATTTAGATCTCCCTGAGTATCTTTGTGAAGTCTGTCGAATGACACTGGCTAGCGTGTCCATCGATTTAATCATCAGGACTTCTCTAGAATCCTTGGTGACTTCTTTGGAGACTGTGTCTATTCCTCCGTCAAATATGGATGGGGAAGACCACGGGCTGTATATAGTGGAGCTGTAAAGTTCTCACCCCAGTTGCAGGAAGCTAGGAGGCCTTGACGACGAGCTAAGGTCAGTGCTGCTGAGACAGACGCCAGATGATCTGTTAAAACTGCTGGTCCTTCTTTTTGCATCAGTAGGGCCGAGTAAATCATTCTGTCATCTTCAGAGGTCGTGTTCCGAAATCTGGAGATAAGTGTCTCATTTATTGTTCTAGATCTATTTAGACCGAAGAACATACTACGCCATGGTTTCTATCTGAACCAATTCCGATCATCAATCTTGTAGTACTTGTTCTTGGCATCGGAGATCAGCTTATAGTTCTCATCGATGTCTTGGCGCTTTGAAGAAGGGTTCCATATTATCGTGGAGAACTTCTTGGCGCTGAAATTTGGCAGATGTATGCGCCTGAACCTTTGTGGCTTTGTTAAATGCTGTATCTAGGTTCTGAGGTACCGCCGCCCATGTCGATTGGGTGGGGGTAGTGTAATAGCATCTCGTCATCTTCTTTCATCAGATAAGTCTGCCTTTTATTGCCACTCTTGGAAGGTGATGAGAGATCTAGATTATTGACCATCCAATATCTTATCTCTGCATCTGAGAAAATAATTCCTCCATCATCTTCCATTCCATCATCATAGATAAGAGGTTGTTGCTCTTCTGATGTAGGGCTGTGTGGCTCTATCTCTATATCGCTTGGCTGCTTGTGGAGATCTAGTTGTAGGCTTATGTGCAGACCTGTGAGGTGATCGACGTGGTGATCGGCGAGGTGATCGGGCCTTGGTGATCTATATCGATAGGTTGACCTTCTTGGCGATCTATGAGGGGACTGATAGCTTCATGAAGCTCTTGTGTAGTCCCTTGCTGATCTTTTAGATGAAGACGATCTGGGTTCAGGGTGTCCTTCGCTAACGCCAAGCCTTCGAGACATCCGGTCCTGGGGGAACGATGATATGACCTTCGCGAAGGCTTGGCGTGTGGTCTGGTGATCAGATTCCATATCTGAGTATGACCGAAGAAGGTGATGATTTTTCCCCGCCTTCAGCGAAGGTCTTCAGCGGGCTGTACATCTGGGTCCTTCGTCGAGGTGGTCTGTGACTTCCTTCGAAGGCTGCATTGTCGCGGGCTGCTACGCTGACAGATGGTGCCCCTGGGGTGCTGTCTACGTTGGAGCCTTCGCTGGCTCGGACCCTGGATGGCTGCTTCTCCAGTCTATAGTGGCCTTCCATCATAATCATGATCTGTTTCATAAGATCGCTTTGGGATGATCTGCGACGTAGTAGATGGTGCCCTTTCTGCTGTGTTAGCGGTGGGGCCCTCAGCGATCTCGCCTGACATCAGTGTAGAGGCATCAGGCTGCTTGTTGATCTCTGCTGACGCCACTGTCGCTGTCACTGGTCAGCTTCTTGTATGTATGTCGGTATGATGATCGGCTGGTCATCGTAGAGGCCCAATTCTGCTGCTGGAACGATCTCGCCTGAGAAAAGTTCTCGATGACTTCGTAGATTTCCTTTGGAGGAAGACGCTGCCCTGGGGTAATGGTCTCATGCTGAGAAGACGTTGAGGCCCTCTTGGACTTTGTCTGGCGATGACTGGATGTCTGGAGAGCCGGTCGCTTCTTAGAGGTGACGGACTGCATCCCACGCCCTCTTCCGATGGGGTCTCAAGCAGAACACCAGACGGGAGGGGATCACTTTCGACAGCAGTTGACTGGATGGGCAATCCCACGATCGCCATGTCTACACCTAGTTTGCGTGACCTATCTGCAACACGCCTCAAGACGCAAAGATGGTATTTATCAAAGGCAGAATTGGTTAAATTTATGCAGTAACTGCAATCGAGTCAACGCACAAGGCGAGTACAACTAGGGCATACCACATGCGGATCCGCGTAGCGAAAACGTAATCTACAAATAGTACAGTTTTTCATCAATGTAAAACTAGCTGAACAATCACTTTTAACTCACGTGAATAAACAGTAGAAATAATGATTAATTATTAACGCAAATAACTGAAGGATACTAGCTATACCTTTATAGTAAACTATAAAAGGTAACTAACTAAGAAAAACCAAAGGATATAGTGTGTAAGGAGACACAGGCGCTCTCACATCCTGCTCACTGGGCGAAGAAGGAGAGAGTGAAGCATGAGGCCAGAGGGTGGCGACACCTGTTCCCGCGCTTACGGCAGGGGAGGTAACTCGTGGGTGAGTACCAATTAGTGATTTTACATTGAAGGGAGCTTCAATTAAGGAGATACAAGTGTTCCACTATGTTCGCAAGAGGAAGGGGACAAGCAAAAGAGCATGAGTCAGGATAAGGAAAAATTTGAATTATTTTTTCAGTTTAATGCTTATGCTATGTTTATCAGTTTAAAAGTGATGCAGGTTATACATATTTGCCACTATGGCGAACCAAAAAACATGATGGTCTGAAATTTCAACATGAAAAGTTGGATGAAACAGGTTACAGCCATAGTTTTCAGATTCTCAGGCCAAGGGAAGTAACTCTAAATATCCAACTTGGTCACTCATGCTCTCCTTAAACACACTTCAATGGTCAATTGAATTGGGGTCTCCCCTCTTTACCGTTTTTACAGCCATTTCAAGGTAAAGTTCATAGTAGCCACTACACAGAGTTCATGCAAACACCGACCCCAACTTGGCACCAGTTTTCTTACCCATCACAATCATTGTCACCGGAACTGCCATGATGATTCCCAGGAACAGGGTACATCCCACTAGAACAAGAACAAAGCTACAGTGAGACACACGAGAGGCAGTCTGTGATAATCTAAGAACACTCGCCACATACAATAGTTTCTAACAACAACATTTCTGGAGGTCGTCTGTGAAAGGACTGAGGGAAACCAGCTATTAGTGGGAGATGCATGAAAGCTTGTAGCTTCCTGTGTTTTGTGAGAGAGTACCCCAAAGCGAGCTGAAATCGACGTTCTGGTGTTTTCGATGATTGCGTTGCTGGCGCTATATCGGGGGAGTATGTGCGCGATCGGTGAGCACAAGCATTTCATCGGCAGGGCAGATGCCCAGTCACTGTTGTGAGAAGTTGAATTCACAATTGAAAACTGGAAGTTAAGTTGTTTAAAAAGCAAACAAGCATCAATATTATTTACCCGAGATCGTTAATACCACTTCAGATGCAAAATCAATTGCCTTTATAACAAAAAATAGCAAGCGAACATTCAGTAAGATCATTCATCTGCTTGTGACAGGCAATGTTTAAATAGAAAACCACGTTATCACAACACTCCCTCGCAGTGCGGAACGAAAAGTATGGCTCATCGTCTAAAACCCATAGAAAATCCACGGATGTGGCGAACGGCAACAGTTTCGCCGATACGATGTCATCAACCTTTTTTTTGTAGGAAACACTTGATATTTTTGTGTGAAATAGATGAATATATCCCTTATCACCCAAGGTTAGTAAAATTAAAACTTCAAATGATATTACAGATAAAAATTACGTTTTTGTCTTACATTGTCGAAAACCCTGATACCAGGATAATACATCAGATGTTGTTTCAACTTTACACATTGTAACCACATCGGGATTCGAACCCTGGCATTGCGTGACAAGCAAATGCTTTAACTACTTGGCTTACTCCCATGAAACTTGACAAAAGATAAATAAGTGAACAGTGTCAAACAGATTATTCATTCACAACATTTGTGCATGTGAGAATTGTAAGGTAAAGACATTATCAAACACAGGCACTTCAGTTGAATACTGCATATCTTAGGTTTCTAAAAATGAAATCTTTGCATAAAGTACCACTCTCCTCTGCTCTTGAGGTTTTGACTTAGAACAGGCAGACACCTTGAAATCTTGAAAATGTGTGCAAATGAATACCTTCACACTACTTCAGTTTTCCTGGGAAATTGCTGAAAGGAGCGAGCATGGTTTTACGTTGCTATTCCAGCAATATCACGGTAGGGGACACCAGAAATGAGCATCACACATTGTGCCCATATGGAAATTCGAAACCCTGGTCTTCGGCGTGACCACTAGGCTACCCCACCGCCCCTGTTTTAAGTCGAACAGTAGGATTTTTTGTTGTTAGTTCAATACAAAATCTTAAGCAGTCAAACTCAGTTGCCTCTTAATCAGATATCTTGAATACCTTCTTGTGTCGAACTCACTGTCTTGGTGAACTCTTACTATTTATCAAAGTTTGAAACCCCCTAGCGATTTTATCAGAATTTTACAAAACATTTTGTCATCACTGTTTCACGAGTAAAAATACTGCATCATGACATAATATGTATCGTGAACTTTCTGTATAATTTCACTCCAAGCTTTGATCACTATTTTAACTTTGACACATGCAATGAGAGTGTCAAATTTACAGTTGTTTCAAACTCTGTGGATAGTACTAAGACATAATAATAAGACTGCTTTTTCAAAGTCATAGAATATTTAGCAGAAATGTCGACTCAGAGCATAAATGTGCATATCTTGAACAAAATCACTTTTTTTGTAGAAATAATGGAGAATTTTGCATTTTTCTACTGCAGAATTTGCCAAATACCTCTACACTGAAGAAATTTAACATGCAATTTGAGAGAAGGTTCTAAAGTTATAGAAGTTGCTATGTCTCTCGTCCCCACAAATAGTTGCAAAACTGCTGATGTGGCTATAAGCAATATTTGCTCAATCACTCACCCATGTGTTTGAGGCAACACTGTTCAACAGTATATCTAAATGATCAAAACTTAATACCAAAACATAACAAGCAAATAGAGATCTTCATCTTGAAATGAACACCTTAAAACTAAAATTTTCTGGTTATCAGGAGGAGTAGACTAATACTTAGTCTCTGAATATATAAAATTTTGACAGTAACAAACAAGCCGATTTAAATTGAAAAGGAGCTGCAGGGAGACCAGAGATTCAGAGCCTGAGGAAATCTAGACTTGCTTTGTTAAGGGCTTGGCAGTAAGGAAAATAATGTGTTTCAGGGACTGTGAGACAGACAACAGGAGGAGTAAAGATTTCATTCTTACATGTTTCTCTCAAAAGTTCATAGAACTTTTTTAGAAAGTCGATTCGGCTGCTGCTGTGGTTGTGGTCGGCAATAACTCGACCGAACAGCGAGTCATACGATGGGGGAGAATCGGCAACTGCAAAAGGATGAGGTACAGAACAAACTAAAACATCATTGTTTGTTACCCCCATTTCACATGAACATGTGGTACAATGTCACAGAGCTATAGATAACTCTTTTTGGGTGTAACTGATATTTCACTGAACCCTCATATTACACACAAGGACCCTTAAAACAAATAATTGGGGGTCCCAGGGACCCCATGTTTGTAAGTCGAGTTAAACACCTGTCAGCAATGAATGATCATAATTCATATATAAGCCACCATGATGCAGCTGAAATTTTGTCTGAAGTAATCCGTTTAACAAAGGAAGTATAGATCTGACTGAGTGTTGTTTTATGACACAGTTAGTAGCATTCCAGCCACAGATACAGGTAACTTTTGGGTCATTGAGTTATGTACTTGCTTGTGTTCATCTCAATTGGGTATTCTCATTTTGCTTTGAGTAACCAAATACATTGCACTCACCTCACTCAAACTCAGTTGGGTATTTTGCCATTTTCCATTTTTTAAATGTTAGTGTTTGTTATTTATATTTGATCTGTAATATGAGACAGACTGACTGACTGAGTTTGGTTTTAACGCCGCTTTTAGCAATATTCCAGCACCATCTTGGCAGGGGACACCAGAAATGGGCTTCACACATTGTGCCCATGTGGGGATTCGAACCCGGTCATCGGCGTGACGAGCCAACGCTTTAACCATTAGGCTACCCCACCGCCCCCTGTAATATGAGAAACAATAAGAAACACTGCAAGGTGTCAAGTTCATGTCCTGAAATAGAACCTCTCAACATACCCAGTTATTTTATCATTCCACCAGTACACAAGCTAAGATTTGACATTTTTGTGTGTACACATGTAAGATCACATTTATTGAGTAGTTACATAAATTTAAGTGTACTTGCACACAATAGACTTATTAGGAATTGAGTTTCAACATAAATATTTGTGTAATTTACGTGGATATGCAGGTTATCTGTACTTCTGAATGTCATGATGTTCCATTCATGTGCAGAGTTATGTCCCTTAGCTGCATGAGTATCCATTGTTTATAGGTTCTTGTAGGTTTCTAGTGGTATATACCTTGACCCTGATTGTATATTGAGTGGTTTAGTCACCACGCTCTTAGCATATTTCAGCAATAGTGGTAAACATGTGTTTGTGTGGCATTTGAAGTTCTTTTTGGTAGAACACTTTAACTACTTGCATATAGAAAAGATAGTGAAGTGAAACTACTTGCATATAGAAACGATAGTGAAGACTTGAATGCAGACACTTGTTTGTTTTTTCCTTTTTATGAGTACTCAAACATTTGCTGCATCCTAATATGAACAATTTAGTTCACTTCTCCATGTCACAAATGTCTCAAAACCAAATACAATTCAGATCAGTCTTCATGGGCGGATCCAGGATTTTGGAGAAGGGAGGTGCATACATATCATGAAGTCCAAAGATTAGGGATAATGCTTCTCAGGGAAATTTTTTTCGGGCACCCTTCTCTGGATCCGCCCCTGATCTTGCTTTCCTCCCTTTAAGTCTGTAGCTAATAATACTGTACTGAAAAACACTTCATAGTAGGCAAGTATAGGATGGGACAAAGGTCTTTGACTTTCCATTAAAAAATGCACTCAATGCATTACTTATTATACAAACATTCAAAATGATCTCAATGGGCCAATTATTTCTCAAATAAGGTTTGTTTCCACACTCAGCAATATTCCAGCTATATGGTGGCAGTCTGTAAATAATCAAGTCTTGGCCAAACAATACAATGATCAACATCATGAGCACCAATCTACTCATTTGGGGTACGAGGACATGTGTCATCCAAGTCAGCGAGCCTCACCTCCCTATCCCATTAGTTGCCTCTTACAACAAGCATGGGTTGGTTGACAAATTTTAACCCAGATTTTCACAGGTATTTTCAGTAAAGGGGTTAATGGCCCTTTGTATCTTACCTGGTTGAAATCACTGACTTTTGTCAAAATAATTTAACAAAATTAATGAATAGAATCATTTTGATATACTCCCAAATTTTGCTTGATATTTGTAATTTTGGTAGCAAAGTACCTCTAATTGTTGGCTCATAAGGCGGAGGTAGACAGACAACAGCAACGTCAGAATCAGTGTTCCTCTCTGCAGTTTGGTGAACAAGACGGTCTACCAGCGCCTGTTGCTCTGACACATCATAGGCTGGGGGAGACAGGTGAGGGGATAGGCTCAGTGGACTGAATGTCAATGGCTCGTAAACTGCTGCATCCTCATTCTCACCAAAAAGAGCGTCATACTTTGGCGGCTTTGCCTACAAAACGAAGGAGAAATGGGTAAGACACAAGATCTATCAATGACATTGGATGTGAAGCTTTGATTTGACTGGACGATCAGTATGGTCTGGGAAAGCATGTTATGTAACCACTACATGTGTAATGATATGGTAATATATGACGTGCATGCGTGTGTATGTGAAGGTGCGGCTGCTTGTACTAGCCCAGACTTAAGCTTAACCACTACATGTGTAATGATATGGTAATATACTCATCTCGACAATATGGGTGCAATATTTGTATCCTGATACAGCCCATGCATTTCAAAACTTCAAAATCCATTTTTTGTAGGTAAATCGCAGTTCTGAATCATTTGTTTTTATACTCAGAAAGCAAAGATTACATATTGTAGAGACAAAAACTCTTTGCGTAACAACCGGTTCATGAAAATACATTTTATGAAAAGTGGCCCTGAATTTTCTGAAGACTGTAACCTATGAGGTTGTTGCACACACTTATTGAGTAATTGTTTTATGTCAGTAATTGATGATACTTAAAATAGATTTGAAATTAAACTGTGATTATCAGGGATTTAAGGGACACGATTTCCTGTGTTCGGACCACCTTTAGAATACAGCACCACAAACTTTAAAAATACGTTCTAATACCCTTTTACGTAATGTTATGTGATTTTGTTTGAAAGCACGTTCTCGAAACAATGCCCTATGACGCCTGCATGGCAACACGGTTGTCTGGCTCAGCGAGTGCGTATAAGCTCCGCTCACTGGTGTTTCATCTCTACGAGCTATGTCATTGCATAAGCCCAACGATGTTGAGAGTTTCCAGTAGTTGTTTACCGGCGGATGCGCAATATTTTGCAAGCACCAGTTTGAAATATTTTTCTTTTTTCACTAATACGCTCATATTTATTTGTATTACGGGCTGCTGAGGTGTTATGTTTTGTGTATTTTGTATTTTGTAATTTTCTTGATTTACATATATATTTTTGTCATTCAGTAATTTGCACCATTACATAGAAAAGTGTTTTATTAGTATTTTATTTTTTGAAGTGGTAATAATGCATTACACTAGACACGTCAGTCGTGTTTGTGCCGGTTCGGTCAATGCATTCTATTTATTAGAATTAATTCAAGGGATTGGGGTTAGGGCTAGGGCTAGGACTAGGACTAGGACTAGGGCTAGGGCTAGGGCTAGGGCTAGGACTAGGACTGGGACTGGGACACTAGGGTTAGGGTTAGGGTTAGGGTTAGGGTTAGGGTTAGGGTTAGGGTTTAGGGTTGGGGTTGGGGACCTAATGCAATATAGTAGGTACATGTCCGGTGGTTCGGTCAATGCATTCTATTTATTAGGATTATTTCAAGGTGTTAGGGTTAGGGTTAGGGTTAGGGCTGAGGGTTTAGGGTTAGGGTTAGGGTTTGGGTTTGGGTTTGGGTTTGGGACCTAATCCAATATAGCAGGTACATGTCTTGTGTAATACGTGAGTACCATTTGTTGTTTTTCCTTTTTGCATTTTAATACTTTTTTTTCACACAAAAACGGGAAACCAAAAACGTCGAAAGTACATTATGAAATGGTTTAATGTAGAAATTTTGGGCTAATGGAAAATGGTCTGGAATTTGCACTCAAGCCTCTTTCACACGCAACATAAATTTTGTAAAGTAATGATTCGAAGGCTAACTCACCAGAGTGCCGTCACTACACATGCTCACGTCTCCCTCGTTCTTTAGTGCCATCCACATTATCCTTACAGTGTTCCCTACATCACTTTTCTGTCACAAAATCACCGATTTATATAAAAGCGCGTCATTCATGCATGCACCGTGAAATCTACGTTTAACGCCTGACATCAACAACCCTTTTCAGTTTGAGGCATATCGGCTCATTCCACGCACACACGCTAATTGGTAGATTACGGATGGGCATCGGATCCATTCGGCAATTGTCCAGAGAATAAAATCACGAGATACCAAGTCTACCCGTAGCATTCGTAATTGTCCGTCACCTATTCGACTCTTTCCGTTCATTTCCGTGACGTCACAGGAATGACTCGATAAATTTGCAAACTGCGCAACAGTGTGGGTTCGCGTCCGACGGGTTCTCACAAACTGGTTGCTTGTCTTAATGACACGTGACCTACGGCAGAGATCGTCCTCACGAGAAGTGGTGCTGTATTCTAAAGGTGCTGTATTCATCATAAAACTTGGCAATGGATGCAACCATATTTATTAGCGCATCCACAGGGATGTAGAAAAGTCCAAATACTTTTTGTAAAAATTCCAAGAGAGAAATGCGTCATCATTTTTGTACACATGTGCTAATATACTGCTATGGGTGGGGGATGGGGTGTCATTGAGTTCGCACATAACATGCAGGGGGGTCACTTACTTTGTACATAATTTTGGGAGGGTGGGGTGTGTGTCATTTACATTGTACAAGTTACTCCATAAAAATCTTCATCACACCCTCTAGCCATAACTTATAAACAATGCCTAATCAAGAAATGAACAGAGACAGCATAATAATTTCACTGTATTTCCAAGCTATAGTGGCAATTTGTCAAGTGTAACAGCATAGTGTATCATGAGAAATTAAGGGCATTGTTATTGATACCACTGGAACATTCTTATGCAACAATATTGATTAAGCAGGGTGATAATTATGGTTATTTCATGATTCCTCATTGATCATGAAGACTTTACATTAAGAGTTACAAATAACACGCTCTGATTTTGTCAATGAACGATTTTGGCCGAAAGAAAAACTTTTCTGTATCTACATATTACATCTGCAACAACATCCAGTATATAAACATCTGGTGTGCATATGATATATTGATCCTGTGGACGATCAGCTTGGGTCGTATCATTAAAGAGTAATGATATACACATGTAGTCAACGTCACAACCTAACGTAATGACTGTCGACAATACAGTATTGATTTTGACAGTACAAGACGACGAGTAATAAATTGGACAATGGTATGAGTTGAATAGCCGTTCGTTCTAACACTAACAGGCGAAGTGGATCTAATGGATCTACTCTTTGTATTAACAAACACACGTCGATTGCATGAAACACAGATCGATTGACGCCCCAAATACTGATCAGATTGCATCTGAATACGTTTATGAATTAAAGAGAATCTAGAAATATTGGGAGCAAATGGAAACAGACACAAAATATCATCCTACACAGACCTGTTCGTCGGCAGCCGCCGCCATTTTTCTTGATACCGGAAATGACGTTTTGGAAATATGTTTCTAAATATAGATCGGGGGTTTTCCTTAATCTCGAACCCATCCTGAGTAATTTTTTATAAAACGGGAACCGTGATGAAAAAAGGACGGCCAGAAATGCGTGAACGGATGGAAGTAATTTATTTTAGATTGTAGCAAATACGTCCGTTTCTTCTTACTGTAAACAACTCATTTATTTCCAGTTGTTATCTTACCTTGGAACTGAACCAGAACAGCATGCACAAATGAGCATGATGCCGTGCAGGATGTATTCCTCCCACATGCAAGAGTGAGATGATGTAACACTTGTGTACAACGTAATATCCCCTCGAAAACACTAACGCTTAAAACACTAATTTAGTCTACCCCGCAGGCCCAGCAGCGAGCAGAAGGCTGGTATGATAGACGATGAACGGGTGAGGTGAGACGGTAACCTCAGCTGTTAGGCAGACGTTAGAAGATTCTGATGGTATATATAGTAAGTGTTTACAATACAGAGGTGATAAAAACACATATCCCTCGCCGCATAATCAGTGATATATAATTATACAGCGAGAGCATATTTTGGATTCCTTATCGTAACATCTGTAATAAGGTAAGATACGATAAGATAAAATAAGATGAGATACAATTTGTGTTACATCCTATTGAGTGAGTGAGTGACTGAGTATGGTTTTACGCCGCTTTTAGCAACATTCCAGCAATATCACAGTGGGGGCCCCCTGAAATGGGCTGCGCACATTGTACCCCTGTGGAGAATCAAACCCGGGTCTTCAGCGTGACGAGCGGACGCTTTAACCACTAGACTGCCCCAGCGCCCACATCATGTTGAACATAGATACATGTATATCAAATAAAAAACATGATCTAATTTACATACAAAAGCATTAGAATGGCCAACATTAACGGTTATTCAACAAAGAAATTGACAATGGTACAGAAGACATGTTACATATGACGCTTGGATTTGCACGTCGGTACATTATATACCGATGGCCAAAGGGTAATAGTCATGTGGATAACCTGTATCAGGCATTTGTATCTTCGTGTCGCCATTAAAACTTTCAAATTCTTGAATTTCACTAGAAGTCGAACACGTTACAAGGAGACTTTGAATAAAATAAAATAAAATTTTGTAAGGGTAAATGCCCTGACACTCCAACGTCCAATGTAAATGCCCTGACGCCTGAAACGCTAGCAAACGGTCGTAAAATATGTATTCTCATGCTGAGAACAAGTTTCTTAAAAGTATTGTGATTCATCAGCGACTCTCAAGCCTATGGGAAGATGCGGGTTAGAACTGGTCTTCAGTAACCCATGCTTGTCGTAAGAGACGTCTAACGGGATCGGGTTGCCAGGCTCGCTGGCTTGGCTGACACATGTTATCGTATCCCAACTGCGAAGATCAATCCTCATGATGTTGATCACTGGCTGTTCATGTGGATCACCCCTGTCTTTTATGTTTTCTTTTTTTGTTTTCATCTGTTGCAAATGCACTGTGATTTATTCATTATTGGTTTATTTGACTCATAGTTTTCATGGGAATTTCTGATTGGTTCCTTTTTTATCTGATATTGTCTGTAATTATCAGAGGGGTCTGTACAGTGCAATATTATTGCATGTTCTTATTGTTGATGTCACGAGCCAGTGTTCCTACTTATGCAAAATTTCTTTTTAGCATAATATGTATTTCTCCTTTTAGCTATATGATAACAAGTAAAGGTTTTGATGATTAAACAATAACTCTCTTGTTCCTGTGTCCCTTTTGTCTTTTAAAAGATAGTATTACCCATGAAGATCCAGGTAAAAATTGATCTTCTGCAACACAGTCTTGTCGTAAAAGGCAACTGACAGGATTGGGTGGTCATATTCGCTGACTTGGTTGACACATGTCATCGTATCCCCATTGTGTAGATTGATGCCCATGCTGTTGATCACTGGATTGTCTGCTCCAGACTCGATTATTTACATATAGCTGGAATCTTGCTGAGAGCGGCGTTAAACAACAATCAAACAAACTCCAGCCTTGGCTTCCCATTCGAAGGTTGCATGTTTAACCCCACTGAGAGAGAGAGAGAGAGAGAGAGAGAGAGAGAGAGAGAGAGAGAGAGAGAGAGAGAGAGAGAGAGAGAGAGAGAGAGAGAGAGAGAGAGAGAGAGAGAGAGAGAGAGAGAGAGAGAGAGAGAGAGAGAGAGAGAGTCCCTGGCGTAACGCTGTCAAGTGCAGAGTGATATGAAAACAGCAACAAAATGAAACAAAGTAACAATATCCCGGCTAATATATAGCTGGACACTGATTTTCAGTTTCGTAGACTATTGTTTCTATTATTATAACTATTATCACGGTAGTTTCTCCATGGTCCCGAATGTTATCGATAATTCTGACTATCGCTTATCTACAGTGGCTGGCCATAAGTGAGTCATCATTGGTGAAATTTCCATAGACTTACATGTTAATTAACTGGTTCAAAAATAATTTTCATAAAATGAGTAGAAGTCATTTTATTTTGATATTTTGCAAACATCTTGGAAATCATCTTCAGTTACGCGTACATAATTTTCTTTCATCTTTCAGATGATTAGTTATCGAATGACACCTGATTTAAGCACCATAAGTGCAACATTTAATCTATCTATTATTTTGAGATGCGTCTTTGTTAGCAAAGCTGCTTCAGGTTTTGATTGTGACACCGTTTATTATGTTTAATACTGTTCATATGGGCCTTATCTCTCTCACTGAAGTGAATCGTTCACAAACGCATATTATGTATATTTGAGTCTTCTATGCGATCACGGAAGCACGTTCGCGCACATACATGTCATTTCCAAGACTGGAACATAAAACTTGCTAGGTGCTGTTTGAATTTGAGAGTGTAGTAGAACTAGTGTCAACAAGGATAGCATCACCAGGTAGCAGAACATTTATTCCTAAGTTGGGCCATCCGTATGATTTATGAGTTTCTCGTGTCAAAGAAAAAAAAGTTATGCAAATCCATATTGGTCCAATGAAAGGGCTGTTATTATCATGTGACTAGTGTGTGATCAATGCCAGTCATACTCGGATAACTTCTTTGAGAAGTTGGGAAGTATAATATAGACAAACCATGGATAACAACTACTTTATTTTGTGGGTGAGACGTTTCGGTACAGATTCTCGTTCCGTTGTCAAGCAGGAATTCACGAGAATCTGTACCGAAACGTCACACTCACGAAATATGAAAAGTTGTTATGCATAAAATTTGTCTATATTAAACATAATCATGTCAAGTTGCTATTGATAGCAATAAGATTTACTGTTTTGACGCGTACTATTTAATAACCAATGGAACTCAAATATTTTAAATGGCAGATAACTATAACTGCAGGTATTGTACCCCCGAATAAAACGAACTGAAATAAATAACAAATGGTCGCATCGTTTAGTAGAGTAACAGTCTATAGAGGCAGTTGTAGAAATACAAGTACAAGGGGTTTTATCGTGTTGTTTAGTCCAGCGCACCAGGGTGTTAAATCCTCAGCTGCAGTTACAGCAACAGCCGGTACCCTGTTATCAATATGTCAACGATAACTTCGAAGAATGCTGGATTCTGATAGGTTAAAAAGAGTTTTCTTTTTCCTACTTCCTGAACACATAGCGTGTGGCTCTTTGGAAGGTTATTTGTGAACTTTATTCCAGGAAGAGTCCTAAAGACTATAAATATTTTAAGCTGTAGTGATCATTTTTACATTTATATCTATCTGTCACCCCTTTTAAGAACGTTCCACTATAGGAAACCTTTGTACCCAGATGTGTTGTTTATTAAGCGTACCGATAGAGCGCCGTCTTCACCGTTGCCGTCATGGTGGAATGGTGATAAACCTACGGTGTTTTGATGAAGAAGCACTGAAGAGTACATCCCTCCTATTTTGATTTGGAACGGACTTCAGCGCACGGTTCCCAACTAAACTGGACACAACAGAGGGACTACATCAAATTTCAGATCACAGTAGTTTTAACTCCTAATGATGTGCTTTAAATAACTCGTCACAAAAGCTGTAATGTAATGAACACGTCAAGCAGGAAATTGCCCTCAAACCATTTTTATTTTCTATACATTAGACAGACAAACATCAATACATTGACTGAGTACAGTTAATTTCGTTCATTATGAACAGGCTTATAAAGAATGCTTCGTTTGAGTTCTTTACAACCGTACTTTACTGTATAAGCATGTGTGAAATGTTAATTTTAGGTAGTTAGTGAATGATAAAGCAATATAATAGATATATCAAGGCTGTGGGTAAATAATCAAGCCTGGACCAGACATCCCTGTGATTGACCCGTGCGCAACATTCGTACATGCTGTCAACCGTCTCTCTGAATGTGGTCACTTTTCCATTTATATTTTTTCTTGGTTCCCAGAATATTTTAGGCCACACTTTTTGTATTACTTGGCTTACGGATCAGCCGACGGGAATTTTTGCTAAAGTGGAAGAAATATTTCCATTTTTTATATGCCGCCAATGAATAAAACCCAAATGAATAATTTAAAAATCTTCTCTTTTTAAATCGACTTTCTGTTACGAATTTAGCATCGGTGCAAAACAAAATTTTAAATATTGAAAGAAATATAATCGCCGAATTAACCTTACTGAGTGAAAATGCTGTTATTTTAAACCCTAATATAGTAGAAAATGTGAACACCTAAATGACCGATGGCATAATCTTTATTTTTGAAACAGCCTTCTTGTGGTGAAAGCCATTTAAGGAAAAGAAAATCTGAAATAGCATATTTATTTTACCACTTTCCGACGGGAATATTAGTAGGTATTGCTGTAAAACGATCCGTTAACCAAATAATAATAAAAAGAGAAAAGAAGGTGTGGCCTAAGATGTGATGTTGTTAACAACGCACACAAAAAATTCCTTAAGGAATTGAATAGTACAACTGGACTTATCCTTATTTGAACAATGATACCTATTGTTTGGTCTACATGCTCATTCTAAAAGGAGCGGTTGGGTAGCCTAGTGGTTAAGGCGTTTGCTCGTCACGACGAAGACCCGGGCTCGATTCCCCACATTGGCACAATGAGTGAAGCCCATTTAATTTCCGGTGTTCCCCGCCATGATATTGCTGGAATATTGCTAAAAGCGGCGTAAAACCATACTCACTCAATCAATCATTCTAAAAATTATATGCATGTATCTGTAGAAATTAAAACAATATATGCATTCTATATATCATACACTTATAAACAATGTCACCAAACAATATTTAGCGTAATATGCACAAAGAACTTAGTTAAGAACCCCCCTGAAATGTCCCACGGTTGATTGTTCCCACGATCTTAACCCTTTGGAGTATATCTGGGACATGATTGATCGTCATGTGCAACAAAGGGATCCTCCTGCACAGAACCTGTCCCAATTGGAAGCTGCTTTACACCAGGGATGGCGTAGACGGTGCAGTCTCGGTCTGCCACCTCCCCATTGTTAGAGGTGTAGTCAGGCATTTTAATTGACAGAACAATAGAGGTGGCGGGGGCAGTTCATCACATTTACAGGGAAATATACTAGTGAGTAAAGTAACCAAGTAAAATAAAATAGATACATGACATAAAAAAATAATGTTGGTTGGTTGTACAATTTGAATAGTAGTGATTTTTTACATACTATATATATATATATTCATACTCATTGACATAGTAAATTTATACATATTCCAAAAACATGAAAATATTAAAGTATATTAAAAAGTTCATTTATTTCAACACCTACGTCAGTGGTATCGATGGTACCGGGACAGGAAGGACCACAGCATTTCCAATGGATATTGGTTCCTCTTCGTCTCTTAATTCTCAACCTATAGTCCTGATAAAGAAGGTTTCTGCTTCCAGATTTGTTATCAACAAACACTACGTTAACCTGTACATTTGCCATTTTGTTAAGGCCAGAACTAGAAGAACTGAAGTAAAACGTAAACATCGTTTGACTTAGACTTTGAGTATTTATACATGCGTCTTGGAAAAACAAAAGTGAACACTTAACTTTTTAATCACAATTCAATCATACTCCTTCTAGGGCAGCAAACATACGAAATTTCGGTCACCCCAATTAGACTGATAAAACTTAGCATGATTCGACCCCTCTGCTTGTAACAACAGGATTATCCCTAATCCTTTACAAAGTGGTGGCGAAACGAGAAGACCCCCCGTAGACTGCCCCTCCAGAGGATCAGGAGGCTAACAGGGGGTATGAGGAGGAGATTGCTGTCTGTCAGACAGTCACATGAAGGTTACACTCGGTATTGACCTTGAATCATGTAAGACACGCAAAATTACATGTTGAATGTTCACATTCACCAATAAATTCAACATAAAACATTCCAGGGCCATACAGACATGGTTTTGTATAAAAATGAGTGTTTTTAATAATGAGCAATTATCATCATAAAATCAACATGGATGCCAATAATTTTGTTATTTTTTATGAGTCAAAGGATCGTAGGGGTCAGAAAAACACGTTTTTCCATCGTGGTCACCACTACAAGTTTTATGTACGTGTTGAAAACCTATCATTGGAAAAAATACAGGGGAAGCAGCTGCTTAATTAAGTTCAATGTGTATATTAAGAAACAGTACATTCGTGAAGCTGGAAAATGCGCTCGGCTTGACATTCAGGCACAACTTAATGTGAACTGGAATGTGTAGTAAAATCAACATAGAATACAAAGTCATATCGGGTTACTATGACAACCGTCAGACTATAAACAATAGGGCTAATGAGGACAATAAGGATAACAATTAACAAACTGTATCCGTAGTGATCTCGAGTAAACATCATTTTGGACATATATTTATACATATATACATATATACATACGTATATATATGTACGAAAGGAGTTGACACAGAAAATACCACAAGCCTGCTGACAAATGCAGTATCTTTGCGTTTACACATTACATGACAGGTAGGGAAAACCAATATCTTTCATAGCATGACGTACACGTGACGATTACAAACACATCTGTAAAAGTAAAATACAATGTAAAACCAGGATTAACATCAGAATTGTATACAAGGAGCGGACTTCATTTATCAACGCACCCATACATAATGTCATAAAAACAGTGCAAGGAGTACAGATAAAATACAAATATCTACAAATCAAGTCAACTTACTGACTGAATTAACTGGCAGCTACAGTTATGATTTTTACACGCATGGCAAAGCACCACTACGAGACTATGGAGCCGTCAACAATTGACCTACCCAGATCCTGGTTTGTCACTTACGTGATAGACTTACCACGGCGAACTCTACTGCTGCAGCAATGCCAGAATTGCGTAGGATTTTAGATCAGATAGTAGGAAACTCCTTGGCGCCGCAACTATTTGCCCAAGACCACCAGTTCGAAGCGTCATTCTGACTGATCAGTATCGTCGGCTGAGACGTCAGTGGTGTCAAGGACACAGAGTGTGTCACGTTTTTCGCTTCACCATACAGACGGAAGACGCCATATTTACATATGTCGAGGGGAACATTATGCTGGAAAGGACGTTGACAGGTGATGACGACAGTGTAACGATGCGAGCTGCCATCGCACATACCGGTAGAACAGATTTGGTACATGCCCAGGGCAGTTTAATGACACTACATTACAAAGATGAAATTCGTCGACCACATGTCATTCTCTTTCTGCAGCAAGCAAACGGCAAGACTGAAAACGGCCTTTTGAGGCATGTAAAAATCCAAGTACTGTCGTGGGCCTGAAGGTCTCCAGATCTAAACCCATCGTACATTTATGTGATGCCATTGATCATGATTAAGTAGTACAGCTACGGAACCCCCAACCGTTAGGACAAGCACAGCAGGAAGAGTGGGTGGACATTTCCCTATCCACAGTTCGTAATCTGACTGGTTCCATAGGGCGATGATGCCAGGCAGTTCTGGACTTTCATAGGGGCCATAAACGATACTGAGAACAAATGACCCTAACCTTGACATTCGATTGATGACTTGTGCCAAATAGGAACGCATTAAGATCTGTTGATTATTTTTATAATACATGGAATACGCCTGAAAACCACTTTTGCGTTTCTTCTTTTGCAGATATAAAGATTTACTGTACACTATGTACCATTTTAAATGTAAATACAAATCATTATGAGTATTACATTTGTGTTTTGAGACGAAAATCAAATCCAAGTGTTCAAACAAACGAAAATAATATTGGGGAATTGATATCACTCAAGGTGGGATAGAACATGATTCAGATTCTTCACGTCTGACAATGCTACTCAACACTGCAAAATAGGGAATTGAACAAGAAGTGCACTGTCCACAGTGTCCAATCATTCCAATTTATAGAATCAAACTGGTACCATCTTTTGTCTTCTTAACCTCTTACTTCCACCATCTAACATTTTCATAAACGCCAGTATTACATAATCGTTATATATGTGCTCAAAACAAAGCTCTACATCTCACAACTAGATGCGAAACATATACATCACATAAAGCAAAGAAATACAACTAATTCGCAAGGATGGTAATCCTTACAAACAAACGCTTGAAAATATATAAATTCTAAATTTTACAACCAAACTTTTGAAGTTTAATAGTTACTACTAAATCGCAGTACATTCACATTATGCATATAAAATACTACAAACTATTTGTGTGTCATTGAAATGTCTATAGGTAAATGAAACATATCCCTTAATGAGTGAGTGAGTTAATATTTAACGTCACATCGGCTATCGCTTAATGATGTGCAGATAATGATGTATATGTACATTCTTATTAACTGGTTATTTCTTCGTAGTTTGTACAGTCTCCAAGTGTATATATAGGCCAACAAATATACATAGAAAATCTAATCATTCATCTTTTATCTTTTAAAGCACGTTTGATAATCAGCAGTAAATTGTAAGGACAGCTAAATGTACACAAACTGTCACATCATTGAAACGATTACTGTCTGCAACAATCGCATGATTTTGGTAGAACATATACCAAAACTCCAGACTTATTGTTTAAGTTTTTTTGGTAAGCTGATCGTGCTGTCTCTCGGCTTGAATGTCTCTATAGTTTTTGTTGATAAACGCTTAGCTTTTGACATCCGAAATTTCTCATGCAATTTGTCGCTTGACGTTTTTGCAATATCCAAAGGGTTTCTGCCTTGTTTGTCCTGAGCATGGAGATCGGGATTCTTGCTGAGGATTGCCCGTACCAGTTCTGTTTTCGTATACTCCAGATGATACTGGGAATATTGACGTATAAAATGATATGTTTGTGGTAGTTCCCCTATCCCTGGAAACCCTTCGTCCGCGTCCGCCAGATGCAACACCGATTGTCCAGATCTATTTGTAATACTGACGTCAGTCCCTGGATTGTTCAATAATACCATGGCATTCTGGTAATCTTTATACATTATACACATGTGAAGAGATGTGTTGCCAACATTATCTTGAGCATTGACGTCAGCTCCAGCAGCAATCAGATGGTGAACACTGATTGGCTTTTGAGAACGGAAAGAACGATTGCCTTCAGAGACAAAATGCAGTGCTGTTTTACCAGATGTATTCTTTGAATTGACATCTGCCCCAGCTGTGAGTAGTCGTGAGATATCACGTCCTTCCTTTACAGCCATCATCAGGGGCGAGTTACCGTTATCATCTTGAGCATTGACGTCAGCTCCAGCAGCAATCAGTTTTTGGATGATAATTGTGTCAAAGCCACAACCGTTTTCAGAGACAAAATGCAGTGCTGTTTTACCAGATTTATTCTTTAACTTGACATCTGTCCCGGCTGTGAGTAGTAGTGAGATATCACTTCCTGCGTTTATAGCCATCATCAGGGGCGTGTTACCGTCATTATCTTGAGCACTGACGTCAGCTCCAGCAGCAATCAGTTTCTGGATGACTGTTGTGTGAAAGCCATAACCTTTTCCAGAGACAAGATGCAGTGCTGTTTTACCAGATTTATTCTTTGAATTGACATCTGCCCCAGTTGTGAGTAGTAGTGAGATATCATGTCCTGCTGCTACAGCCATCATCAGGGGCGTGTTACCGTTATCATCTTGAGCACTGACGTCAGCTCCAGCAGCAATCAGTTGTGAAGCGTTGTTGTTTTTCCTTTCCTTGTCATGGTCGAAACACATTGAGGTTCTTTTTATGGGAGGGAAATAATAGTATTCATAGACAAGATGCAGCGCTGTTTTACCAGATTTGTTCTTTGAAATGACATCTGCCCCAGCTTTAAGTAGTGGTGATATATCATATCCGGCTTTTACAGCCATCATCAGGGGCGTCTGACCAACCGAATCTTGAGCGTTCACATTAGCTCCCCCAGCAATTAATTGTGGGATAAGGTTAATTTCTCCCTCTCTCTCCTTTGAAATTCCCTCTATAGCAGTCATCAGAGGTGTTTGACCTTTGTGATCTTTGGCATTGATGTCGGCTTCACCTTTGAGAAGAGTTTCAACAATGTCTGCAATATCATGACTTAAATTGAATGGACTTGAAGGTCTTTTACCTTTTTCCTCAACGTTTCTTCTCGCATGTACATACATACATTGCTTTGATATTGCATGCTTAACAACTTTGTGGAGCGCTGTTTCACCACAGGTATTGGAAGCATTTACATCTGCCCCACATTGGAGTATTGCTGAAACGTTTTCCTCACATCCCCTCTCTACAGCTATCATCAAAGCTGTATCACCATGTGCACTGCTCGTGTTCACATCAGATCCGGCCTTTATTAATGTTTCTACCATTTTCACATGGTCCCTTTGAACAGCTATGATTAGTGATGCACCGCCATGTTTATTTTTAGCATTGACTTCCGCTCCAGCTTTGAGCAGTGGTGAGATGTCTTTGTTCATCTCGACAGCCAGCATTAGTGGTGTATTACCACTGTTATCTTTAACATCGACATCTCTGCTGCATTCAATAACCTTTATCACGGCATTATTTTCGCTCTTAGTAATCTCCGTGTTTGTATTTCCCGCAAGTGTATGGAGGGGTGTATCCATTATATTGTTCTTGGTATTTACACTTGCCCCAGCTTTCACTAGAGTGATAGCTCCTTGTGTGAAGTTTCCCGTGAGTGCACTGTGGAGTGGAGTATTACCTGCACTATCTGGTATGTTTAACTTTGAAGATGGAGCTTCACTAGCTCCATCATTATCAGGTTCATCTGTAACTACAGATTGGGACCCAACATGACTTATTCCAAGTGCTTCCTTTAGTCTGTATGTCTTAGTAACTGCACCAGTTTTCTGGTTTGACCCATATACATGGTGCAGTGGTGTTTGACCATTTGTATCGACAACATTCGCGTCCGCGCCTTCAGTAAGTAAAACTGCCACAACATCAAAACTTTGCCACGAAGCAGCCACTTGTAATGGTGTGAGCTTTTCTTTGTTGAGAGCGTTGACGTCTGCTCCATGTTTGACCATGAGTTTTGTAAGATATGATATGTCTGTAGGGTTGCTGGATGTAGGATTGCTCTCTTCCATTCCAAACTTTTCTGCAAAGAGTTCAACTATCTCCAAGTTCTTCTTAGCGACAGCACGGTGTAGTGGTGTGTATCCATCTCTGTTAACCACCTCGATGTTTGTTCCTCCTTCAATAAGCAGCCTAGACACAGACGCACTATTTTGCTCTGATGTTACTGCATAGTGAAGAGCAGTGTTTCCAAGACTATCTGGATCATCTACATTGCAGCCAGATTTAAGACTTAAACTGACAACAGTTCTATTTCCAAGTATGGCCGCTTGGTGGAGCATGCTACGACCTATTTCATCCTTCCTGGTAATGTCAGTTGCGTATTCTGTAATCCACTTTTCACCTTTTAACTCTGAAACAAAATTAGTAAAAACACACTGAGAAATTGAAAATGCTATGTCATAAACACACCATGTATAACATGAAGGCAAGAGCTTTATGGATGTCAACTTCTTTATTTTGAAGGGTCACGACGTTTCGAAGTATATTAATACTCCTTCATCAGGTGAATGAAACAGTTAGGAACAGACAGCTGTATATGTACATGTTAAACCAACAACAGTTATAAGATAACAAGGGAAACCAGTAGTAGTTAGCTGGTAGATGGGCAAGTGGAAGCCAGGGATTGCTAATCCAGGCATGATTAAGGTAACAAAGGTGGCAATTAACAGGGGATCAGAAAAACAAATGGAAGCGGGAGGAGGGTGTGTGTGTGTGTGTGTGTGTATGATTAGCACTAACGTGATGAATGGACAAGTGGAAGCCAGGCATTGTTAATCCGGGCATGGTTAATGAGGTAATAATAGTGGAATATAACAGGGGGTACCAAAAAATATGGAAGCCAGGCCTAATGGTAATAATTACAAGGACAATGAGGCCAGCAGTGATGATTAATTCACATTAATAAGTCCCAAGCGCTAGGCAGATATGTTCCCTGGTCACGATTGATTGCTGGATGGTTTCTTCTGATGACTATGGCCTCTTGCAAGCCTAGCGCTTGGGACTTATTAATGTAAATTGTTATCTTATAACTGTTGTTGTTTTAACATGTACATATACAGCTGTCTGTTCCTAACTGTTTCATTCACCTGATAAAAGAGTAAGAATATACTTCAAAACGTCGTGACCCTTCACAATAAGTACCATAGTTTTACGTCTGTTGGTATGACGTGGCCGCTCTCCGGGCGGACGCTCTAACCACTACACCACGGAGGCGGTCGCTCCAGTTCTGAGCCTCTGAGTATTATTAGAGAGTATCTTCTCGGATAATATGGAATATGCATGTTACTAATGAGGACAAAACTCGTTTCATATTCATAATATATGTCTTCTACAAACAGAAGAGGCGGTACTATCAGCATCTGCACTTATAATAACATTGAATATCACTGATATCACTATTTGACCGTTTTGAATATTACTGATTCCACTAATACGTGGTGATCATAATGTGTGTGAAAACTGCATTTAAATCATTTATATCACAATACCAATTATAAAATATTTTTATGAATTTGTATTACAGTATTTCACTTCTTATGAACTGGAAAATGACATTAGTGCAAATTACCAATTGTATATTTACCGAATATATCCACGTCCAGAGGGGTGAGTGGAAGAGATGCACTGATGCAGACTTCCATTCGGGTACCTTTTGGCAGTTTAGCAAAGATGTCTTCAGGCAGGATCGTAGTGATGACTTCCCTAGCCAAACTGGTCCAAGTTTTGTTCCAGGCTCCACTGTGACCCTGATGATGACAGATCCTAAATCTGTGGACTCAACCCTGGCGTTCAGTGGTTTCAGGAGGACGTTTATGCGGGGAATGTTTCTGTCGATGTGACTCTTGATTTCAAGGCAAAGTTCATCGGTTGCCGTTATGGTCATCTCTAAGCCCTGAGTCGAAGGACCTGAAACAGAAATGCTTAGTTATAGAAAAAAACCTACATTCGGAAACAGGGTTATTGCATGGAGATCAGGTCTATTTTCAGCTAAAGCAGCAGAACCAGACATAAAAACATGAGCTTGACAATTGTTTTTGTAAAAAACATAATTTTTGTGGCAGAGTATAATTTCGGCAATATGAAGCTTAGTCTTTATTCTTGTAATTTTCTGATGAGTTCAAATATTTTCTCGACAAAATCCCAGATACGTAAGAAACATTAGATTGTTTTTTAAGGCTTATAACAAACACAAAACCACATACTGGTACATGAGGTCGCACTGGACAGAATATATAATTCCCAAAAATATCCACTTACCACTGGATACGGAAAATGTGTTGTTTCTCCCCACTTGCTGTGTGTCTATGTTGTCAGCACCTGGCTTGACTTCAATACGGTTGTTATCGCCAACCTGTGCCGCTGATAGATGACGATCTGGCAATGACATTACACGTTATTTAACCTTTATTCCTAGATGTTATGTTTAGTTGTAGAAACTAACCTACATCAGAAACAGATTGATAATGCACAATGGACTGAAAGCATTGCTTAAATGACAACTCACCACTGGATATGGAAAATGTGTTGCTTCTCCCCACTTGCAGTGCGTCTATCTTGTCAGCAGCTGGTCTGACTTCGATTTGGTTGTTATTGCCAACCTGTGCCGCTGATAGAGGACGATCTGGTAATGACACTGTAATTGTTATGATAAAATTGATATTTTATACTTACCCTGACTCATGCTTATTGCTGATCTCCCTCCTCCTTTTTCAACTGTTTCGGGCAAACTTGAATCCCTTTGTTCCCAAGAACAGTCAAAATCTCACTCACCCGTGTAGAGCCCCGCTTTCCCGCCAAAATGGTCCAAGGGGACCCTAAATAACCCCGCACTAGGGCCTACAGTGAAACCCGTAGTGCTGAGAGGGGACGGTTGGGAGGGCCCTTCAGATCATGAGTCAGGACAAGTAAAATATATCAATTTAATCATAAAAATTACATATTTTCCCTATCCTGACTCATGCTTATTGCTTAACGAATCCGAAGGAATAGGTGGTGGGTCAGCCACCAAACAAGATTCACCGTGGCTGCTTGATCAATAGCGTCTGATCATATAGACCCAGGGAGCTCTTCTTTGCAGCTTCCAAAAGATCCTGATGTCATCGTGGGACCACGTGTCCCAGCTTGGCCCAGCTCAACACGCTAATTTTGAAAGGTAGAAACTGTTTCAAGTATGGCAGAAGCTCAAAACGAAAACGATATGAATACTGTCGACATGAGCGATACAGAAAAGGAGACAGAAGAGACATGAAAGCAGAAAAGTAAGAGAAAAAGAGAAGGATCTACACCATGCGAGTTGGAGTGTGATGGCACACTGCACGAGGAAATCATGGCCATGAGGTTGGAGCTGGGCGCATTAAGTGAAGCCATGTTGAAAATGAATCAAATTCTCTCGCAAGTACATAACTCTGTGCAGAAAATACACAGCAACATTGAAGGGATTAAAAAAACGTCTGGGTAAACAATGATGAATTTTTGAAAAGTATGCAGTGTAACATTGCACATAAGTCCAAGAAGGTTGCAGCTATTAAAAAAGAACTGAAAGCAATCCCAAATATCAACAAAGATTTGAAGGCAACCAAAGAACATGCAGAAAAGGTGGAAAAAGAACTATTTTGAACTAGTGGAAAAAATTACGCAACTGGAATCGAGAGCTGTCGACCAGGAATAGAAGAAAGAACTTGATTTTCTATGGGTTGAAGTATGATTCAGTAGTTAATTAGAAAGAGGATTGTGAGAAACTAATTGTAACCTTCTTGACACAGGAGATGGGTATCTCTCCGGACACTGCTGCAAGACTGAGAATAGGGCGTGCACACAGGTTGGGGAAGCGTACTCTTGGTAAACAACGACCTATTATTGTTTATTTTGAGGATTTCTTGGACAAAGAATTTGTGAAAAAACAAGCAAAAACATTGAAAGGGAAACCCTATGGTATCAGTGAAGTCAGAAATGCGAGCGAGAAGTTAGAAGATGATTTGAAGAAGTTACAGGAAAGATGGGAAGAAGGCAACTATTCTATACCCAGCCTGCCTGCTGGTGGACGGTGAGGTGGTGCGGGAGGTCACGGTGACCGGGGAGAGGGGTCGGACCTAGTACTGGCCACCTAGGAGTCTGTCAGTGCTCACGTGGAATGTCAAAATGGCAGCTTGACTAGGAAACTGGGAAATAGAGACTTTCTACAATACCTGAAGGATAAGGACGTTATTTTGTTGGGTGAAACATGGACGAATAACCCGGGTATGAGGCATACTGTAAGCACCGCCCATGCAGAAAAGGGGCAAAGAGGGACTCAGGGGGTCAAGTAGCCTAGTTTGCTTGATGGATGTGCCGGGGTGTAGAAGTAGTTCATGTGGATGAGAAACATGTAATGATTTTTTGACTAGAGAGATATTTCTTTGGTTTGAAGAAAGATATGTTTTTATTTTTCGTTTTCTCCTACATAACACTGTTACACTCAGTAACAACAAAACACATTCATGATCAACATTGGGACACGCTGCTAGGTGTGCACGGCCGAGTTTATTTCCATGTCACATTCAAATTCAGTTTACACTGACAAATATTTCACCCAGACTAAGTACAATACATGTTAAACTTAGCAGTCCGTTGCTGAAGCCCGACACATTTTAACCAGAGATAAACCTTCATGAAGAAAAACTCTGGAACCGTGTTCCCTCAACGTATGCAACAGCAACCTGTACTGGAGGGTCTACAGCAGACTATGTTCACCTTAGATATAAGGTACCTTACATGTGTTGGAATAAACCTTACAAAACATTCGTATTTTGATAATGTAAATAAACAGGACAATGTGATAACATCACCATTACTTATAAATAGAGTCCGTGTATAATAAATACTCCTCTCTGTTACAGCAATATAATGAATCTTCAACCAACAGTAAAACACCAATCTTTAAAGTAACTGTATTATAATGGCTCTTCAGCCTCAAAGGGATATACAAATAGAGATGAATATATCGGTCATTATATCTGACGTCAGTTATTATAAAGGCTCTTCAGCCAGCAACATATATAAAACACCATACGCTTAGATGCATGAATAGAAGTATTATAACGGCTCTTCAGCCTAACAATATATACAAACATTGTATTTGTTTCATTTCAATATATGAATAGAAGTATTACGACGGCTCTTCGGCCAACGAATAGACACATATATTGTAATTCCTCCATTTCAGTATATGAATAGAAGTATTATAACGGCTCTTCAGCCTAACATATATACACATATGTTGTAACTCCGTCATTTCAAATTATGAATAGAGGTATTATAACGGCTCCTCAGCCCAACAATTCTACACTACATCAATGTACAAATCAGTTCATTCCAATATACAAACTTGTGAGTATTATCATGGTTCTCCAGCCGGGATGCAGCCATATAACATGCACACCTAATATGTCTCCAGACAGTAACCAACACCTGCAACATATGAACATAGTTTCATTATGAATACATAACTATTGGGACAAAAATATATATCTTTACAGTAAGCTTTACGTTAGCGTCCATCATAAAGCGGCCGTGGTGTACTCTGAGCGAGAATGACAAATTCAAATTGAGTAACCCTTACATATCCTTAACAGCGCCACCCCACGGGGCAAGCAACTCTCGTTACACACCGCTAGGAGAAAACAATTTCCTACTAATTCATCTTTCAAACGGAGGAAATATAATTTCTCCTACATAACACTGTTACACTCAGTAACAACAAACCACATTCATGATCAACATTGGGACACGCTGCTAGGTGTGCACGGCGAGATTACAAAGAAAGTCAGAGACCGAGCGACAGAGACACCTTGATCGTGTTTTCCAGTTTATCTTTAACATAACCAGCCCAATAACCGTATGAGCATGCCTTAAGCTATAAAAAGCATTTACAACTGGCGAAATAGATTCACTTCGCTGCACAATCGACAACAGGTATATGGCACAATGCAACGGTGCAATAGGCAATATTAAGAATGTGGTCAAATCCTCGTACTTCACGCTAGACTTGTAAACAAACTTGTTAACCCGGGAGAGATCAAGGATCAATCGTTTCTTCCCTGAAGACAGTATGGACACAGACAGTGGACTGACTACTCTGGGGGCCGTAACACACTTGCTGATGAGATTATTCTTGAGAAGCTCGTCAATAGCCTTCGTAACAAAAGTAGAATGCGTAAGGGCTGATTTATTGTTTTCCAAAAACATATATAATATTTATTTCCTCCATTCTGAAGAGTACAAGGTTCACATAATATATATACAATACGATAATTACATATTATTCTTCAAGCAATGGTCGTTGGGTATATGCGCAGTCCGTACCAGATCTGAACGTTCGTGGAACAGTGCTTCATATCTATGTGACACCGACAGATCCCTAAAACAGACCACACCTATGGCACAAGTCACTACCACCCTGGTTCTCCTTAATCACAGCACAGGTTTGCGCCACAAAATTGGCTGCTGCTCTGCAGGCCGGCTTCTTCTCACCCAGGCTTGGTGCACACACAGGTTCGGGTGAATCTGGTGGAACTCTTGTAGTCCTGAATCCACTAATCTCTGTCTGTATGACGTCACTTCGAAGTTCATTACATGTCTTTTAACAATTTTCTTCCACGCAACTTGCTTTATGAACTGTCCCGTTTGTACATAAGACTCTAGGTGCTGATGCAAACCGTATTTATGAAG